AAATTATTTTTTTGGAAACTCTATCACTATTTTCTGGTTCAAAATTGAATTTTAAATCGAAAATAAAGAGTGACTTTTTACCGCATTGCTGTTCGGTCTTGAGATATTCCCATTTAAACTCATCAATGTTGCAGTTTTTTGCAAAAATTAAGTCTTTTTCGGTAATTATCTCAAGAACTAAGTGGAATACGACAAAAACTTATTCTTAATTTTCGATTTAAAATTGATTTTTCTACTCGACTAATTCATAAGATTCCTTTTAAATTTGATTATTAACGAGCACCATTCGAAAAAGTTAATTAAAACGTGAATTTTATTAAATAACGTTTTTTCTTCATCTCTAAATCTGTTAAAATTATTTTTTTGGAAATTCTATCACTATTTTCTTATACAAAAATAAATTTTAAATCGAAAATAAAGAGTGAGATTTTATCGTATTTCTTTTCATTCTTGAGATATTCCCTTTTAAACTCATCAATGTTGCAGTTTTTCCAAAAAATAAGTATTTTTTTTGAACATGTATATGACATTTTTGAGATTATCTCAATAATTATTGATCGTATACGAAAATTTTATAAACAATATTTGTGCAGAATCCAATTATAAACAACTTTTAATAAGAATATTTTTTAAAATAGTAATTAAAATTTCCCTGTGAATAGTACGTTTTCAAAATTATTGATTTTTCTAAAAATGTTTGGAATAATATATACTTAAAATGTGATTTGAAATCGATTATTTTCATAAAAATTTTCAATATCTCTATAGGTGGCGCTGTATACTGATATATATAACATATATATGACATTTTTGAGATTATCTCAATAATTATTAATCGTATAAAAAAATTTTATAAACAATATTTGTACAGAATCCAATTATAAACAACTTTTAATAAGAAATTCTTTTAAAATATAACCTAATTAAAATTTCCCTGTGAATAGTACGTTTTTCAAATGATTGATTTTTCAAAAAATGTTTCGAACAATATTTGTTTAAAATGTAATTTCAAATCGATTATTTTAATAAAAATTTTCGATATCTCTACTAGGTGGTGCTGTATACTGATATATATATATCATATATATGACATTTTTGAGATTATCTCAATAATTATTGATCGTATCAAAAAATTTTATAAACAATATTTGTACAGAATCCAATTATAAACGACTTTTAATAAGAAATTCTTTTAAAAAATAACCTAATTAAAATTTCCCTGTGAATAGTACGTTTTTAAAATAATTGTTTTTTCAAAAAATGTTTCGAACAATATTTATTTAAAATGTAATTTCAAATCGATTATTTTAATAAAAATTTTCGATATTTCTGCTAGATCGCTCTGTATACTGATATATATAACATATATATGACATTTTTGAGGTTATCTCAATAATTATTGATCGTATAAAAAAATTTTATAAACAATATTTGTACAGAATCCAATTATAAACAACATTTAATAAGAAATTCTTTTAAAAAATAACCTAATTAAAATTTCCCTGTGAATAGTACGTTTTTAAAATAATTGTTTTTTCAAAAAATTTTTCGAACAATATTTATTTAAAATGTAATTTCAAATCGATTATTTTAATAAAAATTTTCGATATCTCTATTAGATGACGCTGTATACTGATATATATAACATATATTATAACAATTTTGAGGTTATCTCAATAATTATTGATCGTATCAAAAAATTTTATAAACAATATTTGTACAAAGTCCAATCATAAACAACTTTTAATAAGGATATTTTTTAAAATAACACAATCAAAATTTCCCTGTGAATAGTACGTTTTTCAAATTATTAATTTTTCGAAAAATGTTTCCTATAATATTTGCTTAGAATATGATTTGAAATCAATTATCTTAATAAAAATTTTTGATATCTCTACCAGGTGGCGCTCTATACTAGTATAAATTTTTCGAGTTTTCATAATTATTCATTAAATTTTTTTTTAATTATGAAAAATCCATTTTTTTAAATATTTTTAAGAAATTTTCATGGTTTATAAAGACAGGCGTATATTTTTTCGTGGTGAAACACGCTTTAGAAAATCTCGTTTAATTTCTGAGATATGAACTTCTAACCATAATCACATAGTTGGAAATTAAGAATTTTTTAAAAAATCATTAAAAATCGGGTTTTTGTGTAATCGTTTCGAAAATCGGTGGAATTATAAAGAAAAGATTCCCCTTTTTGACGATAAAATCCGTTTGTTAAAATCACTTTTAATTTTTGAGATATTAATTTTTAAAGTAACCCGCAATTTTGGGATAAAATTAAATTTTTCCTTTAAATATAAAAATTTGTGAAAAATCCATTTTTTAAAATATTTTTATGAAATTTGTATGGTATATAGAGAAAAATGAGTGTTTTTTCGTGGTGATATCCGATTTAGAAAATCTCGTTTAATTTCTGAGATATGAAGTTCTAACCATAATCACATAGTTGGAAATTAAAAATTTTTTAAAAAAATCATTAAAAATCGGGCTTTTATTTAATCGTTGCGAAATTCGGTGGAATTATAAAGAAAAGATTCCCCTTTTTGATGATAAAATCCGTTTGTTAAAATCACTTTTAATTTTTGAGATATTACTTTTTATAGTCATTGTTGTAAATAATTTTTTTCAATAAATTTATAATAAGATACTATATAAAAAAAGGGTGTATTTTTTCTCATTTAATTTTTGAGATATACATTTTTGAACGTAATGGAAGAAAATTGAGGCAATATTATTGCTATTGTTCTGCTTCGAAGTGAAACATTTTCGATTGATGATCTTTTGGGACATCGTTAACGCGGTTGAACACCTCTCTCCACACGATGATAAACGATTAACAACCATCAAGCCCCCGTTTGTCCTAAAGTATCCACATAGCATGAAAAACTTGTTTTGGATTTCGACCCAATTTTTTTTCCTTGCTTCTCTCTCCCCCATTCTCACGGAGGGCACTTAACGGCCATCAAACCCTAAATAAATGGGGGAAGTACCGATACTCTGCTAGTTTGAAATCACTTCTTGCCATCCTATTAATTATTTTGTTCGAAACTAATTATTTTAGTTAAAAACGTTTATGATAAAAAACACCTGTTGCTAAAACTGTTCAGGTAAAGAAAAAAAAGCGTAAAAAAGGGACGGTATCGAACAGTAAAGTCCAGTTTTATGGGTATTTACGGTCGAGTTCGGGTGCCCGTTTAACGGGAGCAAGGGGAGCTTATAATGTTGCCGTTCCGCGAAGCAGTCGCGAGGTAATTTTTGTCGCACCTCGTCCAATTTAAAGGTCGCCGGGTTAAAACACCGATTTCTCACGTTCCAGAAAACCTACGAAGAAACGATTCGATGGCGGTGGCGGTGTCACCAACAAATTTCAATCCCGTCCGATCCAGAGCTGAGATTTCGAGATTTCCACCCTAATTTGGCCCCCTTAATTTCCCCCCACGTTATAAGATAATCGATACAAACCACGTCTTCCCATCCCATCCCACCCCCCATCTTGCTACCACATAGAAAGAAAATTAATACGAAAAGAAAACTTTTCCTTCTCCTACAATTTGCGTGACGTTGTCAAACCCGACTGATTCCATTATTTTTCTTGACGGATTTTCCCACAAATTCGAAATCTCGTTTTTCTGCTAGTTTCTTCGTTGCGATTATTATATGACGTATTTGGTCGTCAAGTGTCCAAAAGGGAGGTTGTAACGACCGGGCCGAATTACGGTCGTCGTCGGCGGAACGTGTCAAAATGGAATAATTTACCTGGTAATACGTATACGGCGTGATTGGGGCGAATTACACCGGTGTTAGCTAGGGCTGGAGGTGACGTGGCGACATCGCTACTAGATTAACGTTTAGGGAGATGCATTAGGTGTGTGCATGTCAAATTTTCATCAAAATACACAACATCTATCTACGGAAACATCTATTTAATTACGCTTTGTTTTCTCAAAAGATTATATCCGCATATATGTTCCAAGAATGGATTCGGCTGAAGATGGTAATTTTTCGAAATCGGTCTCGATTATGTCAACGTATTTATAGAGGCGGACTCGAGTAGAAAAATCAATTTTAAATCGAAAAAGAAGAATAAATTTTTGTCGTATTCCCTTTCGTTTTTGAGATAAATACCAAAAAAGACTTAATTTTTGCGAAAATTAAATTAAAAAGGGAATATCTCAAGAAAAAAAAGCAATAGGATAAAAAGCCACTCTTTATTTTCGATTTAAAATTTATTTNTTCGAACAATACATGTTTAAAATGTAATTTCAAATCGATTATTTTAATAAAAATTTTCGATATCTCTATTAGGTGGCGCTGTATACTGATATATATAACATATATATGACATTTTTGAGGTTATCTCAATAATTATTGATCGTATAAAAAAATGTTATAAACAATATTTGTACAGAATCCAATTATAAACAACTTTTAATAAGAAATTTTTTTTAAAATAACCTAATTAAAATTTCCCTGTGAATAGTACGTTTTCAAAATTATTGATTTCTCAAAAAATTTTTGGAACAATATGCTTAAAATGTGATTTTAAATCGATTATTTTAATAACAATTTTCGATATCTCTACTAGATGATGCTGTATACTGATATACAGGGTGTATCTGAATGACTGCAACAAACTTCAAAGGGTGATTCTTTAGTGAATTTTAAGGGTACTTTGATATAACATAATTTAAAAAAATGCATTTTCCATACTTTAGTATACATCTTCAATTTTAAGCAATTGTTAGCTTTTGTTTTTCAAATTGCTCTATATATTTTTCTTCACGTCAACTTGATTACAAATGTTCACAACGAGCAAAAATATATCTCCCTTGCCTTAGCATACAATAGCTATTTTTACATAATAAAGTCGCGATGTAAATACTACTTCTAGTACAAGTACTTCTTTGCTTTAACTTTCTTTGTTAGTATCAAAATTCATTTTTAAACCTTAATTTCAATTCATTATCAAACTAAATCAACATTTTTTTCAGATTGCAAGCGCAATGGTCGCCTGCACATTCATCAGCGCCCCACTAATGTTCGTTTCCGCGAAAATGATCAGCCTTCCGAACGGCGATTCGCAAGACTACGTCAAACAATTAGAATCGTTTATGTTCGACGTGAGCATTTTGGGCGTGATCTGTTCGATTTGGGTACTTTTAGTCTTCACTTTAACCAAAAAATTATCAAAAGTACCCCACAAAGTGACCGGATGTTTAGTCGGAGCTCAATTAACGTCGTGTTTGGGGGCGATTTTATGGAAAACAATCGGCGAAAACAATACTGTGTGGGTCCAGTATTTACAATTTATGATTTTTAGCGTGGGAGTGTTTTCTAGTCGGCTGTGGACGGCCATTTTATCGATGGTCTTGTTGTTTTTGCAATGTCGAAGTTTGTGTTTCGTGGTTAAGTTGTTGCCGTGGTGTTATTTTATCGGGTTTGGATTTCCCGTTGCGTTATCTGGGTTGCTTTTAGCTTATGATAAAAGTAGTTTGCCCTTTGAGGAGCATAACCCGAATTTCGCCTACGGGGTTTATCAAGCTATCGTGGCTGTTAGCTTGTTGGTGTTTTGTTTTATCGGTATGTTGGTTTAAATTTCTTTTTTTTTTTTGATTAATAATCAATTTTTTAGCAACCGTTGGGTGCTTAATTCTTCATCAACGATATAGGAGGCGTCACGAGCGGTATTTAACGTTAGCTAATGATGTCGCGGAAACTTTTGAGTCGAATCCTACGTTATGCGAAGCGGGGAGTTCTTTGGAGGGTGGTGGATGTTGTGGGGGAAACACTTCAACCCCTGTGGTGGTCGATATAGAAGATATCGACAAAAAATTTAAACCCAAAATTAATTCCCAACGCAAACGAAATAACTCAATTTCTTGCGCCTCCCCGTCTTCGGGATGTGGTGGGGGAACCCCACAAAATGAATGCCAAAGTATTTTAAGGCGATACCAAGAACCCATCGATGAAGATATCGAAATGATCGAAGAAGAACCCGATACTCACGACGCACAAATTTTGAGACACGTCGTTTTATTAATTTTATTGTTATGTTCGATGTTTGTGGTAAATTAATCCATCTTATTCTAATATCATCTTAATTTTTGATTAATTTTAGGGTTTATCTTTATGTATTTGGACTTTAATAATGGATCGAATTTCGGGGATTTACATCGAGCTCTCATTTTTAGACACAACGCTAAATTTCGGACAAAGCATCATAGTTTTCGCCGTTTTCGGCACCGACACCAAAGACATCGTGCTCCCGTTACTAAAATATTGGAGAAAATTATGGTACGGGGCTAACACCTTGATCTTACCCAGCTGGGACGAACTCAGCGCCGACACGAAACACATCTGCGACCAATTCGTGACGCATCACCTCGTTAGATGTCGCGATGATATCGCCGAGGATAAACGGTGGAGATTAAAAGTTTATCGGAAAGTTTTTTCGGGGGCGAGATTCGTCGATTGGCTGCTTGAGTATGGTTTGGCTCGAGATCGAGGGGAAGCGGTGAATTACGCGCGACATTTGGTGGAGGGGAAAGTGCTTAGACATATTAACGGGGTTTATCATTTTTATGATCGAAATTTGTTGTATACCTTCAATTAAAGGGTTATTATTTAACCTCATTATTTATTAAATCCAAAATGTAGCGTTTTAATTTTGTTTAATTTTGGGTGTAATTTCGAACAAATTAATGATCTTTTCGAATTTTTTGTTGTTTCGCTAGTCGGTTGATTTAGATTGGTCATAATCGGGTGATTTGTCCAAATTTGATGATTATTTCGGGTTTGGAGGTGATTCTGGCGCGTTTTGTACATATAAGCAGTCATTATGTACAAAATGAATCTTCGCGGAGAATGATTATTAAATGTTATAAGTATTTATTGATTAAAGCAGTATTATTATCACGGTTGATTTTTATTTGAAAAATGTGAATTCGATTTTTGTACTATTAACAGGGAAATTAAAAAATTGATAATTTGAAAAAATAGTGCCTATAAACGTTGTTCCTTGTTTAATTTTGAACAAGTTTTATTTGAAAAATTTTTTGATACAATCAATAATTAGGAAGATAATTTTGAATTTAATTTTTGTACTATTCAGAGGGAAATTAAAAAATTGATAATTTTAAAAAATGTTGCNATATACTGTTATAATTAAGAATCATATTTTTCTCAATAAAATCTAGATATATATCTGAGATTAATCCTGATAAGGGCATGCCCATCGGTAAACCATCAGGTATGTGATAATATTTATCTTCAAAAGAACAATAATTCTGAGTAACTACATGTTTAAGAATTTTATTTAAATTGTTCGACGTATTTTGATCTGCGAAGTGGTTCTCAAAAAATTGCGAGACAACCTTAAGAGTAAATTCAATAGGAACATTCGAATACAAGTTTGTAACGTCAAAGGAAACAAATAAAGTGTCGTCAATATTTAGATTTTTAGTTTTTTCAATAAAATCCTTGGAATTTTTAACTGTATACTTAGGTTCGAAATTTATGTGTTTGAAAATTAACTGAAGTTAACTTTTTTGTAGGTGCATTACCGTATGCTGTAATAGGTTTAATATATTTTTTCAACTAAACTAACAGTAAGTAAATTTATAGAAATTTTGGATTTATTTCATATTGTTTTTAAAAAAAATTTTTTATATAAGATTCTACTGAAGATGAGGATTGTTTCCTCGAAATCGATTTAGAAGCATATCAAAATAAATAGCAAGAAAGAGGAAAATTTTGTTTTATTTAAATTGAATTAAAAAATGTTGCCTATAAACGTTGTTCCTTGTTTAATTTTGAACAAGTTTTATTTCAAAAATATTTTGATACAATCACTATTTAGGAAGATAATTTTGAATTTAATTCTTGTACTATTCACAGGGAAATTAAAAAATTGATAATTTTAAAAAATATTGCTTATAAATGTTGTTCCTTGTTTAATTCTGAACAAATTTTATTTGAAAAATATTTTGATACAATCAATAATTAGGAAGATAATTTTGAATTTTCATTTCTATACTATTCACAGGGAAATTAAAAAATTGATAATTTTCAAAAATGTTGCTTATAAACGTTGTTCCTTATTTAATTTTGAACAAGTTTTATTTGAAAAATTTTTTGATATAAACAATAATTAGGAAGATAATTTTAAATTTTTATTTCTATACTATTCAGAGGGAAATTAAAAAATTGATAATTTTAAAAAATGTTGCCTACAAACGTTGTTCCTTGTTTAATTCTGAACAAGTTTTATTTGAAAAATATTTTGATACAATCAATATTTAGGAAGATAATTTTGAATTTAATTTTTGTACTATTCACAGGGAAATTAAAAAATTGATAATTTTAAAAAATGTTGCCTATAAACGTTGTTCCTTGTTTAATTCTGAACAAGTTTTATTTGAAAAATATTTTGATACAATCAATAATTAGGAAGATAATTTTGAATTTAATTTTTATACTATTCAGAGGGAAATTAAAAAATTGATAATTTTAAAAAATGTTGCCTATAAACTTTGTTCCTTGTTTAATTTTGAACAAGTTTTATTTAAAAAATATTTTGATACAATCAATATTTAGGAAAATAATTTTGACTTTAATTTTTATACTATTCAGAGGGAAATTAAAAAATTGATAATTTTAAAAAATGTTGCCTATAAACGTTGTTCCTTGTTTAATTCTGAACAAGTTTTATTTGAAAAATATTTTGATACAATCAATAATTAGGAAGATAATTTTGAATTTAATTTTTGTACTATTCACAGGGAAATTAAAAAATTAATAATTTTAAAAAATAGTGCCTACAAAAGTTATTCCTTTCTTAATTCTTAACAATTTTTATTTGAAAAGTTTTTTGATATAAACGATAATTATTAAAATAGCCTTAAATTCATTTCTATACTATTCACAGGGAAATCACAAATTTTGATAAAAGTCAATTTTGAGTAGTGGGATAAAATCAAGGATATTTCAGAAATATAGGTTGCAAAAAAAAGACTTTGGGGTTAATTAAAAAAACCAACAAACCAATTTTCTTTTTTTAAACACGACAATTTTTTAATGTGCAAATATTTTAGTTTATCACAATTTTTATATACAAGCGCCTTACAACGTTAACGTTTAAAATACAATAATATAATAAGGTAGTTTTTATCGTGCAAAGAAACAAAATTTCCCGCCGTTTTTTTTTTTTTTTTATTTTTCGAAATCATCCTTTGACTCGAGTACAAAATAACGCTTACCCCTTAAATAGTTTTTTTTTTTTAATTAATTAATTTAATTTAATTTAAATAGTAAGTAGTTCATTAACAGTGCACAAAATGAAAAAGGCAAAAATTATTTCTTATTTATATCATTTTTTTTTTTAAGTTTTTGGTTTTATAAAGAATATCTTTTTGACTATTCATTTTTTAATTTATTATTATTTATACATTTTCAGTATTTATTTTAGTGTCTCTTTAGAATTTTATTATTAAAATTGGGTCATTTTGGGTAAGAAAGAAAATCGAAACGAATCATAATCATAGCGAATTGAGCCCTTAAATTGATATGTTATCGAAAAAATCGATAAATTTGAATTATTATTATTATTATTATTTCTTTATCATACTTAATTTTTAGTCAGCGATTTTCTTCATCTTTTTTTGCGATATACAAGGTAAACATCGTCAATTGATTCGTTAATTAATCTAGCTAGCTAAAATTTTTATTAACCTTTCTCAAAAAGGTATAGGTCTACGTATGGCCGGTTCTCACTTTGAATAATTTCAATTAATTATCAATAAATGCGATTAAATCACCTTTTTTTTAACAATTGTCGAAGAAAAATCTCTCAAGTTGGTACCAAAACGCTAATTGACAGGTGACGGCTGTCAAAATTCGAAGTGAGTTTGACGTTTGACAATTGTAAAAAAGTTTAAATTAATTTCGATACCAAAATAGAAAGCGAATTGGCACTACGATTACATCTCAGGTATTAATTTTTTCTCGTTTCGTTTATTGTGATTCTTTTTTGATGGGGGGGAACAATCAAAGCGGATTGAGCATCGTTTAAAAAGAAAAATCCCCTGGAAATAAGGATCCAAACGAATCTAGGCCTACTTTTGCGAAATTTCCCTCTTTTCTCCTAACCAAAAAAAAAAGATCCAACCTAAAAGATGAACAAGAACAGCCACAGAAGCTTTACACAATCATTAAGAAGTACTTTTACGTTATATAATTGGCGGAATATTTACATAATTTCCCAATATACTTTTCAAAAATTTAAATTACCCTAAAAACAAAAAGAAAATCAAAACGAAATAATCACCTCGACATCACGGCGATATTACGCAATAGAACTACCCGACATCGTAGTAATACACGTTTTCTCGCAGGAATCTGTATTCTCGGAGCTCGAACGAACCGCCTTGGCGCTAGATGGCGCCACCTCGATCGTCTCGGTGTTGTTATTCGTACTCGCGCGGCGGCTAACCTCCCGCGTCGCCGTTCTCACGTCGAAAACGGAACACTCACTCTCCAAATCGCTATTTTCCAATTGCAAAACGTTTAGCTGCAAAATCGAATCGATTAATTTATTGGATCAAAAAATTTGTGTCGATAAAGTAGGTGCCAACTATTATTTTTTTGTAGCTGTCAAACGTCAAATTAGAATTAACCCCATTTGTTATGCGTTTATAAATAAATAAGAAAATGAAAAGAAAATAAAGGTGTTGGTGTTAAAATTCGTGTAAAAAAGTAAGGAAAATTACGAGAATCATCGTGTTGCTTAAAAATCGACGAAAAAATTGCGGAAAAGAAGTAAAAACATTTAAGGTTAACATTTTTTATTCTACTTTTTTGTTTCTCAACCTCGGTTTAGACCTATTTGTAATCTTCATTAAAAATCCTTTAAAATAAGTACAAATTTATCTTCAATATTAATGAAGTCAAGTTTCGGTTAGAAATGTCAACGTCAATTTTGACATATTCTTAATTTTTTATAAAATGTCTCAAATTTTATCATAAAAACTAAAATTAAGGTTGGTATTCATATTTACAAAATTAAATTGCTGTCTTCGTTGTTGCTAAGTTCGGGTTTAATGTTGTTTTGGTCTAATTTTTTTGTTTTTTGAGATAACTGCGTCATGTTTGAACTCACTTTAAAGGTTATTTTATAAATGCTAACTAGCGCTATCTAGCACTGTTACTAGAACTAACATTTGACCTAGAACTAGAAACATTCGGATTTAGCCGCACGTCTCTCAAGACGGCTAAACCCGAATGATTCTAGTTCTAGGTCAAATGTTAGTTCTAGTGATAGTGCTAGATAGCGCTAGTTTTAGTGTAATAAAAATATGCAACATTTGCAACAACACTGTCATTAACATTAGACCTAGAACTAGAAAGTATCGGGTTTAATGTAATCTCAAGACATCACTCAACAAAAGAATAGGTTCAGTAAATAGTCTTCAGCCAACAGTATTGTAATCTCCAAGCACTTAGTAGTGTTTTGGCAGCTGTATATAGTCTTCTGAATGCATTAAATTGTCTTTGCCAACAATATCTAGTTTTTTCCAAGCAATTAGTAGTCTTTCCAATAATATTCAGCATTCTGGAAATAGTTAATAGTCTTTTAGAAATAGTATCTTATCTTTCTAAGCAATAATTTCTTCCAGAAATATTTAGACTTCTCCAAGTAGGTCCTAATCTTTTGTAGCAGTATATATAGCTGCTCTGAAAGCAGTAAGTAGTCTTGTGGAAGCAGTATTTTGTCTTTCCAATCAGTTTATAATTGTTTGTTAGCACTATTTAGTCTTCTCCAAGCAGATTGTAATCTTTTCCACCAAATTCTAGCATTTTGGAAGCAGTAGGTACCTTTTTTCGAGAGCATATCTCTTCTTTCCAAGTAATTGTTAGTCTTTTCCAGTAGTATTTAGAATTCTGGCAGCATTCGATAGCTTTTTGGGAAGCATATCTCTTTTTTTCAAGCAGTTATTAGTCTTTTCCAGCAATATCTAACATTCTGGAAACATTAGATAGTTTTTTGGGAAGCATATCTCTTCTTTCCAAGCATTTATTAGCCTTTTCCAGCAGTTTCTAACATTCTGGAAGCAGTAGGTACTTTTTTTGGAGAGCATATCTTTTCTTTTCAAGAAATTATTAATCTTTTCCAGCAGTATTTAACATTCTGGAAACATTAGATAGTTTTTTTGGAAACATATTTCTTCTTTCCAAGCATTTATTAGTCTTTTCCAGCAGTATCGAACATTCTGGAAGCAGTAGGTACTTTTTTGAAGAGCATATCTCTTCTTTCCAAGCAGTTATTGGTCTTTTCCTGCAGTATTTAACATTCTGGAAGCATTAAATAGCTTTTTGGGAAGCATATCTCATCTTTCCAAGCATTTATTAATCTTTTGCAGCAGTGTCTAACATTTTGTAAGCAGTAGGTGCCTTTACTAGAGAGCATATCTCTTCATTCCAAGTAGTATTTAGCATTCTAGCAGCATTAGGTAGCTTTTTGGGAAGCATATCTCTTCTTTCCAAGCATTTATTAGTCTTTTCCAGCAGTATCTAACATTCTGTAAGCAGTAGGTGCTTTTACTAGAGAGCATATCTCTTCATTCCAAGTAGTATTTAGCAATCTGGCAGCATTAGGTAGCTTTTTGAGAAGCATATCTCTTCTTTCCAAGCATTTATTAATCTTTTCCAGCAGTATCTAACATTCTGGAAGCAGTAGGTACCTTTTTTGGAGAGCATATCTTTCTTTTTCAAGTAATTATTAGTCTTTTCCAGTAGTGTCTAACATTCTGGAAACATTAGGTAGCTTCTTGAGAAGCATATCACTTCTTTCCAAGCATTTATTAGTCTTTTCCAGCAGTATCTAACATTCTGGAAGCATTACATAGCTTTCTGGGAAGCATATCTCTTCTTTTCAAGCAGTTATTAGTCTTTTCAAGCAGTATCTAACATTCTGGAAGCAGTAGGTATCTTTTTTGGAGAGCATATCTCTTCTTTCCACGCAGTTATTAGTCTTTTCCAGCACTATTTAACATTCTAGAAGCAGTAGTTAGCTTTTTGGAAAGCATATCTCTTTTTCAAACAATTATTAAAGTCTTTGAAAGCAATAAGTAGTCTTGGAAACACTATTCCACCTGTTCAAGTAGGTCAAAACTTTTAACAGCAATCTTTAGCGTTCTGGAAGCAATAGGTATTATTTCCAAGTTCTTTTCCAAGTAAGTTGTAGTCTTTTTCTGCAGTATCTAGCATTTCAGAAGCAATAGGTAACTTTCTGAAATAGTATTTCCTCTATCCAGGTAGTTTTTAATCTTTTACTAACAGTATTTAATCTTCTGATAGCAATAATTAGTCTTTTGCCAAAAATATCTAACTTCCTCCAAGCAATTAGTAGCCTTTCCAACAATATTTAGCATTCTGGAAGTAGTTAATAGTCTTTTGGAAACAGTATTTTGTCTTTCCAAGCAGATAGTAGTTGCTCCCAGCAATATTTAGTCTTCTCCAAGCAGGTCATAACCTTTTCTAGTAGTATATAGCGCTCTGAAAACAGTAAGTAGTCTTATGGAAGCAGTATCTCATCTTTCCAATAAGTTTGTAGTTGCTTGTTAGTACTATCTAGTCTTCTCCAAGCAGATTGTAATCTTTTCCACCAGTATCTAGCATTTGGAAACAGTAGGTACCTTTTTTGGAGAGCATATCTCTTTTCCAAACAATTATTAAACTCTTTGAAAGCAATAAGTAGTCTTGGAAGCACTATTCCGCCTGTCCAAGTAGGTCAAAACTTTTAACAGCAATGTTTAGCGTTCTGGAAACCATAGGTATTATTTCCAAGTTCTTTCCCAACTAAGTTGTGGTCTTTTTCTGCAGTATCTAGCATTTTAGGAGCAGTAGGTAACTTTTTCAAACAATATTTTCTTTCTGCAAGCAGTTTTTAGTCTTTTACTAGCAGTATTTAATCTTCTGATAGCAACAATTAGTCTTTTGCCAACAATATCTAACCTCCTCCAAGCAATTAGTAGCCTTTCCAACAATATTTAGCATTCTGGAAGTAGTTAATAGTCTTTTGGAAACAGTATTTTGTCTTTCCAAGCAGATAGTAGTTGCTCCCAGCAATATTTAGTCTTCTCCAAGCAGGTCATAATCTTTTCTAGTAGTATATAGCGCTCTGAAAGCAGTAAGTAGTCTTATGGAAGCAGTATCTCATCTTTCCAATAAGTTTGTAGTTGCTTGTTAGTACTATCTAGTCTTCTTCAAGCAGATTGTAATCTTTTCCACCAGTATCTAGCATTTTGGAAGCAGTAGGTAGCTTTTTGAAAAACATATCTCTTTTCCAAACAATTATTAACGTCTTTGAAAGCAATAAGTAGTCTTGGAAGCAGTATTCCACCTGTCCAAGTAGGTCAAAACCTTTAACAGCAATCTTTAGCGTTCTGGAAGCAATAGGTATTATTTCCAAGTAAGTTGTGGTTTTTTTCTGCAGTATCTAGCATTTTAGAAGCAGTAGGTAACTTTTTCAAACAGTATTTTCTTTCTGCAAGCAGTTTTTAGTCTTTTACTAGCAGTATTTAATCTCCTGATAGCAATAATTAGTCTTCTGCCAACAATATCTAACCTCCTCCAAGCAATTAGTAGCCTTTCCAACAATATTTAGCATTCTGGAAGTAGTTAATAGTCTTTTGCAAACAGTATCTTGTCTTTCCAAGCAGATAATAGTTCCTCCCAGCAATATTTAGTCTTCTCCAAGCAGATTGTAATCTTTTCCACTAATATCTAGCATTTTGTAAGCAGTAGGTAACTTTTTCAAATAGTATTTTCTCTTTCCAAGAAATTTTTAGTCTTTTACTAGCAGTATTTAGTCTTCTGATAGCAATAATTAGTCTTTTGCCAACAATATCTAACTTCCTCCAAGCAATTAGTAGCTTTTCCAACAATATTTAGCATTCTGGAAGTAGTTAACAGTCTTTTGCAAACAGTATCTTATCTTTCCAAGCAGATAATAGTTCCTCCCAGCAATATTTAGTCTTCTCCAAGCAGATTGTAATCTTTTCCACTAGTATCTATCATTTTGGAAGCAGTAGGAATCTTTTTTGCTCTTCTTTTCAAGTAGTTATTAGTCTTTTCCAGTAGTATTTAGCATTCTGGCAGTATTAGGTAGCTTTTTGGGCAGCATATCTCTTCTTTCCAAACAGTTATTAGTCTTTTCTAGCAGTATCTAATACTTTTGCCAACAATATCTAGCATTCAAGAACCAATAAGTTAAAGAATATAGATTTTAGGTTATCTTTAGTTTCACTTTTTGTAATTTTTCAGTAACTTTTACACTTTTCAGCCTTTTTTTTTAATTTTTTTATATTTTAATCTTACTCGATTTTTAAGCAACATAATGATTCTTGAATTATACCAAAAGTAATAAAAAGAATTAGAAAAGTGGGAAGAAGCGAATTTCCCTTTTAAATTGGGTTTCAAATTGAGTCAACGCACTTACTTGAAATGAATTAATCGTAATTTACTGGAAAATTGGGGTTAATAATAAATTAATAAACAACGATGCAAAGAAACTAACCTGTCGAGTGTTCAAATACAATTCGCTCGAATCCGAGCCGCAACTAGAACTTTCGCTCAACTCGGTTGTAAATTTTCTTTGGGCTCGAGGACTCGGAGGAGGTCGCCTCGTGCAAACCTGCGCTTGAATGTGCTCGCAAACGCGCCTAAATCGACGAATATTCCCTAAAAATAATCCACCGTCAATAAAATAAATCAAAAATTGATTCGAATTTGTACCCGATAACAAAGTGAAAGTAATCGCGTATAACGGGTCCTTATTTTCGGTGGATTTATTCGTAATCGTTGAAACATCAACTTGGAATCTAACGTGTCTTTGAAACATTGCAGGTCCTGTTGTGCCGCGTTTGTACTCGACTCGGAAACTCATCGGGCTTGAAACTGAGTGGCTCAATTCGGCGATTGATAAAAAGGCGTGGATTAAATCGGCTTTAACGGTCGCTAATGGTTTTCCTTTGACTAAGATGGTGAATGTTTCGTCTTTTTCCGTCGTCATTAAACTTCCGAACCAAGATTTTTTGGTTAATTCCGGAGAAGATTCCGGAGTTAAATGGACTTCTTCTGAAGATGCTAAAAAGTAGTGAGATTAATAATGATTAAGATTATTAGTTAGATTTTACTTTGCATTTTTCTTCGATGAAATCTCGGTGATCCGAGAAAACTGTTTTTAATCGTCGTTAATCGCGAACGCCAATGATGGCTGGTGGTGCTTGAGTGTGGCGATCCGGGTGGGGTCATTGGAGTTAAAATTTGAGGACCTAAAATGTAAAAAAAAGGATTTAAATTTTTTTATAATTTAACATCGTTAATTGAATCGAGCGTAAAAAGAGCTTTAATTTAATACCAAACACGACTAGTTTATGTTAATCCGTTTATGAGTTAATTCGATTTTTCCATAAATGACGAAAAACAAAATGGCCGCCTGTCAGTGTTGACAACCTAACCTAATTTTTATTTTTTTCACTATAATTAAGTCATTTTTGAGATATTTATTGGAACCAATCCGATTTTTTTATTCAAATTTATTAAAATGGTTCAAATTATGTCAAAAAATTCAAAATGGCTGCCAATATATGTCAAAAATGTGTCATGTTGGGTGTCATTCCAAATCATGTGACGTCGAGCTTTTCGAATTTGACACTATTGACTTAATACTCATGAATTAAAAAATCCAAGATGGCCGCTTTTTAGTTTTTATATATTTTTTTGACAAGAAATGTCAAAAATATGTCATGTTGGGTGTCATTTCAAATGATTTGGAGTTGATTTTTTTGGATTTGACACTGTTGACTTAATACTCATTAATTAAAAAATCCAAGATGGCTGCCTTTTAGGTTATAAATTTTTTTGACAAGAATGTCAAAAATATGTCATGCTGGGTGTCACTTCAAATGGTTTGAAGTCGATTTTTTTGAATTTGAGCTAATACCTCAAGAATTAAAAAAATCCAAGATGGCCGCTTTTTAGTTTTAATATGTTTTTTTGACAAGAAATGTCAAAAATATGTCATGTTGGGTGTCATTTCAAATGATTTGAAGTAGATTTTTTTGAATTTGACACTATTGACTTAATACTTATGAATTAAAAAATCCAAGATGGCCGCTATTTAGCTTTTATATATTTTTTTAACAAGAAATGTCAAAAATATGTCACATGTGGTGTGTCATTTCAAATGATTTGTAGTCGTTTTTTTGAATTTGACACTATTGACTTAATAGTCATGAATTAAAAAATCCAAGATGGCCGCTTTTTAGTTTTTATATATTTTTTGACAAGAAATGTCAAAAATATGTCATGTTGGGTGTCATATCAAATGATTTGAATCGATTTTTTTGAATTTGACACTATTGACTTAATACTTATGAATTAAAAAATCCAAGATGGTCGCTTTTTAGTTTTTACATATTTTTTTGACAAGAAATGTCAAAAATATGTCATGTTGGGTGTCATTTCAAATAATTTCAAGTCGATTTTTTTGAATTTGACCTAATACTCAAGAATTAAAAAATCCAAAATGGCCGCTTTTTAGGTTATATATATTTTTTTTACAAGAAATGTCAAAAATATGTCATGTTGGGTGTCAATTCAAAAAATCGACTTGGGTGTCATTTCAAATGATTTGATTCGATTTTTTTGAATTAGACACTATTGACTTAATATACTCATGAATTAAAAAATCCAAGATGGCCGCTTTTTAGGTTATATATATTTTTTTGACAAGAAATGTCAAAAATACGTCATGTTGGGAGTCATTTCAAATGATTTCAAGTCGATTTTTTGAATTTGACACTGTTGACTTAATAGTCATGAATTAAAAAATCCAAGATGGCCGCTTTTTAGGTTATATATATTTTTTTGACAAGAAATGTCAAAAATATGTCATGTTGGGTGTCATTTCAAATGATTTGAAGTGGATTTTTTTAATTTAACACTATTGACTTAATACTCATGAATTAAAAAATCCAAGATGGCCGCTATTTAGTTTTTATATATTTTTTTAACAAGAAATGTCGAAAATATGTCATGTTGGGTGTCATTTCAAATGATTTGAAGTCGATTTTTTTAATTTAACACTATTGAGTTAATACTAATGAATTAAAAAATCCAAGATGGCCGCTTTTTAATTTTTATATATTTTTTTGACAAGAAATGTCAAAAATATGTCGTGTTTGGTGTTATTTCAAATAATTTCAAGTCGATTTTTTTAAATTTGACACTATTGGGTTAATAGTCATGAATTAAAAGAATCCAAGATGGCCGCTTTTTAGCTTTTATATATTTTTTTGACAAGAAATGTCAAAAATATGTCATATTGAGTGTCATTTCAAATGATTTGATGTCGATTTTTTTGAATTTGACACTATTGACTTAATGCTAATGAATTAAAAAATCCAAGATGGCCGCTTTTTATTTTTTATATATTTTTTTTTGACAAGAAATGTCAAAAATATGTCATGTTGGGTGTCATTTCAAATGATTAGAAGTCGATTTTTACGAATTTGACATTATTGACATAATACAAATAAATCAAAAATTCCAAAATGGCCACTTTTTAATTTTTATATATATTTTTTGACAAGAAATATCAATAATATGTCATATTGGGTGCCATTTCAAATCACCTTCTTGAATTTGACACTTTTGACATAATTGTTATAAGTTAAAAATTCCAAGATGGCGGATTTTTTATTTTTATATATATTTTTAATAAGAAATATCAAAAATATATCATGTTGGATGTCAATTCAATTGTTTTCAAGTCGATCTTTACGAATTTGACACTATTGACTTCATACAAATAAGTCAAAAATTCCAAAATGGCCACTTTTTAATTTTTATCTATATTTTTTGACAAGAAATATCAAAAATATGTCATTTGGGTGCCAGTTCAAATCACCTTTTTGAATTTGACACTTTTGACATAATTGTCATAAGTTAAAAATTCCAAGATGGCGGATTTTTAACGATTTTTAAGAAGAAATATCAAAAATATGTCATGTTGGGAGTCATTTCGAGTGATTTGAAGCCAATCTTTTCGAATTTGACGCTATTGACTTAATACTAATAAGTTAACAATTTCAAGATGGCCGCTTTTTAAGTTTAAATTTTTTTTTTGACAAGAATTATCAAAACCATGTCATGTTTGGTATCATTTCAAACGATATAAAGCTGATTTATTCGATTTTGACATTATTAACACAAAACTCATTAATTAAAAATTCCAAGATGGCCGATTTTTAATTCCTAACAACTTTTTTAATAGGAAATATCAAAAACATATTATGTTTGGTATCATTTCAAACGATTCAAAGCCGATTTATTCGATTTTGACACTATTACCTTAATTCTAATAAGTCAAAAATTCCAAGATGGCCGAAAATTCGCCATCTTGCACCAAAATCAATCATTTCTTAAACATATATTAATAAAAAGAGACAAACCTGTAACCAATTGACTAGAATCGTTTTCGGGCGATGTTAAAGTGGCTAAAAGAGAACTTCCGGTTGTCCCACCCCCATTACTGTTAGCGCGATGATGCGTTGGTGTGGCGGGTGGTGGCGTAACAGTCACATGGGTGTTTGATGAGACGTGAGTGGAGCTTCTATGAGTGGCCGAGCTACCGTGGTGCGATCTTGCGGTGTTTACCGGAGACGACAACGTCCCTGATGTATTATTGAACAAAATCGGGCTCGAAGCGCCCGAAGATCGCGTCGGTGAGTGTACGCTAAGAGTGCTGTGGGTGCTTCCGGTCGATGGGCTTCTTCTTGCGTGAGGTCTCCTTAAAAAAAATTAACACAAATTATTATTTTTTTTTAATTAGTTGAAATTAAATACTTGTAATGCGATCTTCTCGGTGTTAAAGGAGATCCTTCGCTGATTTGCCCAAATTGTAAAGTATTTTGCCCGTTGACCCGACAAGTATCGATGCGTTTCCGGGGGGGATCGTTGACATCGGTTCTTATTCGTAATAACGAATCGGATTCGTCTTCGTAAGCCGGCCGTCGACGTTTCCGGTCCAATAATAGGAAGTAAATGACTTTTTCCGTGTTGTGGCTGCCAAAAATGTTCTTTTTTAATACAAATTTATTAAAACGAATTGTTTTAATTACTTCGGGCTTAACAGGTGTTGGATTAGCTTCTCGCGTTCTTTGAAACACCCCAAACTGCAAATTGCTTGTAATACATCGGGATCGACGGCGTCTATCGATGGTAAAACGTGGGTTTGGACGACTTCCATCATGGGGAGTTCGAGTTCTAATTCTCCTTTTCCACCGGCTGTCACCCAAGGGTGTTTGTTAATATCGGAGAGCTAAAAAATTGTTTTTAATCTTAATTTTTGATGGAAAGAAAATTTTTTACGGTTAATCTCTTTTCGGGGTTAACTTCGATCATCCCGCGTAATAAACTTTGACAATCCGGTGGGACGAAATGAGGGATGTGAAAAACGCCTCTTTTAACCTTCTCTAAGAGTTGCCTTAAATTATCGTCGTCGAAAGGAAGCGCCCCAACTAACAAAGCGTACAAAATAACACCACAAGACCAAACATCCGCTTTTCTCCCATCATATTTTTCACCCTAAATTAAAATTATATTAATTATTATTAAAAGAAATGAAATGAATTAATTAATATACCCGAATAACTTCCGGACAAGCATAATGTGGCGACCCACAACTAGTTTCTAACATCGATCCGATCGGTTGGAGCGAGGCCATTCCGAAATCGGCCACTTTTATGTTGTTCTTTTCGTCCAAAAGGAGGTTTTCCGGTTTCAAATCGCGATGGCTAAAACAATGATTCATGTTTAAACGGTAATTTAAGTCCGTTGTGGGTGAATTACCATATTGAGTGGCTGTGGCAAAAATCTAAAGCTGAAATGATCTGGCGGAAAAATCTTCGGGCTTCTTTCGGGGTTAATCTGCCTTTTTTCACCAAGTAGTCGAAAAGTTCTCCCCCGGAAACGTGCTCGAGGACTAAATAACTGAAAAGAGCGTTTAAAAAGCTTTAATTTGATACCAAACACGACCGAGTTATCTTTGAGGGTTCGCGAGATATTTTAATTTAAAAAATTCAAGATGGCGTCGAAAAGTGGGGTTATATTTATTTATGAAATCAAGATGGCGTCTTGTCACTTAAAAATTTTGATTTTACCCTAATTAGGTTATGTTGGGTGTCATTTCAAACAAACCCAAGATGATTTTTACGAATTTGATGTTTAATAAATTTTTGGGAAAATCAAGATGGCCGCTTGTCACTTATATGTTTCGATTTTACCCAAAATAGGGTATGTTGGGTGTCATTTCAAGCAAAGCAAATATGATTTTTACGAATTTAGTGTTTATTTTAATTTTTGGGAATCCAAGATGGCCGCTTGTCACTTATATATTTCGATTTTACCCAAAAATAAATCGTGTTGGGTGTCATTTCAAGCAAATCAAAGATGATTTTTACGAATTTGATGTTTATTATATTTTTGGGAAAATCAAGATGGCCGCTTGTCACTTATATGTTTCGATTTTACCCAAAATAGGGTATGTTGGGTGTCATTTCAAACAAACCCAACATGATTTTTACGAATTTGATGTTTATTTTATTTTTTGGAAATCCAAGATGGCCGCTTGTCGCTTATATATTTCGATTTTACCTAAAATAAATCGTGTTGGGTGTCATTTCAAGCAAATCAAAGATGAACTTTACGAATTTAATGTGTATTTTATTTTTTGGAAATTCAAGATGGCCGCTTGTCACTTATATATTTCGATTTTACCCAAAATAGGTTATGTTGGGTGTCATTTCAAGCAAATCAAAGATGATCTTTACGAATTTAATGCTTATTTCACCGAGCTGTTTTGTCATCAACTGACATGTCATGATCTCGTTTTTCGAGAAACTGCTAATGCCGAAAACCTCAAAACTATCGTCTTTTGTTTTTCTCCTAGAGGTCAAAATTGAAAATATCGTGAAACCAACAAGTGCAATTATCTTGGTTATTATTATAGGTGGAGTATTATAACTAAGACGTTGAATGGACACTTTTTTACACAGAATATAATGTAATATGTCCTATTCGGACATCGAATTTGAACCACTCTATACACGATGTCATTGTATTAATTTAAAGTCGTTTGCGACTGAGGTAGTGCAGTTAATATTATATTAATACAAGAATGATTGAATTCATATATATACTATCTCCTATATCGCTGACTCCCTATCTAAGCAATGAGTTGCGAGCGTTTCCATCAAAAGCAGACGGAATGATATATGTTTTGTCTTTGTCGTGCCCCCATGTCGTGAAGGTGCTTGCGCGAATCGTAAATTTTAAAGAGTTTGAAGTGTTTCGCGCGTATTTTATGCAGCTTTGAAATGCAATTATTGTAGATAATTGACTTTAATTATAAATTATCGTAGATGCATCAAATAAATTAGAATATATGTACTTTTGTGTGAAATTGACGTTGAATATTGCTTTAAATATCAACTTTATGTAGGTTGTTCATTAAACATTATATTCTTTAAAATTAAATTAATACATATATACATAGTAATTATTAAAAATGTGTACCAAAATATAGTTATTAATTTTTAACATAATTTGTGAGCATACGCCCTTTAATGAAGTTGTTACATTAATTAAAGATATAAAATATGTACTTAGGGTACTTACTATTTAATGTACATAATATTCTATCATAAAATTTTCATCATATCGATGTAATTATTAATTAAATTTTTAAGAAAAATGTTTCAAGAAAAGGAGGGCTTTGAATTCTTTTTTATTACACTGAGATCTTTCCTTCTACCTTTATTTTACTTTTAACAAATTTTCTTCACTTTCTTAACAAATAATAATTACATTTTAAATTGCTTAGTCCTAAAATATGTTAATAATTATGTTGTTATACACATGAAACCTATAATATACATAACTAAATATTTAGATTTTAGGTTATGTTTATGTCAAACATTTATTTGGTGTTTTATAAACATCAAGGTCATCAGCTGCTATTAATTTTTAATTCACCGTCCAATAAGATAAAAGCGTACTCACCACGTTCACGCATGTCTCTTGAGTAGACGGGGGCACGACAGAGACAGATATATATATATCTGCACTCTAGTGTTTACACTCTTTTGCTGCCTTAGTCAGCGATATAGGAGATAGTATATATATGATTGAATTGGTATTGGTATGCAACCAATATCACAGATTGGTATTGCAACGCGGCGAAAGTTCCTCAAAACGATGGCGACAATTCATTCTTTCTGTCCTTTTATTTAAAATAATTCTTAGTGTACGCATAGATTGAAATTAATGTTGAAAGTAGTGCTCATTTTGATTTGTTTATTAACTTACCGCTTAAAGCAACCGCTAGAAACAACGATAGTTCGAAAAATATAAAGGCAGCTAAAAACGGTTAAAGAACAAAAAACTGACAAAGCGGCGTCAACATCTGGTTCAATCTGGTTACTAATTTAAAATTATCTAAGCCACCACTACATATTGACATATGCAGCCAATATTACACAGGTCACGTGGATTACGATAATTAATTAACACAGTGTATGTGATGAAATTGTATTAATTTAAGGTCACTTGCGGCTGAGGCAGTGCAGTTAATACCATATCAACTCAAGGCTGGTGTTACACAACCTACTGCCTCGGCCGCAAGCGACCTCGGCTTAATACATTGAAGTATATGATGTCATTCTATTAACACAAAAATTATATCAACACAAAAATGGTATGAAACAACTTACTGCCTCGGCCGCAAGCGACTTCGGGTTAATATATTGAAGTATATGATGTGATTGTATTAATTTAAGGTCACTTGCGGCTGAGGCAGTACAGTTAATACCATATCAATACAAGAATGGTATGAAACAACCTACTGCCTCGGCCGCAAACGACCTCGGCTTAATCCACTGAAGTATACAACGTCGTTGTATTAATTTAAGGTTACTTGCGGCTGAGGCAGTACAATTAATACCTTATCAATACAAAAATGGTATGAAACAACCTACTGCATCGGCCGCAAGCGACCTCGGCTTAATACACTGAAGTATACGATGTCATTGTATTAATTTAAGATAACTTGCGGCTCAGGCAGTACAATTAATACTTTATCAATACAAAAATGGTATGAAACAACCTACTGCCTCGGCCGCAAGCGACTTCGGCTTAATCCACTGAAGTATACAACGTCGTTATATTAATTTAAGGTCATTTACGGCTGAGGCAGTACAATTAATACTTTATCAATACAAAAATGGTATGAAACAACCTACCGCCTCGGCCGCAAGCGACCTCGGCTTAATACATTGAAGTACAGGATGTCATTGTATTAATTTAAGGTCACTTGCGGCTGAAGCAGTACAATTAATACTTTTTCAATACAAAAATGGTATGGAACAGAACAACCTACTGCGTCGGCCGCAAGCGACCTCGGCTTAATACATTGAAGTACACGATGTCATCATATTAATTTAAGATCGTTTGCGACTGAGGCAGTACGGTTAATATCATATCAACACATGAATGGTGTAAAACAACCTACTGCCTCGGCCGCAAGCGACCTCGGCTTAATACACTGAAGTATACGATGTAATTGTATTAATTTAAGGTAACTTGCGATTGAAGCAATACAGTTAATACCATATCAATACAAGAATGGTATGAAACAACCTACTGCCTCGGCCGCAAGCGACCTCGCCTTGATACAGTGAAGTACACGATATCATTGTATTAATTTAAGGTCACTTGCGGCTGAGGCAGTACAGTTAATACTATATCAACACAGGAATGGTATGAAACAACCTACTGCCTCAGCCGCAAGCGACTTCGGCTTAATATATTGAAGTATATGATGTCATTGTATTAATTTAAGGTCACTTGCGGCTGAGGCAGTACAGTTAATACCATATTAACACAAGACTGATGTCAAACAACTTACTGCCTCGGCCGCAAGCGACCTCGGCTTAATACAGTGAAGTACAGGATGTCATTGTATTAATTTAAGGTCACTTGCGGCTGAAGCAGTACAATTAATACTTTTTCAACACAAAAATGGTATGAAACAACCTATTGCCTCGGCCGCAAGCGACCTCGGCTTAATACACTAAAGTATACGATGTCATTGTATTAATTTAAGGTAACTTGCGGCTGAGGCAGTACAGTTAATACCATATTAACACAAAACTGGTGTTAAACAAACTACTGCCTCGGCCGCAAGCGACCTCGGCTTAATATACTGAAGTATACGATGTCATTGTATTAATTTAAGGTCACTTGCGGCTGAGGCAGTACAGTTAATACCATATCAACACAAGACTGATGTCAAACAACCTACTGCCTCGGCCGCAAGCGACCTCGGCTTAATACAGTGAAGTACACGATGTCATTGTGTTAATGCTATATCAACACAAAAATGGTATGAAACAACCTACTGCCTCGGCCGCAAGCGGCCTCGGATCGAGGCACAATTAAGACAAAATCAAGTTGTTTTTTCAAATCGTTTAGTTCAGTATCCATTTGTTATCGAATGTAGCACAGAGTAAAAAATGAACCAAAAAAATAATTAATGAAGAAGATAAAATTTTTAAGTCGGGGTCACATTGAGGTACTTACAGATATTTTTTGTTTTCGTAAACATCGCTCAGTCCTAAAACGTGGGGATGATCGATGAGTTTCATAATCGCTATTTCTCGCTCAACTTTCATTAAGACACTTTCGCTTAATTTCTCCCTATTTATGATCTTTATGGCGACCTTTTTTCCCGTTACACAATGAACCCCCAATTTAACGAGACCTAGAAGTTAAATTATTAAAATTAATAAAAAAAATGTATAGAATTTTTTTGTTTACCTGTTTGTCCTTTCCCCAAGGTTTTTTCTAACCTATAAGGTCCGACGTATTGGTGGATTTCCGGCGATTGATTCGTTCCGTCCTTTTGCATTTTATCCAATTTCGTTAACTGTTCGAGTTAATCAAAAATTTTGTTCGTCACGAAAAAAACTCCATCTTATTTGCAATTTTCTTTATTTCGAACCCACACATTTTCGTTTTTTCATTTCTTTAAGACGATTTTTCGTTTTTGTAATCATCATTTTTTACCTTTAAATTTTTATTAATTTAAAACTTGATTATCTATTTCGTATCTTACCTAATATTGTTGATGATAATGTTATTTCTCGGAATTAACTCGATGACATTAACGCTATTGGGATCGAATTCGAGTAAAAAAAAAGTAATCGTCGTCCTCCTCAAACCTTTTTTTTAATTCCTCCCCAACGTTCGGGTCGTCCCCCTTAATATTTTTGGATTGTTTAAAAAAAATTGCACTTAAAAATCGCGTGAAGTCATTTTAAAACGTTCGGGGTGGGATTCTCGAATTTAACTTCACCACTTTCGTTGGATTGTGGGGGACATACTATGCCACAGGGGTGTACTGTGTCCAGAAGCAAAATCAATATTTTCAGTGCTTTAAAGCTGGGATACCCCGTCGCGATAAAATCCCTACATAAACTCGATTTCAAATTATTAATTCATTTGCATCATTTCTCAAACGCTTTTTAACATATCGAATTTGTTGCAAAACTTGTTAATAATCAAAATTATTTTAAAAAATATATATAAAGACATTCAGCGCCATCTCTCGGATATTATCGCGATTACTTTGTGTCAATTCAAATTTTATTTATAAAATTATATGAAATCGAATATGGATAAAAGGACTGAGAAATCTTTTATTCTTTTGGTAGCCAAAACATGTCACCTAACTCAGGCTATATCAATTAAAATTGATATTTGAATACTAATATTCTACTCAGACAACATTCATTTCAGTGTATTAAGCCGAGGTTGCTTGCGGCCGAGGCGGTAGGTTGTTTTACACCATTCCTGCGTTAATATCATATTAACTGTACTGCCTCAGTCGTAAACGATATTAAATTAATATAATGACATCGTGTACTTTACTATATTAAGCCGAGGTCGCTTGCGGCCGAGGCAGCAGGTTGTTTGACACCAGCCTTGTATTGATATGGTATTTACTGTACTGCCTCAGCCGCAAGTTACCTTAAATTAATACAATGATATCGTATACTTTAGTATATTAAGCCGAGGTCGCTTGCGGCCGAGGCAGTAGGTTGTTTGACACCAGTCTTGTGTTAACATGGTATTTACTGCACTGCCTCAGCCGCAAGTGACCTTAAATTAATACAATGACATCGTACACTTCAATATATTAAGCCGAAGTCGCTTGCGGCCGAGGCAGTAAGTTGTTTCATACCATTTTTGTGTTGATATAGTATTAACTGTACTGCCTCAGCTGCAAGTTACCTTAAATTAATACAATGACATCGTGTACTTCACTGTATTAAGCCGAGGTCGCTTGCGGCCGAGGCAGTAGGTTATTTCATATCATTCTTGTGTTGATGTGGTATTAACTGTATTGCCTCAATCGCAAATGACCCTAAATTAATACAATGACATCGTGTACTTCACTGTATTAAGCCGAGGTCGCTTGCGGCCGAGGCAGTAGGTTGTTTTACACCATTCCTGCGTTGATATGATATTAACCGTATTGCCTCAGTCGCAAACAATCTTAAATTAATGTGATGACATAGTGTACTTCAATGTATTAAGTCGAGGTCGCTTGCGGCCGAGGCAGTAGGTTGTTTTATACCATTCCTGCGTTGATATGATATTAACCGTACTGCCTCAGTCGCAAACAATCTTAAATTAATGTGATGACATAGTGTACTTCACTGTATTAAGCCGAGGTCGCTTGCGGCCGAGGCAGTAGGTTGTTTCATTCCATTTTTGTGTTGATATAGTATTAACTGTACTGCCTCAGTTGCAAGTGATCTCAAAATAATACAATGACATAGTGTATTTCAATGTATTAAGCCGAGGTCGCTTGCGGCCGAGGCAGTAGGTTGTTTTACACCATGCCTGCGTTGATATGATATTAATTGTACTGTTTCAGTCGCAAACGACCTCGGTTTAATACACTGAAATGCACGATATTACTGTAGTAAGCCGAGGTCGCTTGCGGCCGAGGCAGTACGTTGTTTGACACCAGTCTTGTTGATAAGATATTAACAGTAACGCTTCGCCTGCAACCGACCTCGACTTCGTGCATTTCAATGTATTAAACCGAGGCCAGTTAAGGTTGAGGCTGTAAGTTATATGTATAATACCATTAATTATATGTATTAAGTGTATCGCCCCGGTTTACTACATGGACATCGTGCAATTCAGTATATTAAGCCGAGGTCGCTTGCGGCTGAGGCAGTACGTTGTTTGACACCAGTCTTGTGTTGATATGATATTAACTTTATCTCCTCAGCCGCAAGCAACCTTGGCTTAATATAATAACATCGTGTACTTTAGTGTATTAAACCGAGGCCTTTGGATTAATGCAATGACATCATGTATTTTAGTGTATACTTTTCAGTGTATTAATTAATTATTTGTTTGTGTTGACATGGTATTAACTCATCTGCAAACCACCTAGGCTTGATTGTGTGTCATTGTGAATTGCAGTTGATTTAGCCTCTGTTGTTTGCGGCCGAAGCGTTTTGTTTTATATCAGTTTCGTGCTGACATGGTATTAATTGTAGGGCCTAATGGAGGTCATACACCATACGGTTTAAAACTGTACAGTTATCGCCGCATGTACAGGGTGGGCAAATTTGGGGGTTATTATAGGCTATCTCAGAAACTATAAGAAATACTATAGTATAGTCTCGAAAAAAGAGACCGGACATGGCATCTACTTTTTTCGTATTTCTTATAGTTTCTGAGATAGCCTATAATAACACCAAAATTTGCCCATCCTGTACATGCAACCAAGCAAATACCAAATTTGACTCGTTACATTTGCGCGCATGCATACTTTTTATGAAAGATATCATGGCACAACTTGAAATTTTCTCCGACGTTTCGTTTTCGTGGAACTATCATCAGGTGTATTTTTTCTTATCAACGCCATATTTGATTTTCACACAAAAAAATAGGATAATTAATTTTGATTTTAATTATATGTCACACAATGTATTTCATTTAAAAAAAACATTGAATTATTCAAAGAAAAAAGAGTTTCTAGGATCCCAATGGTGGGGGTCGAATTTGAATTACCCCCTGTATAAATAAAGATAGCTACGAAGACTTGGGTGGCGTAATTTTTTCCTTTTATACAGGGTGTATCTGAATGACGTGTCCAAACTTCAGAGGGTGATTCTTTAGGCAATTTTAAGGGTACTTTGATATATGAACCATGGGCGACTTCGGCTCCCATAAGGAGCTACACCCCTCCAAAAATGGTGGAAAATTTTGGTTAAATTTGCTTTTCTCAAAAACCATAAACGCTAGGAAAATGAAATTTGGGGAATATGTTTAACTCATAATAGGGCACGTTTTGACCCTATTTGTACTTTCAACCTGCACTTGTTCATAGTTTTAGGTCTACCACTACATAACAATTAAAACTAGAACTAACACTAAACCCGAACGTTTCTAGGTCTAGTGTTAGTTCTAGTTTTATACTAACACAGTTACTATGTAGAACTAACACTATACCTAGAACTAGAATCATTTGGGTTTAGCCACACGTCTCTAAAGACGGCTAAACCCGAATGATTCTAGTTCCAGGTATGGTGTTAGTTCTAGTTTTACACTAGTACTGTCACTAAAAGTAACACTATACTTAGAACTAGAATAATTTGTGTTTAGCCGCCTCAAGAGACGTGAACCAGAAGTGAAAATAGCGGTATCCCGCCAAATTTTTACCACCAATAGCAACATACCTTGATAACTCGCTATAATATGGCGTCAGATTTGGCGGGATACTGCCACCATGCACCAGTCACTCGTATTAATGAAATGGGGAACTAGTATATTAAAAAACAAGTTTCGTAAGACACGCTTGAAATGCACGAATTCAAGTTGAAAAAGGAGTGGCGAAGCCACGAGTTTTTTAATGAATGAGTGCTTTAAGTCTTATGAATTTATTTATGTTTTTATACTTTTTTTTAACAATAATAAAGTAAATTTTGGCAATGTAGGGAAATAGGTATATAGCAGTTGGTAACACCGGAACACTTGAAAATAGAAACTTTGAATTGACAATTAGAAACTGTCAAAACACAAAATATATTCACCTGAAAAAAATGTTTGATGTACACCTCCCAAAATAAGATAAATTGCTCAATGTCCTCATCATTGTGGACTTTGTATTCGATGCTAAGAACGTGTTTAAATATCCATAGACAAAAATTGTCACATTGACAACTAGAAAAATTAATGACCCAATGTCACCAACTTGAACTGGTTCCATAAAATGTTACTAAAATCTCATTACAGCACCCGTTCGAGTACTGTTATAGCTTCCATTACCGTAGCGAATTACAAAAATATGTTTAATTCTGGATACTGTCACTTATAGCATTGCTTTCGATTACAGAACCCATTTTGACCATTTTTTGAGTTGTCAGTTTGACTGATTTGACCAGGTTTGATATGGTAATATTTTTGATTGCATGATTGTGTTGTGTACAGAGCTAGCGATTTGTTGTTGTTACTTTATAATAAGTACTTCGATTAACCCTGTATCAATCAAATAATAATTTAATACCTGGTCATATTTTTCTTACACGGTTTATACACTTTTCTGGCCTGCACTAAGTTGACATGACATTGCACTTACACGTCATTGCACTATGACGTCATACGAGTGCCATGTCGTGCAGAGTAGTGCAGTCCCAACGAACAAAGCTAATTTGTATAAAATCGACAAAACTTTGAAATAACAAATTTAATTTATATTTCCCGCCTACCGATGATTTCAACGCTGTAGGTGGCAGTATCTAAAACTAATTATATATAGTACTTATTGGCCTATCTATACAACAAATATATCTTATTTATGACTTTTGGTTATTCTGTGCCTTGATGTAGCAGAATTTTAACATAATTAATTATTAAAAACGTCTCTTCTAAGGATAATGAATATGTAAGAGGTAAAAAAAAGTTTTTAGACCACTTACAATTTATTAACTAACAAAAACATTCAATGAAACCCAACAACGGGTACTTTTTTCAAAATACCCTCCAAAACCGACGGCACAAGCGCCATAAACTTAAACCTTTCCCCCATCTTCTCCAAATTCATCAACATATCATACCCAAATCTCAAACTTTTTAATTGTTTCTCATCGGCGTTCTCCTCCAAAACTTTAATTCGATGCTCAATTCCCATTTTAATCAAAAAATCTCGCTGAGTAACCGGCCCAAACGCTAAAACTTTCCCATCTTCAACTCCAGCTCGTTTAATCGCCGCGAAATCAACATCCGCGGTTAAATCAGCACTTCCTGGATCAATTAGCGGATCGTGTTGTTTATGGTCTTTAAACGCACGAAATGTGTCGGTCCCTTCACCGTTATGGCCATAATCAGCGATTAAACAAAACCCCCCATCCGATTCAATCCTCGTTGCGATTTCTTTAATCATTAACAAACTTTGAGGGGAAATTTCGAAATTTTCGCGACTCTCATCGCTTCGTAAGAATAATTTTTGAGTTGGAGTTTCTTCTTTGGCTAAAACATATCTGAAACAACCCTCTTTGTCTTTATCGATATCAATTAAAATCTCTCGATACCCCAAATCGGTTTTTTTAAATTTATTTATGGGTAAAGCGTCAAAAAATTCGTTCGCTATTAATAAAGTAAAAACATTTGGGACATCCTGTAACGTTTTGTACCATTTCACCGGGATATTTTCGATTATACTCATCCCCTCGCGATAAATCACCGCGTTTTGATCAGGATTTAAATTGGTGGTTGCACATAACCTCCTTGCTTGGGAGTCGCTTAATACCGGGCTAATCTCAACTAAGCTTATGTTGGCTTGTTTTAACGAATCGAAATGTTTAAAGACTCGAAGAATATCTTGCATTAAAGTCCCCCGCCCCGGTCCTAATTCAACAATTTGAAACGGTTTTGGGGCCCCAACTTTCGACCATTCGTTTAAAAACCAAATTGCGATCATCTCACCAAAAATTTGGCTCAATTCTGGGGATGTGATGAAATCGCCAGATTCCCCCATCGGTTCGCGGTTGATGTAGTAACCTTGAGATGGGTGAATAAGAACTTCCTTCATGTAATCCGAAACGGGAATTGGACCCATCGCCTTAATTTTTTGATAAATTTGTTTCGCCAAATCGTATTGCTTCTTATCCAAGTTCGGCTTAACCGTGTAATAATTACGGAAAGTCGTGTAAATTAACCGAGACGCCGTTCGATACATTTTTAATCATTAATTAAAAAGTCAACATAACCCAACTTATTTTATTTCGCTATTTTCTCGGAATTCTTGAACTCTGGGGTGAAAATTTTAATCAAACGTGGTTAATTAAGTTAATTTCTCACCATTACGTCGTATATCAGCGGTTATTTTCGTGCTTTTTTGCACGATTTGATTAGAAATAAGAAACGTCAAAAATTGAGGTTATGTCAATACTTTAGCCGGCGATAAAAATAATCTTATCGATTTAAATTTGTAAAAATGAATCAATTCGTTCAACGTTATTAATCAATAATTAATTGATTAATAAGTAAATTTGAAATTAAATTAATTTAATAAAAAAAATTAATCATTTTGAAGCGCCATCTTTTGACGTAAATCACCATGTCGCCGTTAATTCAATCTCGTAATAACTTTATTTTCGCTAACTTCTTCCGAAAATCAAAATTTCATCAAATCAAAAGAACTCAAAAGTGATGATTAAAGCTTCCTTTTTGATACTTACAAGGTAATAAAACTTAGAAATAATAAAAAAAACTTACCAAATGGGAAGTCAAAAAATCGTGACGTTTGACGTATTGGGTTTAATAAAGATGGCGACATCTGTGGGATTATTTTCGAATTAACTATCGTTAACTAACTTCATTTCTTAAACCTAAAATAATTTAAAAATTAATATTTAATTAAAAAAATTAATACCAATGATAATTAAAGTTAATTTTGACGAAATTGTTTATAATAAAGTTTGAATTGTTTCAAAAATTTTAAACACAACCTAAACGTCAAAAAATGTTAATGAAAAATCATTTTTACGATCTAAATTTATAAAAATGAACCAATTAATTCCTTATTTATCGTTATTAATTAATTAATAAGTTAAATTAATTTAATAAAGAAAATTAAATCATTTTGAAGCGCCATCTTTTGACGTAAATTGATGTAAGTAATAAAAAAATTTTAAATCAACTTAAATCTTATCAAAAATTAAAGTGGTGAACTTTCGCAAGTTTAATTCAGTACCAATATCACCATGTCGCCGTTAATTCAATCCCTTTTTCTCCTAATAAATTTATTTTCGCTAACTTTTTCCGAAAATATTCTCTTCATGACAACTACACCACTTTTTAATTATTTCATCAAATCAAAAGAACTCAAAAGTGATGATTAAAGCTTCCTATTTTGATATTTACCAGGTAATAGAACTTAGAAATAATAAAAAAAACTTACCAAATAGGAAATCAAAAAATTGTGACGTTTGACACATTTGAGGTTACTAAAGGTGGCGACATCTGTGGGATTATTTTCGAATTAATTATCGTTCTCTAACTTCATATCTTATACCTAAAATAATTTAAAAATTAATATTTAATTAAAAAAATTAATAACAATGATAATTAAGTTAATAATTAAAGTTATTTTTGACGAAATTGTTTATAATAAAGTTTGAATTGTTTCAAAAATTTTAAACACAACCTAAACGTCAAAAAAATTTTAATTAAAAATCATTTTACGATTTAAATTTATAAAAATGAACCAATTAATTCCTTATTTATCGTTATTAATTAATAATTAATTAATTAATAAGTTAAATTAATTTAATAAAAAAAATTAAATCATTTTGAAGCGCCATCTTTTGACGAAAATCGACGTAACTAATAAAAAAATTTTAAATCAACTTAAATCTTATCAAAAATTAAAGCGGAGAACTTTCGCAAGTTTAATTCAGTATCAATATCACCAAGTCGTCGTTAATTACAAGGTAATTGAACTCGGAAATAATAAAAAAAACTTACCAAATGGGAAATCAAAAAATTGTGACGTTTGACGTATCGAGTTTAATAAAGGTGGCGCCATCTGTGGGATTATTTTCGAATTAATTATCGTTAACTAACTTCATTTCTTATGTCTATAATAATTTAAAAATTAATATTTAAATAAAAAAATAATAACAATGATAATTAAATTAATAATTAATGTTATTAATAAGTAAATTTAACGTTAAATTAATTTAATAAAGAAAATTAAATCATTTTGAAACGCCATCTTTTGACGTAAATTGCAATAACTAATAAAAAAATTTTAAATCAACTTAAACCTTATCAAAAATTAAAGTGGAGAACTTTTCCAAGTGTAATTCAGTATCAATATCACCATGTCGCCGTTAATTCAATCCCTTTTTCTCCTAATAACTTTATTTTCGCTAACTTCATCAGAAAACATCCTCTTCGTGACAACTGCACCATTATATGGGGCCCAAATGGTGCTACAACCCATCTGGACGCAACTTTCGAAGAGCCACACCGTAACTGTAATCACACCAAACCCAACGAATCAAAAAAACAATACAAATTTAAAAGAAATCGACATCAAATTCATCTACGAATTCATCGAAATGAAATATGATTTCTCCCAATACGTAGCGAAATACAAAGATGAGCCTTTAAGGTACTCGACGTTCTTAACGACGGTTTTAACCGGGATTAATAACGAAGTGTTGAAACACCCCGATGTTAAAGCGTTGATTAAGGATGATTCGTTAAGTTTTGATTTAACAATTGTTGAATTTATCACGGTTCCTACGATGCTTGCTTTCGGACATCGGTTTAAAACTCCAATTATTGCGATTACAACAACGGACGCTTCCGTTTTGGGGCAAGACTCCATCGGAAATCCAAACCATCCGGCTTTGAACCCAGATTTAATGTTGAAATTCCACGGAGATTTATCATTCATGCAAAGAGTTTTTAGCACGTTGAGTTTGGTCAGTCGAAAAGCGGTGGCTCATTTAGTGAAAAGGGTCGAGGATGAAACCGTTTCGAAACACTTCGGCGATAATTATCCGAGTTTGGATGAACTTACGGATCGAATCGATTTATTTTTGATGAATGTTAATTTGGGATTTCATAATTTAAGACCCACCGTTCCGGCCGTTGTTCATTTTGGGGGTGAAATGAGCGTAAAACCCGCTGGAAAATTACCAGAGGTAACATTTCCTTTTTTTTTTGAGGTTAAATTCGCCTAAAACATAAAAAATTAATAAGATTAATAAAAAAAAATAAAATTGGAGTAAAGATTTGATAAAGTTAAGTGAAAAACACTTCATTTAAGTGGATTTTAATCTTATAATTTAATCTCGATTTATTTATTTAACGAAAGTGGGGTTAAAATTAAGTCGGTAAAACAGGATTCTTTTTTGTGACTGTCACTAATTAAAAAAAGCTTTTTAAAACCACTTTTGGGATAAACTAATTAATTATTGTGAGTAAATTACTTTATAATAAAGAGTTTAAAATCATCTAAGTATCATTTTTATCATTAAAACGAAGAATTAAATTTTTTAGGTTATGTTATATCAAAAAAATTTTAGATTTTGCTATTTTCTTGTAATTCTTGATGAAAATATTAATCAAACGTGCTTAATTTCGTTGTAAATTAACGATATTTTCTCTATAATTTGATTAAAATGGAATTTTTGAGGTTATCTTTGTTAAAATTTTGTAGGATATCAAGAAATTTTTGGACGATGGAAAAGACGGAGTGGTTTATTTCAATTTAGGAACGGTAATAAGGGCCAGAATGATCAAGCCGGAACTCCTCGAGGCGATTTTTACGAGTTTCGCTCGACTCCCGTATCGATTTATCATAAAATTGGACGTCCCCGATACATATCCGGGAAAGCCGGATAATATCATGATTAAAACTTGGTTACCACAACAAGATATTCTACGTAAATAACTTTTAACCGATTTAATTCAATTAAAATTGATTTTATAACGTTTTAGGTCACGAAAATGTTAAAGTTTTCATCACACAATGTGGGTTACAATCGATTGAGGAAGCGATTTATCACAACGTTCCAATAATAGGGTTACCATTCTTTGGGGACCAATACAGTAATTGTTTGCAAGCTGAGGAGAAGGGTATTGGAATAATTTTCGATGTAAATCGATTGGATTCGAGGAAATTAATCGCCGCTATCGAGGAAGTGATAAATACCCCAACGTATGCTTTTAATTAAAGAATAAAACGTTTTAAATCACAATTTCATTTTTTAGTTATGAGGAAAAAACGAAAATGATTTCAAAAATCGCTTTGGATCAACCAATGACCGGTTTGGAGAGAGCCACGTGGTGGATTAATCACATTTTACGTTACAAGGGTGGAAAGCATTTGCGAGCGCCTTCTTTAAACGTTCCATTTTGGAAGTTTTATTTATTGGACGTTTTAGCTTTTATCGGTTTTATCGTTTTAAGCGTTTTCAGGGTGCTTTACTTTTTAATTAAGAAATGTTTGCGGTGTTGTATTAAAAAGAGTCATAAAACTAAATCGCAATAGAAATAATAAAAAAACTTACCAAATGCGAAATCAAAAAATTGTGACGTTTGACACATTTGAGGTTAATAAAGGTGGCGACATCTGTGGGACTATTTTCGAATTAATTATCGTTCTCTAACTTCATATCTTATACCTAAAATAATTTAAAAATTAATATTTAATCAAAAAAATTAATAACAATGATAATTAAAGTTATTTTTGGCGAAAGAAGTTTGAATTGTTTCAAAAATTAAGTTAATCTCAAAAATTTTAAACACAACCTAAACGTCAAAAAAATTTAAATCAACTTAAATCTTATCAAAAATTAAAGTGGAGAACTTTCGCAAGTTTAATTCAGTATCAATATCACCAAGTCGACGTTAATTCAATCCCTTTTTCTCCTAATAACTTTATTTTCGCTAAGTTCTTCCGAAAACATCCTCTTCATGACAACTACACCACTTTTTAATTATTTCATCAAATCAAAAGAACTCAAAAGTGATGATTAAAGCTTCCTATTTTGATATTTACCAGGTAATAGAACTTAGAAATAATAAAAAAAACTTACCAAATGGGAAATCAAAAAATTGTGACGTTTGACACATTTGAGGTTACTAAAGGTGGCGACATCTGTGGGATTATTTTCGAATTAATTATCGTTCTCTAACTTCATATCTTATACCTAAAATAATTTAAAAATTAATATTTAATTAAAAAAATTAATAACAATGATAATTAAGTTAATAATTAAACTTATTTTTGACGAAATTGTTTATAATAAAGTTTGAATTGTTTCAAAAATTTTAAACAACCTAAACATCAAAAAAATTTTAATTAAAAATCATTTTTACGATTAAAATTTGTAAAAATGAACCAATTAATTCCTTATTTATCGTTATTAATTAATAATTAATTAATTAATAAGTTAAATTAATTTAATAAACAAAATTAAATCATTTTGAAGCGCCATCTTTTGACGTAAATTGATGTAAGTAATAAAAAAAATTTAAATCAACTTAAATCTTATCAAAAATTAAAGTGGAAAACTTTCCTAAGTTTAATTCAGTATCAATATCACCAAGTCGACGTTAATTCAATCCCTTTTTCTCCTAATAACTTTATTTTCGCTAACTTCTTCCGAAAATATCCTCTTCATGACAACTACACCACTTTTTAATTATTTCATCAAATCAAAAGAACTCAAAAGTGATGATTAAAGCTTCCTTTTTGATATTTACAAGGTAATAAAACTTAGAAATAATAAAAAAAACTTACCAAATGGGAAATCAAAAAATTGTGACGTTTGACATATTTGAGGTTAATGAAGGTGGCGACATCTGTGGGATTATTTTCGAATTAATTATCGTTCTCTAACTTTATATCTGATACCTAAAATAATTTAAAAATTAATATTTAATTAAAAAAATTAATAACAATGGTAATTAAGTTAATAATTAAACTTATTTTTGACGAAATTATTTATAATAACGTTTGAATTGTTTCAAAAATTTTAAACACAACCTAAACGTCAAAAAAATTTTAATTAAAAATCATTTTTACGATTTAAATTTGTAAAAATGAACCAATTAATTCCTTATTTATCGTTATTAATTAATAATTAATTAATTAATAAGTTAAATTAATTTAATAAAGAAAATTAAATCATTTTGAAGCGCCATCTTTTGACGTAAATTGATGTAAGTAATAAAAAAATTTTAAATCAACTTAAATCTTATCAAAAATTAAAGTGGAGAACTTTCGCAAGTTTAATTCAGTATCAACATCACCAAGTCGCCGTTAATTCAATCCCTTTTTCTCCTAATAACTTTATTTTCGCTAATTTCTTCCGAAAACATCCTCTTCATGACAACTACACCACTTTTTAATTAATTCATCAAATCAAAAGAACTCGAAAGTGTTGATTAAAGCTTCCTATTTTGATATTTACAAGGTAATAGAACTTAGAAATAATAAAAAAACTTACCAAATGGGAAATCAAAAAATTGTGACGTTTGACACATTTGAGGTTAATGAAGGTGGCGACATCTGTGGGATTATTTTCGAATTAATCATTCATTTCTTATACCTAAAATAATTTAAATATTAATATTTAATTAATAACAATGATAAATAAGTTAATAATTAAAGTTATTTTTGACGAAATTGTTTATAATAAAATTTGAATTATTTCAAAAATTAAATTTTAACATAACCTAAACGTCAAAAAAATTTTAAATTAATTACAAATGTTTAATTATCACAAATAAACACAATAAAAATCAAAACCCATCTCGTTTAGATAACCGATCAATTACAAATCAAAGTTAATTCACTTTAAATTTCATTATAAAAAGATAAAAATGTTGAAGTGTCTATTGTATTATTATTTGTTCTACTTTAATCCCCATTGTCATAAATTTCCGTATTTAATTGCCATTAGATAAAAATCTTCTACATCGCAACAATTATCGATTTCAAAATGAACATGTTTTCAGATTTTTATCACAAAAAATCTGCGCATTCCAAACTTCATTTAGAAATAGTTAATCGATTATCTTAATTACCATCTCATTGTTATTAAAAAAAAAGAATTCGAGTCAACTCTAATTAATTATACCACTAAAAATAGTAATACTCCACTATTTTCGATATTATTTCTCATTTTTACGCCTTCCAATATTGAAAGGGGCACTCAAAACGATAACAGATTAATAATAACACAAAAAAATAATGTTAGATAGAGATTTCTAAGTTGATTATAAAAGGGAGCACATTGTTTGATGATGCTCACTTTATAAAAGTCGTTTTCGCAAAAATGTTACCGGTTTGCATTTTTTTGTTCGTTTTAATTGGTAATAGTGAAAGTGCGAGGATTCTTTTCGTCGGGGGAACTCCATCGTACAGTCACCAAGTCGTTTATCAACCAATTTGGAAAGAATTATCCTTGAGGGGGCATCAAGTAACCGCAATAACTTCAAATCCTTTAAACGATGCCTCGTTAAGTAATTTAACCGAAATTGACACTTCCTTTGTTTATAAATTAATCGATGAAAAATACAAATTCGGCGAAACTTTGGATCGGTTAAAAGATGACACGTTAAAATTCGCTAAATACTTCTTAAATTTACTCAGTAGTATGAGCGAAGAGCAATTAGCGAGCGATCAAGTTCAAGAATTAATTAATTCTGATGCAAATTTCGACTTGGTGATAGCCGAATTCTTATTACCCACTCATTTAGCGTTCTCCCACCGATTTAACTGTCCCTTAATCGCAATCACATCCCTCGACGCTTCATTACCTGGACACGACTCAGTCGGAAATCCTTCTCACCCCGTTTTAAACCCAGACTCACTTTTACAATTCAACGGGGATTTAACATTCCTCCAACGTGTAACCAGCACCATTTATAACATCATCAGGAGAATCACCTTCGAAAGCGTTAAAAGCAAAGAAGACGAAATCGTTGCGAAGTACTTCGGAGAGGGGTACCCACCATTAACGGAGATCATCGATAGGATTGATATGTTTTTTATGAATGTTAATCCAGCGTTTCATAATTTAAGACCCACAGTTCCTGCCGTTGTCCATATCGGTGGGGGGATGAATATTAGGCCCCCGAAGAAGTTACCAGAGGTGAGGTTTTTGTTTTTAATCCATTTTTGGGGGTTAATCTAAAATAAAAATGAAATTTAATTAAAAATTAAGTAAGAAATGGGGGGTTTTAATTAATTTGGGGTGAATTAATTCGATTTAATTAAAATTTTTAAATTATTTATTTATTTACCTCTTTTAATGTCAAAGTGGCGCCATCTTTTGGGGGTTATGTCGCTTTTTATAAATATTTTGGGGGTTAATCTAAAATAAAAAAGGAATGTAATTAAAAATTAAATAAAAAATTAGGGGTTTTAATTAATTTGAGATGAATTAATTTAATTTAATTAAAATTATTTATTTATTTACCCTTATTAATGTCAAAGTAGCGCCATCTCTTGGCGGTTATGGCGTTTTAAATCCATTTTTGGGGGTTAATCTAAAATAAAAATCAAATATAATTAAAAATTAATGAAAATTAAAGAAGAAATGAGGGTTTTAATTAATTTGGCATGCATTAATTTGATTTAATTAAAATTATTAAATTATTTATTTATTTACCCCTATTAATGTTAAAGTGGCGCCATCTTTTGAGGGTTTTATGTGGCTTTTAATTCATTTTTTAGGCTTAATCTAAAATAAAAATCTAATTTAATTAAAAATTATATAAAAAATTAGGAGTTTTAATTAATTTCGGATGAGTTAATTTGATTTAATTAAAATTATTAAATTATTTATTTATTTACCTTTATTAATGTCAAAGTGGCGCCATCTTTTGGGGGTTATGTCGTTTTCTATCAATTTTTGAGGGCTAATCTAAAATAAAAATGAAATATAATTAAAATTAAATAAAATTAAATAAGAAATGACAATTTTAATTAATTTGGGATGAATTAATTTAATTTAAGTAAAATAATTTATTTATTTACCCATATTAACATCAAAGTGGCGTCATCTTTTGGGATTTATGTCGTTCTGCATCCATTTTTGGGTTTAATCTAAAATAAAAACGAAATATAATTAAAAATTAAATAAAAAATTAGGGGTTTTAATTAATTTAGGATGAATTAATTCGATTTAATTAAAATTATTTATTTATTTAACATGATTAATGTCAAAGTGGGGCCATCTTTGGGGTGTTATTTGAACTAATAATAATATCATAATAAAAGTTTAAATTAATTAATTAATTTTGTAATTTTAGGAATTACAAACGTTTTTGGATAATGCGAAAGAAGGGGTTATCTACTTTAGTATGGGAACGAACGTGAGAACGTCGACTTTATCCGAAACCTTCTTAAAAGTGCTTTTAGAAAGTTTCGCAAAATTACCATATAAAGTTTTATGGAAATTGGACAACGAAAATCTGCCTAATAAATCGGATAACATTTTAATAAGGAAGTGGTTACCGCAACAAGACGTCTTGCGGCACAAGAACGTAAAAATTTTCATTACACAGGGTGGTCTGCAAAGTATCGAGGAAGCGATCAACTTTAAAGTGCCCCTTTTGGCGGTGCCCTTCTTCGCGGATCAATTCAGCAACGCGAAACAAATCGAGGTGAAAAGAATCGGAAAAGCGTTGGATCACCATAAAGTTACAACGGAAGAATTCGTCGGCGCGGTGCAAGAAATTTTAGGAAACTCTGAGTACCAAGAGAACATTGATGAGTTATCTAAGATAGCTCATGACCAACCGATGAGTGGGTTGGAAAAAGCGGTGTGGTGGAGCGAGTATGTTCTCAGAAATAAAGGGGCGAAACATCTAAGAAGCCCTGCATTAAAAATGCCGATTTATCAATATTTGCTTTTGGACGTTTTGCTGTTTATAATCGCAACGTTTGGGGTTCTTGGGTACTTAATCTTGAAGATGGGAAGGTACCTTTTTGGGAAAGTCAATTTGGAAAAGAAGAAAACTCAAAAATTGCTGTGATAAAAAATGTAAAAAAATTAATAAAAAATTAAATTAAATTGTTTTGATTTTTTGTAAATCTGTGTGGCCCGGAGCCTGGAGCGCGAGAATCCCGGAGGGCATTAGCCTGAATCTAAAGCTTTCTGCCCGAGAAAAACAGAGAGAGAACGTACTTCTTAGTTTAGGTAGAGTTAAAAACGATGAGAGGAACAAAGAGGTAAAGTTAAAGTCATCCGGAGTGCACCGGAGAGTACGGGAGAGTAGTAGAAGCACACATACACACTCATACACAGGTAAAAATCCGGAGTCGCATTCCAACATGGCGTTCGACGAAGAAATGCCTTCGCGTAACTGTTAGATCTTCCACTTTTAATTCATTAAAATTAAAAAGATTCGTGTTTAGAGCTAGAAAAAAAATAGATAAATCGATTAAAATCATAAATAGTGATCGAATTAAACTTAAAATTAAAGTTAATATTAAAGTGAAGATGAGAAAAAATTTAAATTAATTAAAAATAAATAAATAGAAACAGAACAAAGTGATTTTTTTTAAATGTGTATGTGGTGTGTTGTGTAATATAATTATGGTGGTTAAGGTGGATTTTTCAGTTTATCTTAGAGATGTCACATAGGGATTTTACGGAGGTAAATGGATTTGAAAAAAATTATTTTATGGGAGAATGAACACGAGGGGTATAGTTTTTGAGAAAAAAGTACTTTAATTATACGCCGCGCTGTATAACCGCAAAACGACTACAAATATACGAGGAGGAAAAATAAATAAAAAAAAAATTAAAAAGAACAATGAGGGTCGTGGTTTTTAATCGAGACTAATTTTTTTTTTGTGTTGTTTTTAAAGTTGGTTCTTCCTTCCGCAGGTAGAGCCCCAGGGTACCGACGAGTTGCCCGCAGCCAGTAGGCAATTATTTTTAGAAAAAGTAAGTTTTGTTTGGGAACTAATAAATTTAATGTTGAAAACGATGCTGAGATGTTACAGATAAGATGATATTGAGTGATGTGAATAATAATTTTTTGATTACGAACGATATTGTGAGAGATAATACTGAGTAGATTGATTATTTTAAGGGTGATGACGTTAAGAGTTCATTTAAAGTTAAGTTATGAACGATGTTGAGATAAGAGATTAAAAAAAATATAACTTTGTTTCGTCATAACTTTTTGACTCACCCTTTTCTATCTTAATATTTTGTGCTAGCTACATATCAGCGACCCTGTATATAAAATATACTTTTTTTATATACATATACATTATTTTCTCGAGAACTATAAACACCAGGAAAATGAAATTTGCTTTCTAGCTTATTTGTACTTTCAATATACATTTAAAATATCTTAATAGGTTTTTTTTTATGTCAGTGTTTTTTTACTGTTATTATTGTTTTTCAAATACTCGACGTTTCAAAATTTTAAATTTATTGATTTTTGTAAAGTTGTTTATTTTGATATTAATGGATAGAAAATTAAAAATCCTTTAAAATGAACCCAAACTCGACCTATTTATCTCCAAGCGTTGTCGAGATATCTTAATTTTTAGCAAAAAAAAAAAATGGCGGTTATTTGACATTTGACAGTTTCTAACCTACCTTTTTTATGTTTTAACCTAAATATATCATGTTTGGTATCAAATTAAAGCATTTTTGATTCTTATTAAGATCATTACAATATTTATCGTTATATTTAATTTTGACATTTGACAATTTCTAACCTCACTTTGTCATTTTTTAACCCAAATATGCCATATTTGGTATCAAATTAAAGCATTTTTGATGCTTATTAAGATCATTTCAATATTTATCATAAAATCGTTACATTTAATTTCGACATTTGACAGTTTCTAACCTAACTTTTTTAATTTTTAACCCAAATATAGATATTTTTTTTTAATTTAATGGATAGAAAATTAAAAATCCTTTAAAATGAACCTAAACTCGACCTATTTATCTCCAAGCGTTATCGAGATATCTTAATTTTTAGAAAAAAGAAAATGGCGGTTATTTGACATTTGACAGTTTCTAACCTAACCTTTTTAATTTTTAACCCAAATATACCATGTTTGGCATCAAATTAAAGCATTTTTGATTCTTATTACGATCATTTCAATATTTATCAAAAAATCGTCACATTTAATTTTGACATTTGACAATTTCTAACCTTACTTTGTCATCTTTTAACCCAAATATACTATATTTAATATCAAATTAAAGCATTTCTGATTCTTATTAAGATCATTTCAACATTTATCAAAAAATCACTATATTTAATTTTGACATTTGACAGTTTCTAACCTAACTTTTTTTAATTTTTAACCCAAATATACCATGCTTGGTATCAAATTAAAGCATTTTTGATTCTTATTAAGATCATGTCAATATTTATCAAAAAATCGTTATATTTAATATTGACATTTGACAGTTTCCAACCTAACTTTTTTATTTTTAACCCAAATATGTCTTGTTTGGTATCAAATGACAGCATTTTTGATTCTTATTAAGATTATACCAATATTTATCAAGACATAGTTATTTTCAATTTTGACATTTGACAGTTTCTAACGTAACTTTTTTAATTTTTAACCTAAATATATCATGTTTGGTATCAAATTAAAGCATTTTTGATTCTTATTACGATTATTTCAATATTTATCAAAAAATCGTTACATTTAATTTTGACATTTGACAGTTCTTAACCTAACTTTTTTAATTTTTAACCCAAATATAGATATTTTCTTTTAATATTAATGGATAGAAAATTAAAAATCCTTTAAAATGAACCTAAACTCGACATATTTATCCTCAAGCGTTATCGACATATCTTATTTTTTAGCAAAAAGAAAATGGCGGTTATTTGACGGTTGACAGTAACCTAACTTTTTAATTTTTAACTCAAATATACCATGTATGGTATCAAATTAAAGCATTTTTGATTCTTATTACGATTATTTCAATATTTATCAAAAAATAGCTATATTTAATTTTGACATTTGACAATTTCTAACCTTACTTTGTCATTTTTTAACCCAAATATACTATATTTACTATCAAATTAAAGCATTTTTGATTCTTATTAAGATCATTTCAATATTTATCAAAAAATCGCTATATTTCATTTTGACATTTGACAGTTTCTAACCTCACTTTGTCATTTTTTAATCCCAATATACCATATTTGGTATCAAATTAAAGCATTTTTGACATTTATTACGATTATTTCAATATTTATCAAAAAAATCGTTAAATTTAATTTTGACATTTGACAGTTTCTAACCTCACTTTGTCATTTTTAACCCAAATATACCATATTTGGTATAAAATTAAAGCATTTTTGATTCTTATTACGATTATTTCAATATTTATCAAAAAATCGTTACTTTTAATTTTGACATTTGACAGTTGCTAACCTACCTTTTTTAAGTTTTAACCCAAATATAGATATTTTTTTAATATTAATGGATAGAAAATCAAAAATCCTTTAAAATGAACCTAAACTCGACCTATTTATCTCCAAGCGTTATCGAGATATCTTAGTTTTTAGCAAAAAGAAAATGGCGGTTATTTGACATTTGACAGTTTCTAACCTAACTTTTTTAATTTTTAACCCAAATATACCATGTTTGGCATCAAATTAAAGCATTTTTGATTCTTATTAAGATCATTTCAATATTTATCAAAAAATCGCTATATTTCATTTTGACATTTGACAGTTTCTAACCTCACTTTGTCATTTTTTAATCCCAATATACCATATTTGGTATCAAATTAAAGCATTTTTGACATTTATTACGATTATTTCAATATTTATCAAAAAAATCGTTAAATTTAATTTTGACATTTGACAGTTTCTAACCTCACTTTGTCATTTTTAACCCAAATATACCATATTTGGTATAAAATTAAAGCATTTTTGATTCTTATTACGATTATTTCAATATTTATCAAAAAATCGTTACTTTTAATTTTGACATTTGACAGTTGCTAACCTACCTTTTTTAAGTTTTAACCCAAATATAGATATTTTTTTAATATTAATGGATAGAAAATCAAAAATCCTTTAAAATGAACCTAAACTCGACCTATTTATCTCCAAGCGTTATCGAGATATCTTAGTTTTTAGCAAAAAGAAAATGGCGGTTATTTGACATTTGACAGTTTCTAACCTAACTTTTTTAATTTTTAACCCAAATATACCATGTTTGGCATCAAATTAAAGCATTTTTGATTCTTATTACGATTATTTCAATATTTATCAAAAAATCGTTATATTTAATCTTGACATTTGACAGTTTCTAACCCCACTTTGTCATTTTTTAACCCAAATATGCCTTGTTTGGTATCAAATGGAAGCATTTTTGATTCTTATTAAGATCATACCAATATTTATCAAGAAATAGTTATTTTCAAGTTTGACATTTGACAGTTTCTAACCTAATTCTTTTATTTTTAACCCAAATAATCATGTTTGGTATCAAATGAAAGCATTTTTGATTCTTATTAAGATCATTTCAATATTTATTAAAAAATAGTCACATATAATTTTGACATATGACAGATTCTAACCTAACTTTTTTAATGCAAATATACCATGTTTGGTATCAAATCAAAGCATTTTTGATTCTTATTAGCATGATTACAATATTTATCAAAAAATCATTGCATTTCATTTTGACATTTGACAGTTTCTAGCCTAACTTTTTTAATTTTTAACCCAAATATACTATGTTTGGTATCAAATTAAAGCATTTCTGATTCTTATTAAGAATATTTCAATATTTATCAAAAAAATCGTTATATTTAATTTTGACATTTGACAGTTTCTAACTCACCTTTTTTATTTTTAACCTAAATATATACAATTGATGCTGATTGTTGATACAATATTAATTATGGAGCCTCGCCCGCAAGCGACCTCGGCTTAAGAAAAAAACATCATACACAGGGTGTCCCACATCACATAATCAGGCTACGTCATAGATTCTTGGCCATATCGACTTAAATGTAGAGCCTCGCCCGCAAGCGACCTCGGCTCAAGTGAAAAACGTCATGTATTGTGTTGACCAGATTTAGTTAATGTGGTATCAACCCCAAAATCATTTCTGACATTCTTCGATATCATTCTAAACATATCGCAATATTGCCCATCGTTCTGAACATTACTCAATATGACAATGGCACCCCTCAGCATAGTATTGAACATCCCTCAGTTTGGCACAGGCCAAACTTATACATCGTATGATCTTAGACAACTCTTAATAATATCCCTTATATACAGGGTGTCCCACGTAAGAGAAGATGAGCATTAATTAACTTTTCTTATTAATGATTCATAATTTAGGTGAGACAATCAAACGCGGCCTGTCAAAATGGAGATTTCGCAACAGCCGTGGCGCTTTACACGGACGCCTTACAACTCGACCCAACGAACCACATCTTATACTCAAACAGATCGGCGGCCAAGTTAAAACAAGGACTTTTCTCGCAAGCCCTTCAAGACGCATGCAGCGCGCGCGATCTTTGCCCAACATGGCCGAAAGCTTATTATAGGTAACCAAATCATTTTTAATTTTTAATTAATTAATTAAAATTAATTTCTTTTTTTTTGTAAATAGACAAGGAGTAGCTTTACAATGTATGGGTCGCCACGGTGATGCTTTAGCAGCTTTTAGTTCCGGTTTGGCGCAAGATCCGACTTCGCAACAACTTTTATCGGCGTTAATAGAAGCCTCGGTAAAATCGCCTTTAAGACATAATCTAGAACCGACATTTCAACAATTGGAATTGATGAAACTCGATCAAAGTCCGTTTGTTTTAATATCGGTTGTAGGTCAAGAACTTTTAGCGGCCGGCTTATACAACTCGGCAGTCACCGTTTTGGAATCAGCATTACGAATCGGATCTTGCTCGCAAAAGCTCCGCGGAAGCGTCTTTTCGGCGTTAAGCTCTGCGCATTGGGCTCTAAATCAACTCGATAAAGCCATTGGTTATATGCAACAAGATTTGGCGATCGCAAAAAGCTTAGGGGATACAGCTGGGGAGTGTCGGGCGCATGGAAATTTAGGGTCGGCTTATTTTAGTCAAGGGTCGTACAAAGAAGCTTTAACGGCTCACCGATACCAATTAGTCCTTGCGATGAAATGTAAAGATACTCAAGCTGCCGCTTCAGCTTTGACGTCTTTGGGGCACGTTTATACCGCGATCGGGGATTACCCCAACGCTTTGGCTTCGCATAAACAATGCGTGCAATTAGTTAAACAAATGGGGGATAAATTACAAGAAGCTCGCGAAATCGGAAACGTCGGAGCCGTTTATTTAGCGATCGGGGATTTCGATTCGGCCGTTGATTGTCACACGCAACATCTAAGGATCGCTAGGAGGTTGGGAAATCAAGTCGAGGAGGCTAGGGCTTATAGCAATTTAGGATCGAGTCATCATTATCGAAGAAATTTCGCCCAGGCTATTGTGTATCACGAAAAAGTTTTGCGATTAGCTCAAAATATTGGGGATAAGTAAGTAACAAATCTCAGTCATAAACCTTAAACGTCTNCAATTTAGGATCGAGTCATCATTATCGAAGAAATTTCGCCCAGGCTATTGTGTATCACGAAAAAGTTTTGCGATTAGCTCAAAATATTGGGGATAAGTAAGTAACAAATCTCAGTCATAAACCTTAAACGTCTAAAATAAGAACAGATTCCCGAAAAAACGATTTTTTTAATTGTAAAGGTTTTTTCTTAATATTAATGGATAGAAAATTAAAAATCCTTTAAAATGAGCCCAAACTCGACCTATTTATCTCTAACCGTTATCGATATATCTTAATTTTTAGCAAAAAAAAATGGCGGTTATTTGACATTTGACAGTTATAACCTAACTTTTTTGTTTTTAACCCAAATATATCGTGTTTGGTATCAAATTAAAGCATTTTTGATTCTTATTATGATCATTTCGATATTTATCAAAAAATCGTTATATTTAATTTTGACATTTGACAACTTCTAACCTAACCTTTTTATTTTTTAATCCAAAAATGTCATATTAAGGGTGGAAGATAAATAAGTTGAATTTGGGTTCGGCTCCGAGCATAAAAAAGTTAGGTTAGAAACTGTCAAATGTCAAAATTAATATGTTTTCTTTTATATTACATTAGGCAACTCTAGGAATGCTAGAAATCACCATAAGACACGTCAAAATTGTTTTCATTTGATATCGAACACGATATATTTGGATTAAAGTTAGGTTAGAAACTGTCAAATGTCACAATTAAACAACGAAAAAAAAATTATGGGTTATAAAGGTGTTCTTTCTGAACATAAATGGACAGAAAATTAAAAATGCTTTAAAATGAACCCAAACTCGACTTATTTATCTCTAACCGTTGTCGAGATATCTTAATTTTTAGCAAAAAAAATGGCAGTTATTTGACATTTGACAGTTATAACCCAACTTTTTTATTTTTGAACCCAAATATATCATGTTTGGTATCAAATTAAAGCATTTTTGATCCTTATTAAGATCATTTCGATATTTACCAAAAAATCGTTATATTTAATTTTGACATTTGACAGTTTCTAACCTAACTTTTTCATTTTTTAACTCAAATATATCGTGTTTGGTATCAAATTAATAGCATTTATGGTTCTTATTAAGATCATACCAATATTTACTAAAAAATCGTTATTTTCAGTTTTGACATTTGACAGTTATAACCTAACTTTTTTATTTTTGAACCCAAATATATCGTGTTTGGTATCAAATTAAATCATTTTTGATTCTTATTAACATCAATTCAACATATATCAAAAAATTGTTATATTTAATTTTGACATTTGACAGTTTCTAACCTAACTTTTTCATTTTTTAACTCAAATATACCATGTTTGGTATCAAATTAAATCATTTTTGATTCTTATTAAGATCATTTCAATATTTATCAAAAAATTGTTATATTTAATTTTGACATTTGACAGTTTCTAACCTAACTTTTTTAATTTTTAACCCAAATATACCATGTTTGGTATCAAATTAAATCATTTTTGATTCTTATTAAGATCATTTCAATATTTATCAAAAAATCCTTAATTTAATTTTGACATTTCACAATTTCTAACCTAACTTCTTTAATTTTTAACCCAAATACATCGTGTTTGGTATCAAATGAAAGCATTTTTTTACGGGATTACGAATTTTTCAACTTTATGAATAAATTAAATTTTTTTTGTTGTAGATCTGTGGAAGCTCGAGCTTACGCGGGATTAGGCCACGCCGCGCGATGCGCTGGGGATTATTCCCAAGCGAAACATTGGCACGAACGCCAACTTGACATGGCTTTAGCAACACGGGATAAAGTCGGGGAAGGGCGAGCTTGTTCCAACTTAGGGATCGTTTATCAATTACTCGGGGAATACGACGCTGCTTTAAAGCTTCACCAAGCGCATTTAGCGATTGCGAGAAACCTCCAAGATCGCGCCGGGATGGGGCGAGCTTACGGAAACATCGGAAACGCTTACTCAGCGGCGGGGTATTATGAATCAGCCATAAAATACCACAAACAAGAATTAACGATAAGCAAAGAAGTTCACGATAGAAGCTCCGAGGCGAGTACTCATGGTAACTTAGCAGTAGCTTACCAAGCGATCGGAGCCCATGATATGGCCTTATTACATTATCGAGCTCATTTAGGAATTGCCCGCGAATTAAAAGACACAGCCGGGGAAGCTTGCGCTTTATTAAATTTAGGAAATTGTTTAAGTTCACGCAACGAATTCGGAGAAGCCATCCCATACTACGAACAATACTTAATGTTATCCCAAGAATTGGCCGACATCGAAGGAGAAGCAAAAGCTTGCCACTTCTTAGGATACGCTCATTATTGCATCGGAAATTACCGCGAAGCCGTGAGATATTACGACCAAGATTTAGCCCTAGCTAAAGATTTACAAGACAAAATGAACATGGGGAGAGCTTATTGCAACCTCGGATTGGCCCATTTAGCTTTAACGCAATTAGACACAGCTTTAGAGTGCCAAAAATATTTTTTGGCAATCGCTCACATGACGAATAATTTAAACGGGAAATTTCGCGCTTTGGGAAACATCGGCGACGTTCTAATCAAAATGCAAGAAATTGACGAAGCCGTTAAGATGTATCACCGCCAATTAGCTTTGGCGAGAAGTAATCGAGATCGCACGATGGAAGCCGCAGCTTGCGGGGCTTTAGGAATCGCGCATCGGCTTCTAAAAAAACTCGATAAAGCTTTAGGGTATCACACCCAAGAGTTAACGTTGAGACAAGAAATGTCGGAGCTTCAAGGGGAATGTAAAGCTCACGGGCATTTAGGCGCCGTCCATATGGCGTTGGGAAACTACACCCACGCCGTTAAATGCTACCAAGAACAATTAGAACGCGCCCAAGAACTCCAAGATTGCGCCGTTGAAGCTCAAGCTTACGGAAATTTAGGAATCGCTCGTCTAAATATGGCGCATTACGAAGATGCAATCGGGTATTTCGAGCAACAATTAGCAACTTTGGAGCGATTAAGCACGTCCACGGCTCAATTGGATAAAGGGAGGGCTTTTGGGAGTTTGGGGGATTGTTACGATGCGTTGGGGGACCCCGAGGAAGCTGCGAAATGCCACGAACAATATTTATCGATGTCGTTGAAGTTGAAGAGTTCGCGGGATCAGGAGAGGGCGTATCGCGGGTTGGGGCACTCGCAAAAATCGTTGGGGAATCTACAACATGCGCTGGTTTGTTTGGAGAAGAGGTTGGTGGTTTCGCACGAATTGGGGAGTATGGAGTCGAAGGCGGCTGCTTATGGGGAGTTGGGACAGTTACATGCTAATTTGGGGAATTCCGAACAAGCCATTTCGTGCTTGGAACATCAGAAAAGTATCGCTCAAGAATTAAGTAAGTTTTTTTATCATAATTTCTTAATAAGGATCATTTCGTAAATTTTTTTTTAATTATAAAGGTGATTTTTGTTTAACATTAATGGATAGAAAATTAAAAATCCTTTAAAATGAACCCAAACTCGACCTATTTATCTTCAACCGTTTTCGAGATATTTTAATTTTTATGGCGATTATTTGACAGTTGACAGTTCCTAACCTAACTTTTTATTTTCTAATCTAAATATAACGTGTTTGGTATCAAATGAAAGCATTTTTGATACTTATTAAGATCATTTCAATATTTATCAAAAAATCGTGACATTTAGTTTTGACATTTGACAGTTTATAACCTAACTTTTTTATTTTTTAACCCAAATATATCGTGTTTGGTATCAAATTAAAGCATTTTTGATTATAATTAAGATGATTTCAATATTTATCAAAAAATCGTTATTTTTAATTATGACATTTGACAGTTTCTAACCTAACTTCTTTATTTTTTAACCCAAATATATCGTGTTTGGTATCAAATTAAAGCGTTTTTGATTATTACTAACATAATTTCAATATTTATCAAAAAAGTGCTACATTTGATTTTGACATTTGACAGTTTCTAACCTAACTTTTTTATGTTTTAACCCAAATATATCGTGTTTGGTGTCAAATAGAAGGCATTTTTGATTCTTATTAACATCATTTCAACATTTTTCAAAAAATCGTCACGATTTTTTAAAATTTTAAAAATTTTATTTTGACATTTGACAGTTTCTAACGCCATTTTTCTGATTTTGAACCCAAATACATCATGTTTGGTATCAAATGAAAGCATTTTTGATTCTTATTAAGATCATTTCAATATTTATCAAAAAATCGTAACATTTAATTTTGACATTTGACAGTTTCTAACCTAATTCTTTTATTTTTAACCCAAATATATCGTGTTTGGTATCAAATTAAAGCATTTTTGATACTTATTAAGATCATTTCAACATTTATCAAAAAATCGTGACATTTAATTTTGACATTTGACAGTTTCTAACCTAACTTTTTTATGTTTTAACCCAAATATATCGTGTTTGGTATCAAATTAAAGCATTTTTCATTCTTATTACGATCATTTCAACATTTATCAAAAAATCGTGACATTACATTTTGACATTTGACAGTTTATAACCTATCTTTTTCATGTTTTAACCCAAATATATCGTGTTTGGGTATCAAATTAAAGCATTTTTGATACTTATTAAGATCATTTCAACATTTATCGAAAAATCGTGACATTTAATTTTGACATTTGACAGTTTATAACCTAACTTTTTTATTTTTTATCCCAATTATACCATGTTTGGTCTCAAATTAAAGTATTTTTGATTCTTATTAACTACATTTCATATTTATCAATAAATCGTTATATATATAATTTTGACAATTAATTTTTAACCTAACTTTTTCACGTTTTAACCCAAATATATCGTGTTTGGTATCAAATTATAGCATTTTTGATCCTTATTAAAATCATTTCAACATTTATCAAAAAATCGCTTCATTTAATTTTGACATTTGACAGTTTATAACCTAACTTTTTTATTTTTTAACCCAAATATGCCATGTTTGGTATCAAATTAAAGCATTTTTGATTCTTATTAACATCATTTCATATTTATCAAAAAATCGTTATATATATAATTTTGACATTTAATTTTTAACCTAACTTTTTTATGTTTTAACCCAAATATATCGTGTTTGGTATCAAATTAAAGCATTTTTGATCCTTATTAAGATATTTNAAACTCGACCTATTTATCTTCAACCGTTTTCGAGATATTTTAATTTTTAACAAAAAAAAAATGGCGATTATTTGACAGTTGACAGTTCCTAACCTAACTTTTTATTTTCTAATCTAAATATAACGTGTTTGGTATCAAATGAAAGCATTTTTGATTCTTATTAAGATCATTTCAATATTTATCAAAAAAAAGTTATTTTTAATTCTGACATTTGACAGCTTCTAACCTAACTTTTTCATGTTTTAACCCAAATATATCGTGTTTGGTATCAAATTAAAGCATTTTTGATTATTATTAAGATCATTTCTATATTTATCAAAAATCTTTATATTTAATTTTGACAGCTGACAGTTTATAACCTAACTTTTTACCTTTTTAACATAAATGGACAGAAAATTAAAAATGCTTTAAAATGAACCCGAACTCGACTTATTTATCTCCAACCGTTATCGAGATATCTTAATCTTTAGCAAAAAAAATGGCGGTTATTTGACATTTGACAGTTATAACATAACTTTTTTATTTTTGAACCGAAATATATCGTGTTTGGTATCAAATTAAAGCATTTTTGATTCTTATTAAAATCATTTCGGTATTTACCAAACAATCGTTAATTTAAGTTTGACATTTGACAGTTTATAACCTAACTTTTTACCTTTTTAACACAAATACATCGTGTTTGGTATCAAATTAAAGCATTTTTGATTCTTATTAAGATCATTTCATCATTTATTAAAAAGTCGTTACATTTAATTTTGACATTTAACAGTTTTTTGACAGTAACCTAACTTTTTCATGTTTTAAATGTCATAATTCCGTAATCAACACGATTTGGGTCACTTGAAACTCAAGAACAGATTACAACACAATTCAGTAAAAAAATGTCTAACCTCAAAACCCGAAAAATTTGTTCTTTTTTTAGCATTAATGGATAAAAAATTAAAAATCCTTTAAAATGAACCCAAACTCGACCTATTTATCTTCAACCGTTTTCGAGATATTTTAATTTTTAACAAAAAAAAATGGCGATTATTTGACAGTTGACAGTTTATAACCTAACTTTTTATTTTCTAATCTAAATATAACGTGTTTGGTATCAAATGAAACCATTTTTGATTCTTATTAAGATCATTTCAATATTTATCAAAAAATCGTTATTTTTAATTCTGACATTTGACAGCTTCTAACCTAACTTTTTCATGTCTTAACCCAAATATATCGTGTTTGGTATCAAATTAAAGCATTTTTGATTCTTATTAAGATCATTTCAATATTTATCAAAAATCTTTATATTCAATTTTGACAGTTGACAGTATATAACCTAACATTTTACTTTTTTAACACAAATACATCGTGTTTGGTATCAAATTAAAGCATTTTTGATTCTTATTAAGATCATTTCAACATTTATTAAAAATCTTTATATTCAATTTTGACAGTTGACAGTATATAACCTAACATTTTACTTTTTTAACACAAATACATCGTGTTTGGTATCAAATTAAAGCATTTTTGATTCTTATTAAGATCATTTCAACATTTATTACAAAGTCGTTAAATTTAATTTTGACAGTTTCTAACCTAACTTTTTTATGTTTTAAAAGTCATAATTCCGTATCCAATAAGAATTGGGTCACTTAAAACTGAAGAACAGATTACAATACAATTTAGTAAAAAAAATTTCTAACCCCCAATCCCGAAAAAGCGATTTTTTTAATTGTAAAGTTGTACTTTTTTTAACATTAATGGATAGAAAATTAAAAATCCTTTAAAATGAACCCAAACTCGACCTATTTATCTGCAACAGTTATCGAGATATTTTAATTTTTAACAAAACAAGATGGCGTTAATTTGACAGTTGACAGTTTATAACCTAACTTTTTTATTTTCTAACCCAAATATAACGTATTTGGTATCAAATGAAAGCATTTTTGATACTTATTAAGGTCATTTCAATATTTATCAAAAAATCACGACATTTAATTTTGACATTTGACAGTTTCTAACCTATCTTTTTCTTGTTTTAACCCAAATATATCGTGTTTGGTATCAAATGAAACCATTTTTGATTCTTATTAAGATCATTTCAATATTTATCAAAAAATCGTTATTTTTAATTCTGACATTTGACAGCTTCTAACCTAACTTTTTCATGTCTTAACCCAAATATATCGTGTTTGGTATCAAATTAAAGCATTTTTGATTCTTATTAAGATCATTTCAATATTTATCAAAAATCTTTATATTCAATTTTGACAGTTGACAGTATATAACCTAACATTTTACTTTTTTAACACAAATACATCGTGTTTGGTATCAAATTAAAGCATTTTTGATTCTTATTAAGATCATTTCAACATTTATTACAAAGTCGTTAAATTTAATTTTGACAGTTTCTAACCTAACTTTTTTATGTTTTAAAAGTCATAATTCCGTATCCAATAAGAATTGGGTCACTTAAAACTGAAGAACAGATTACAATACAATTTAGTAAAAAAAATTTCTAACCCCCAATCCCGAAAAAGCGATTTTTTTAATTGTAAAGTTGTACTTTTTTTAACATTAATGGATAGAAAATTAAAAATCCTTTAAAATGAACCCAAACTCGACCTATTTATCTGCAACAGTTATCGAGATATTTTAATTTTTAACAAAACAAGATGGCGTTAATTTGACAGTTGACAGTTTATAACCTAACTTTTTTATTTTCTAACCCAAATATAACGTATTTGGTATCAAATGAAAGCATTTTTGATACTTATTAAGGTCATTTCAATATTTATCAAAAAATCACGACATTTAATTTTGACATTTGACAGTTTCTAACCTATCTTTTTCTTGTTTTAACCCAAATATATCGTGTTTGGTATCAAATTAAAGCATTTTTCATTCTTATTCACATCATTTCAACATTTATCAAAAAATCGCGACATTTAATTTTGACATTTGACAGTTTCTAATCTAATTTTTTATTTTTAACCCAAATATATCGTGTTTGGTATCAAATTAAAGCATTTTTCATTCTTACTAACATCATTTCAATATTTATCAAAAAATCATTACATTTAATTTTGACATTTGACAGTTTCTAACCTAACTTTTTCATGTTTTAACCCAAATATATCGTGTTTGGTATCAAATTAAAGCATTTTTCATTCTTATTCACATCATTTCAACATTTATCGAAAAATCGTGACATTTAATTTTGACATTTGACAGTTTATAACCTAACTTTTTTATTTTTTATCCCAAATATCCCATGTTTGGTCTCAAATTAAAGTATTTTTGATTCTTATTAACATCATCTCATATTTATCAATAAATCGTTATATATATAATTTTGACATTTAATTTTTAACCTAACTTTTTCACGTTTTAACCCAAATATATCGTGTTTGGTATCAAATTAAAGCATTTTTCATCCTTATTACGATCATTTCAACATTTATCAAAAAATCGTGACATTACATTTTGACATTTGACAGTTTATAACCTAACTTTTTTATTTTTTAACCCAAATATATCGTGTTTGGTATCAAATTAAAGCATTTTTCATTCTTATTAACATCATTTCATATTTATCAAAAAATCGTTATATATATAATTGTGACATTTAATTTTTAACCTAACTTTTTTATGTTTTAACCCAAATATATCGTGTTTGGTATCAAATTAAAGCATTTTTGATCCTTATTAAGATATTTNATTTTTTGATTCTTATTAACATCATTTCATATTTATCAAAAAATCGTTATATATATAATTTTGACATTTAATTTTTAACCTAACTTTTTTATGTTTTAACCCAAATATATCGTGTTTGGTATCAAATTAAAGCATTTTTGATCCTTATTAAGATATTTATTAAAAAATTTTAATTATTTCAGGTGACAAAATCATGGAATCCGAAGCAATAAGTGGATTAGGCACCGTTTACCAACAAACCGGCGACTACTCCACAGCTTTACGTTGCCACCAAAACGACTTAGAAATTGCCGAACACTTAGGATTACCTAACCTACAAAGTCGCGCTTGCGGAAACATCGGCGCGGTTTACGAATCCCTCGGAAATTACGAACAAGCCGTAAGATACCAAGAACAACACCTTCAAGTAGCCGCAAGCACCAACGATCAACTCGCAAAAACTTTAGCTTACAGCTCATTAGGGCGAATTCACCAACTCTTAGGAAATATAACTCAAGCCATCGCGTATTTAACTCAAGGTTTGTGCATAGCGGAAGTTTTGGGGAAACGCGACGAAGAAGCAAAGATAAGGAATAGATTAGGATTGGCTTTGTGGGTTAACGGAGATTTAGAAGGGACTCAAAAACAACTTGAGATCGCAACGAATTTGTTAGAAAATATCCGGAAAGAAGTTAAAAATTCGGATAAAATCGGGTTATTCGATCTCCAAACTTCGAGTTATCAAGTTTTACAACGCGTTTTAGTCGGGTTAAACCGCCACGATGATGCTTTGGTGGTCGCGGAACGATGGCGAAATCGAAACGATTTTGAAAACAAAGAAAAATATTTTGAGAACAAAAAAAACGATGAAATTGGGGGTAATTTAGAACAAATTAAGGAGTTGGTTAATCGACAAAGAGCTTCAGTTATTTATTATAGTATAGCGGCGGGGTTTTTGTACTCTTGGTTAATAACCCCGATGAAAGGGGTGGTTAAGTTCCACCAAACTTCGTTGAACGATGAAGTTGAAGTCCCCAATTTAAATAATAACAATAATTTCTTTAAAAATTCGGGGATTTTAGAAAAATTAGTTTCTGCAGTTCGCGATAACTTGGGTTGCGAATTTTTTTCGACAATAAACGAAGATTCATCAAATTCATTCCCTGATGATAACCCGCAAGATAGAAACGGGGGATTTTTGCGCATGGTGAATCGCCAGCATTTAATGAACTCGAGTAATTATAGTTTATCGTCGCTATTTTCGCTGGGAAGTGTTGGAGGGTCGATCGCCTCGCTGCAAGGATCAACAAGATCGAGTACAAGCGCTCAAGGTTCTACACGGTTACCACCACAAAAAAGAAAAACGTGGAAAGGGCCATCTTGCTTACACGCTTTATACACACTCCTAATCCAGCCTTTCGAGGAATTTCTCCCAGCTAAAAAAGACACAAAAACAAAAAAGGAGTTAATTTTAGTGCTCGAAAACGATTTATATTTGGTCCCATTTCCGGTTTTGAGATCATCCCAAGACAACGCCGAGTATTTGTGCGAAAGATTTTCGTTATTAACCGTCCCAAATTTATCCTGTCTAAAATCAAAGTGCCAGAAAAAAAATAAAATTAACACCGACGGCGTAAAAAGCTTAGTTATCGGAAACCCAAAGTTATCTCAATCCATCACCGATCATTGGTTTTGGAAAGAAATTCCTCAAGCTGAGCAAGAAGCCATGATGATCGCGGAATTATTACAAACCCAAGCGTTTACCGGAAAAGAAGCAACTAAGGAGCAAATTTTGAGCCAAATTAACGAAGCTGAATGTGTCCATTTCGCCACTCACGTTTCCTGGAAATTATCCGCTGTGGTTTTGAGCCCACCAAATGATGTTTTGGAGGAAGAGGAGCAACAAGAAGCGATTTCATTAAGCACAAGCAACGAATTACCCCCAACTTCAGAGTTTTTATTAACCCCGAATGACTTCAATTCGCTCCAACTCAACGCAAAATTAGTCGTAATTAATTCATCCCACACGAAAGACCAACAAAATTGGGCCACATCCGACGGGTTAATAACCTTGGTTAAAAGCTTATTAGGAGCAGGGGTCCAAGCTGTCTTAATTTCATTATGGCCCGTTCCCGATACAGCAACAAAAATTTTATTACGAGCTTTTTATTCCGCTTTGTTGCAAGGAACGCGAGCTGCTCGAGCTTTGGCCGAAGCAATGCAAACCGTGCAACACACAAAACACTTCGCGCATCCCGCAAATTGGGCTGGATTCGTGCTAATTGGGATGAACGTGAGAATTTCGAACAAAGTTGCTTTAATGGGGCAAGCCCTGTGCGAGTTATTGCGGGTTCCGGAGAAATGCCGAGATGCTTTGAGGGTTACGCTACATTTGGTGGAGAAGAGCTTGCAAAGGATCCATCGGGGGCAGAAAAACGCGATGTATACTACTCAAAAATCCATTGAAAATAAGGTTGGTGAAGTTTTAATTTCGTTTAAACCGACTAAAATCGATTAAAACTGTTTAAGAATGTGTGGAATTGCTTAAATTTGATTAAATGGTAGTTGCAAAAATGATTTTAAGTCGTGTAAAGTAGGGTTGATGGGTCAAAATCATCATGGTGATGACTAAAATTGAAATAAAGTCGATTAAAATTGTTTAAGAATGTGTGGAATTAGTTAAAGTTGATTAAATGGAAGTTGCAAAAATGATATTAAATATGTGAGTCGTGTAAAACAAGCTTGATGAGTCAAAATCGTCATGGTGATGAGTAAAATTGAAATAAAGTCGATTAAAATTGTTTAAGAATTTGTGGAATTGCTTAAAGTTGATTAAATTGAAGTTGCAAAAATGATATTAAGTATGTGAGTCGTGTAAAACAAGCTTGATGAGTCAAAATCGTCATGGTGATGAGTAAAATTGAAATAAAGTTGATTAAAATTGTTTAAGAATTTGTGGAATTGCTTAAAATTGATTAAATTGAAGTTGCAAAAACGATATTAAGTATGTGAGTCGTGTGAAACAAGCTTGATGAGTCAAAATCATCAATGGTGATGAGTAAAATTGAAATAAAGTTGATTAAAATTGTTTAAGAATGTGTGGGATTGCTTAAAGTTGATTAAATGGAAGTTGCAAAAATGATATTACGTATATGAGTCGTGTAAAACAAGCTTGATGAGTCAAAATCATCATGGTGATGACTAAAATTGAAATAAAGTCGATTAAAATTGTTTAAGAATTTGTGGAATTGCTTAAAGTTGATTAAATGGAAGTTGCAAAAATGATATTAAGTATGTGAGTCGTGTAAAACAAGCTTGATGAGTCAAAAACATCAATGGTGATGACTAAAATTGAAATAAAGTTGATTAAAATTGTTTAAGGATGTGTGGAATTGCTTAAAGTTGATTAAATGGAAGTTGCAAAAATGATATTAAGTATGTGAGTCGTATAAAGTAGGGTTGGTGCGTCAAAATTGTCATGGTGATGACTAAAATTGAAATAAAATCGACCAAAATTGTTTAAAAATTTCTGGAAACACTTTTAATTGATTAAATGGTAGTTGCAAAAACGATATTAAGTATGCAAGTCGTGTAAAACAAGCTTGATGAGTCAAAATAACCATGATTTTCTTCTTCTTTGTACATTCCCACTTTATCTAGGGTCAGCTCTCCTAATATTTCTGCACCACGATTTTCTGTCCTGGATTGGTGGGTCAAATAAATTATTTTTATTTAGTATCTTATTGTTACTCATGCTAGTCATCAGGTAGAACGAGGTTGGGTTGGGTTGAATTGAGTTTACTTGGGTTGGGTTGAGTTTTTCAATTCAAGATGGCGTTTACGACATTTAGCGGCCATCTTAGAAACCTGAAAATAATTTCTAGGATTATCTCTTCGCCACTTTTGTTGTAAAATTTTTCACCAAGTCTTTATAATGAGTGGTTTCCGAGATACAGTATTTTGCATCCTTATTTGGCCACCCTGTTGGCTTCCACATCCAAAATTATTAAAGATCCCAGATACTTAAATTGTGCAACTTGAGACTCGGAACTGGTGTTGCCTCAGGGTCATAGATGGTAGCCTTACTGGTTGAGCGTTGACCAAAACTGTTTTTCAGTGTTCCATCTTTGATCTGCTCACTTTGAGAGTTGCTCTGGAGAGCGATTATAGTCTATCTTCTTCATATACGCCTCTAAGATCCCATTATGATCACACTCCCTCTCTTCCAAAGTTCTGAAACGTTCTCGAAGTGTATGAATATTAACGTTCTCTGCCAAGTCTTGATCTCTTCCCAATCTGTCACTAGCTTCATTCCTACACTCATAAAAAATTTGTATATCGTTTCCAAGATATTCTATTATACCAAACTATTTCTTGCACCATAGTGTATGACCAAGAATAGGAATGGAATTTGCTAATCGTAGTTTCTGACTTTTTTTGGATAGTTTGGCATCTTACCAGTGTAATGACAAGTTTTTTCTTGCAATCCATAATTTTATTAGTGCAATTCCAGACTTGTTCTTGCAGTATGATATCTATCCAGTGTAATTTCAAACATATCCACAAAGTACCAAGTCCTTTCATTGCATTTCCAGATTTAGCTTCCAATTTGAGGTTCACCCAATATAATTACTAACATTTTTTTACAATTTCATGTATAATTGGGGTAATTCCAAACAATTTCTTGCTCCGTAGTGTACGACCAAGTTAATTCCAGACTTCCCCATTCAGTTTGGAATTTGTTAGTCGTAGTTTCTGACTTTTTTTGGATAGTTTGGCATCTTACCAGTGTAATGACAAGTTTTTTCTTGCAACCCATAATTTTGTTAGTGCAATTCCAAACTTGTTCTTGCAGTATGATATCTATCCAGTGTAATTTCAAACATATCCATAAAGTACCAAGTCCTTCCATTGCATTTTCAGATTTAGCTTCCAATTTCAGGTTCACTCAATGTAATTACTAACATTTTTTTACAATTTCATGTATAATTGGGGTAATTCCAAACAATTTTTTGCTCCGTAGTGTATGACTAAGTTAATTCCAGACTTCCTCATCCAGTTTAATTTTTTCAAATCGTAGTTTCTGACTTTTTCTGATAATTTGGCGTCTTACCAATGTAATTGCAAGCTTTTTTTTGCAATCCATACTTTTATTATATACATTATTACATTTCCAGATTTACCTTGCAATTTGAGGATCATACAATGTAATTCCAAACTATTTCTTGCACCGTAGTGTATGACCAAGATGATTCCAGACTTTTTCATTCACTTTGGAATTTGCTAATCGTAGTTTCCAAGTCTTCGAGATCGATGCACTTTTGAAAGTTGTTGTTTATCAGAATTACGTCATGTGAGATACTTCGTTGGAAACTTTTTTCCAACATTGCCGTTTAAGTCGCATTAAGCAGATTTAGTCTCCCAAATGATATGGGTCAGCCATAAACTCATCTTGGTCTTCCCAGAATGATTCCTTTCATGGTGGCTAATAGATTTTGTCTCTAAAGTAGCCGACTTAACGTCCTTTCTTGACTACGTCCAACACTAAACTTTTTTTTGTTTTGTTTTTAGGTTGGATTAATAAACGGTTGGAAAGAGCTATTAATGTCAGTTGGATTTCGTTTTGAGCCAGCCTCAAACGGCATCCCAAGCAGCGTTTTTTTCCCCCAATCGGACCCAGAAGAGCGCCTCACTCAATGCTCCGCAAGCCTACAAGCTCTCCTCGCATTATCAAGCACCTCAATTCAAGCCCTCTCAAAGCTAACCTCCAGCCCGGATGTTGCAGATGATATCATCGCGGTGATCCAATCCTCATTGTCCCAATTTTCCAACAAAAATCTTGAATCTGACAGCAACATCAATGTTGAATTGAACGTTCGATTATGGCGCACACCCGGATGTCACGAATTGTTGGCCTCGTTGGGTTTTGATTTATCCGATGTGGGCCAAGATAAGGTTACTTTAAGAACTGGGAAGCAAGCCAATAAGCGCAATGTCCATTTCACTTTGCAAGCTTTGTTGGCGCTGTTTGATACTCAAGAAGCTCCGAAGAGTCTTCCGGTTGATTCATCGAGCGTTTCGGGAGATGATGACGACGATTTTAATAAAGAGGAAGCAACACAGGAAGTTGCCCCCAAAGCAAATTCAGTTCAAAGATTGACTTTCCCAAGACCTGTTTTGCCATCGAAGAGGCTAGGGGGTGCTTTTACGAGCTATGTGAGGCGGAGAGGGGAACCAGATGGCAGAACTGCTAACCCAGGGGATGCCACGACGACCCAAAATAATCAAAATAAAAAAAGTGGGGTTATTTTGGCACGACCTGGAGGTGGTGAGAGTGATGCTGCGTTCACTCCAAGTCCTCCAGTTGCGCTTCATGGCGAAAATCAAAGCATAGCGATGAGTTTGGTGCATCAAAGTAGGATAAGGAATTTGTACTCGCAAGATAATGTGTTGGTTAAAGACAATTTAAGACCTGATAGCTCAAGCTCAACGAGCTCTGTAAATGAGTGGGAGAATGGGCATAATACTGTGTTGAGAAGGAGTAATCAACCCCCTCCAATTCCACCCCCGCGGAACAACAAAGCCCCATTAGTCGATTTACCCCTATACAACAACTTAAACTTCGAAAACAGCTCCGACAGCGAATTGGAAAAAATGTTCAATCGAAATCAAAAACACCAAAAGAATAGCTCAAAAAACAAAAACAACCAAAACATGTCAACCTTAGACCGATTAAGCGTCAGAACCGAAATAAACCCCTCCCAAAACATTTTACCACAACAAAAAAAATTAATCCCACTCACCAACGAAGAAAACCTCAACACCATCAACGAAAGACTACTTTATTTCTCACCAAACGAATCGGCGCCAAAAGAAATCAAACCAAACGAAGACAAAAATCCCCCATCTCAAACCCCCCAAGAAACGACATCTACTTTACCGACATCCTCAGCGTCAAATCCCACAAAAACAATTCACGACACGATCTTAGCAACGCAATTACGCCATATTAACCGCGAATTAACCCCGACGATTTCCGAAGTTTACCACGAAAGAAATATCGGATTGGGATTAGCCCCGCCGTTGGCGAAATTGTTATTAAACCCGGTTAGTTCGGGAAATTCGGATAATACCTCGAATACGACGAATTTGTTGTTGGATAAAATCGGGTTGGGGTTGTTGGAGGGAAATAACGTCGAAGTGAATTCGGGTAATCCCGGAAATTGTATGCGATGTAAATTGGATAGCTCGCTTTGCGTCTGTTGCAAAACGGTTAAATCGGGTTCGAAACCTTGGTTGTCGGAGAACGCGAGTGCTTTGCAACAAATTCATAGTTCCGATTTAACAACCGCCGATATTTTAGAACGCGAGGTTAAAAATAAAAAATCGATGAGGTAACTTAAATTAATTAATTATGAAATTTGTTATTAATTTTGTGTTTTGTAGAGGTGATCAAAGAAAAGATGATTCGAGCGATCCGAAAAGGTTATCGCCGTTTTCGGAGATGTCGAAACGCGATGAAGGTGACGGAAGGAGTATCGCGGATAGTAATTGTTCTAGTTATAAAGGTACTCAATTTAGGACTTATCACGGGACGGATAAGGGGAAAATGCAATTGGGGAGGATGCGCGGCACTCTCGGGCCGGCTTCCGTTAGGAAATCGAAAACGCAACATCAAACGTGACAGTTATTATTAAGATTATGATTAAGTGTTTAAAAAAGTGTAAAGAATTATTTATGAATTTAGTTAGAATAAAAAAATTAATTGTAAAAGTATTTTTTTAACCTAAATACGTCTCCTAATGATGTTTTTAATCGATTAGAACAAAATTTGGAGATTTTAACTTAATTTTCATAAATAAAATTAAAAATGCTTTAAAATGAACCCAAACTCGACGGGGTTATCTTAAAAAATAAAAAAGTTAACCTCAAAAACGAAAAACGTCAACTGTCAAAATGATGTATTAAGAGATTTTAACTCTATTTTCATAAATAAAATTAAAAATGCTTTAAAATGAACCCAAACTCGACGGGGTTATCTTAAAAAGTAAAAAAGTTAACCTCAAAAACGAAAAACGTCAACTGTCAAAATGATGTATTAAGAGATTTTAACTCTATTTTCATAGATAAAATTAAAAATGCTTTAAAATGAAACGAAACTCGATGGGGTTATCTTAAAAAATAAAAAAATTAACCTGAATATCAAAAAACGTCAAATGTCAAAATTCTTTTTTGTGAATTCCAACTACATTGTTTTAAATATAATTAAGAATGGTTTAAAATGAACCCAAACTCGACGGGGTTATCTTAAAAAATAAAAAAGTTAACCTCAAAATCGAAAAATGTCAACTGTCAAAATAATACATTATGAGATTTTAACTCTATTTTCATAAATAAAATTAGAAATACTTTAAAATGAACCCAAACTCGGCGGGGTTATCTTAAAAAATAAAAAAGTTAACCTCAAAATCGAAAAATGTCAACTGTCAAAATAATGTATTATGAGATTTTAATTCTATTTTCATAAATAAAATTAAAAATGCTTTAAAATGAACCCAAACTCGACGGGGTTATCTTAAAAAATAGAAAAGTTAACCTCAAAAACGAAAAACGTCAACTGTCAAAATAATGTATTATGAGATTTTAACTCTATTTTCATAAATAAAATTAAAAATGCTTTAAAATGAATCCAAACTCGATGGGATTATCTTAAAAAATGGAAAAGTTAACCTCAAAAACGAAAAACGTCAACTGTCAAAATAATGCATTATAAGATTTGAACTCTACTTTCATAAATAAAATTAAAAATGCTTTAAAATGAACCCAAACTCGACGGGGTTATCTTAAAAAATAGAAAAGTTTACCTCAAAAACGAAAAACGTCAACTGTCAAAATGATGTATTAAGAGATTTTAACTCTATTTTCATAAATAAAATTAAAAATGCTTTAAAATGAAACCAAACTCGATGGGATTATCTTAAAAAGTGGAAAAATTAACCTCAGAATCGAAAAATGTCAACTGTCAAAATAATGTATTATGAGATTTTAACTCTATTTTCATAAATAAATTAAAAATGCTTTTAAATGAACTCAAACTCGACGGGGTTATCTTGAAAAATAAAAAAGTTAACTTCAAAAACGAAAAACGTCAACTGTCAAAATGATGTATTGAGAGATTTTAACTCTATTTTCATAAATAAAATTAAAAATGCTTTAAAATGAAACCAAACTCGATGGGATTATCTTAAAAAGTGGAAAAGCTAACCTCAAAATTGAAAAATGTCAACTGTCAAAATAATGTATTAAGAGATTTTAACTCTATTTTCATAAATAAAATTAAAAATGCTTTAAAATGAAACCAAACTCGAAGAGGTTATCTTAAAAAATAAAAAAGTTAACCTCAAAATCGAAAAACGTCAACTGTCAAAATAATGTATTAAGAGATTTTAACTCTATTTTTTTTAAATACAATTAGAAATGCTTTAAAATGAATCCGAACTCGATGGGATTGCTTAAAAAGTAGAAAAGTTAACCTCAAAATCGAAAAACGTCAACTGTCAAAATGATGTGTTAAGAGATTCTAACTCGATTTTCTTAAATAAAATTTAAAATGCTTTAAAATGAGCCCAAACTTGATTTGGTTACCTTAAAAAATAAAAAAGTTAACCTCAAAATCGAAAAACGTCAACTGTCAAAATAATGTATTAAGAGATTTTAACTCTATTTTCATAAATAAAATTAAAAATGCTTTAAAATGAACCCAAACTCGACGAGATTGTCTTAAACAATAAAAAAGTTAACCTCAAAATTATTAAACGTCAACTGTCAAAATGATTTTTAAATCGTCACACTTCGGGTGTTTTTAGTGATAGATATGTCGTGTTTGGTGTCGTTTTAAAGGAAATTTCCCGGAGATTAAGATTATTTGTGCAAAAATTGAAAAAATTATCATCGAAGTAATAATTTTTTAAATTTTAACCTCAAAATCATTAAACGTCAACTGTCAAAAGAATCTATTAAGAGATTTTAACTCTATTTTTTTTAAATACAATTAGAAATGCTTTAAAATGAATCCAAACTCGATGGGATTGCTTAAAAAGTAGAAAAGTTAACCTCAAAATCGAAAAACGTCAACTGTCAAAATGATGCATTAAGAGATTTTAACTCTATTTTCATAAATAAAATTACAAATGCTTTAAAATTAACCCATACTCGACGGGGTTATCTTAAAAAATGGAAAAGTTAACCTCAAAAACGAAAAACGTCAACTGTCAAAATAATGCATTATAAGATTTGAACTCTATTTTCATAAATAAAATTAAAAATGCTTTAAAATGAACCCAAACTCGACGGGGTTATCTTAAAAAATAGAAAAGTTAACCTCAAAAACGAAAAACGTCAACTGTCAAAATGATTTTTAAATCGTCACACTTCGGGTGTTTTTAGTGATAGATATGTCGTGTTTGGTGTCGTTTTAAAGGAAATTTCACGGAGATTAAGAATATTTGTGCAAAAATTATAATCGGAAGTAATAATTTTTAAATTTTAACCTCAAAATCATTAAACGTCAACTGTCAAAACAATGTGTTAAGAGATTTTAACTCTATTTTTTTTTATACAATTAAAAATGCTTTAAAATGAAACCAAACTCGCCGAGGTTATCTTAAAAAATAAAAAAAATAACCTCAAAATCGAAAAACGTTAACTGTCAAAACAATGTGTTAAGAGATTTTAACTCTATTTTTTTTATACAATTAAAAATGCTTTAAAATGAAACCAAACTCGACAAGGTTATCTTAAAAAATAAAAAAAAATAACCTCAAAATCGAAAAACGTCAACTGTCAAAATGATGTGTTAAGAGATTTTTACTCAATTTTCATAAATAAAATTAAAAATGCTTTAAAATGAACCCAAACTCGACGGGGTTATCTCAAAAAATAAAAAAGTTAACGTCAAAATCGAAAAACGTCAACTGTCAAAATAATGTATTAAGAGATTTCAACTCTATTTTCATAAATAAAATTAAAAATGCTTTAAAATAAACCCAAACTCGACGAGATTGTCTTAAAAAATAAAAAAATTAACCTCAAAATCATTAAACGTCAACTGTCAAAATGATTTTTAAATCGTCACATTTCGGGTGTTTTTAGTGATAGATATGTCGTGTTTGGTGTCGTTTTAAAGGAAATTTCACGGAGATTAAGAAAAATTATAATCGGAAGTAATAATTTTTAAATTTTAACCTCAAAATCATTAAACGTCAACCGTCAAAACAATGCGTTAAGAGATTTTAACTCTATTTTTTTTAATACAATTAGAAATCCTTTAAAATAAACCCAAATTCGATGGGATTGTCTTAAAGAATAAAAAAAGTTAACCTCAAAATGGAAAAACTTTAACTGTCAAAATAATGTATTAAGAGATTTTAACTCTATTGTCATAAATAAAATTAAAAATGCTTTAAAATGAACCCAAACTCGGCCGGGTTGTTACAAAGAATATAAAAGTTAACCTCAAAATCATTAAACGTCAACTGTCAAAATGATTTTTAAATCGTCATATCTTCGTTGTTTTTAATGATAAATATGTCGTGTTTGGTGTTGTTTTAAAGGAAATTTCATGGAGATTAAGAATATTTGTGAAAAAATTATAACCGGAAGTGAAGTTTTTTTTAAGAACATTTTAAATTTATTAATTAATCTTTTTTACAACTTAATCAAAATTAAGCTGCCGAAAACTCCCTTCTAAACAGCAATCATCACTCCCCAAACAATCATTTTTCGGAATTGGTCCCTCCAAAACAACTCCATCGATTTTTTCAAACAACTCTTGATACCCAACCAAAATCCTCTTCCACTTCTCATTTAATTCCCGCAAAGAAAGTTGACTTCCCCCAAAATCTTTCGGCAAACACTTCAAATCGATGAATTTCTTTAAATCTTCTTTGTTTTTATGAACGTAGAACTAAAATTTTTATCATTAATAAATGAAAAATCGTCTTTTCGACAATTTTTTCTCACCCGATTTCTTATTTTCTCCTTCATGAATTGTTTCAATAAATTCGCGCTATTCACGAAAATCATTTGATCGGTAATTAAATGTACTTGTTTAACAAGAACCGGAAACGCTTCTTGGACCAAAACGATGACCTTTTTTAGTTGACTAGCGATCATTTTGGCCCCGATCGCCGCCGTTGCAAATTCGCAATCCAAAACGATTATTTCGCCGGCTAAAAAGTTTTCTTCGTGGCATCGAAGTTCGCAAGTTAAAGCTGCTAAACGCAGTACTTTTAATGGATCGAACGTTTCGATGTCGTTGTTGAATATTTTTAAAATTGTTATTCTATAACCTTCTTGGGTTATTTCCGGCATCGTTACGGAATACATAAAATTTAAAGCTTTTAAATCTTCCTCAACCGTCAAAACTCGCTTATTAAATAAATCCGGATGCAAAGTTTTCGAAATAAAATATTTCTCAATTTTCTTTTTGGCATCTTCTAAGATATGTTTCGATCCGCGAATATAAGCGGAAAGAATTCTTTTATCGTAATTCTTGGGGAGATAACTTTGCGAATCGATCCATTCGCCGAGCAATTTTAAATTAATCCTTAATTTATCTTCGTTTTCGTTGAGCGCAGCCCTAATTTTAACTTTTTGCTCTTCATTTGGGGGGATTAAAACATCCCAAATCGACATTTTAATAACTCTTTTTCGACAAACTTTTGTAACACACTTACACTTCACTGCGTTTTAAAAAAAACTGATTGACAATGGATTCATTCGTATTCGATACGAATAAAAAGAAAGTTTAACGACGGAAAGGATTTTTTTAGGACACTTTCACTTTAAATAATATATTTTGAGTGTGCATAGGTTAAAAAAATGTTAAAAATTAAAATTAATAAAATATTTAATTAATGTTTAAAAAATTGTTACTTCTGATTGTAATTTTTTTCATAAATATTCTTAATCGCCGTGAAATTTCCTTTAAAACGACACCAAACACGACATATCTATCACTAAAAACATCCGAGATGTGACGAATTAAAAATCATTTTGACAGTTGACGTTTAATAATTTTGAGGTTAACTTTTTTATTGTTTAAGACAATGTCATCGAGTTTGGGTTCATTTTAAAGCATTTTTAATTTTATTTATGAAAATAAAGTTAAAATCTCTTAATACATTATTTTGACAGTTGACGTTTTCCGATTTTAAGGTTAACTTTTTTATTTTTTAAGGTAACCCCATCAAGTTTGGGCTCATTTTAAAGTATTTTGAATTTTATTTAAGAAAATCGAGTCAAAATCTCAATGCATCATTTTGACAGTTGGCGCTTTTCGATTTTGAGGTTAACTTTTTTATTCTTTAAGACAATCCCACCGAGTTTGGGTTTATTTCAAAGCATTTCTAATTGTATTAAAAAAAATAGAGCTAAAATCTCTTAACACATTGTTTTGACAGTTGACGTTTAATGATTTTGAGGTTAAAATTTAAAAATTATTACTTCCGATTATAATTTTTTTAATTTTTGCACAAATATTCTTAATCTCCGTCAAATTTCCTTTAAAACAACACCAAACACGACATATCTATCACTAAAAACACCCAAAATGAGATGATTTAAAAATCATTTTGACAGTTGACGTTTAATGATTTTGAGGTTAACTATTTTATTCTTTAAGACAATTTCGTCGAGTTTGGGTTCATTTTAAAGCATTTTTAATTTTATTTATGAACATAGAGTTAAAATCTCTTAATACATTATTTTGGCAGTTGACGTTTAATGATTTTGAGGTTAACTTTTTATTCTTTAAGACAATCCCACCGAGTTTGGGTTTATTTCAAAGCATTTCTAATTGTATTAAAAAAAATAGAGCTAAAATCTCTTAACACATTGTTTTGACAGTTGACGTTTAATGATTTTGAGGTTAAAATTTAAAAATTATTACTTCCGATTATAATTTTTTTAATTTTTGCACAAATATTCTTAATCTCCGTCAAATTTCCTTTAAAACGACACCAAACACGACATATCTATCACTAAAAACACCCAAAATGAGATGATTTAAAAATCATTTTGACAGTTGACGTTTAATGATTTTGAGGTTAACTATTTTATTCTTTAAGACAATTTCGTCGAGTTTGGGTTCATTTTAAAGCATTTTTAATTTTATTTATGAAAATAGAGCTAAAATCTCTTAATACATTATTTTGGCAGTTGACGTTTAATGATTTTGAGGTTAACTTTTTATTCTTTAAGACAATCCCACCGAGTTTGGGTTTATTTCAAAGCATTTCTAATTGTATTAAAAAAAATAGAGCTAAAATCTCTTAACACATTGTTTTGACAGTTGACGTTTAATGATTTTGAGGTTAAAATTTAAAAATTATTACTTCTGATTATAATTTTTTTAATTTTTGCACAAATATTCTTAATCTCCGTCAAATTCCCTTTAAAACGACACCAAACACGACATATCTATCACTAAAAACACCCGAAACGTGATGATTTAAAAATCATTTTGACAGCTGACGTTTAATGATTTTGAGGTTAATTTTTTTATTCTTTAAGATAACCCCGTCGAGTTTGGGTTCATTTTAAAGCATTTTTAATTTTACTTATGAAAATAGAGTTAAAATCTCTTAATACGTTATTTTGACAGTTGACATTTTTCGATTTTTAGGTTAATTTTTTTATTTTTTAAGATAACCTCATCGAGTTTGGGCTCATTTTAAAGCATTTTTAATTTTATTTATGAAAATAGAGTTAAAATCTCTCAATACATCATTTTGACAGTTGACGTTTTTAGTATTTGAGGTTAACTTTTTTATTTTTCAAGATAACCCCGTCAAGTTTGGGTTCATTTAAAAGTATTCTTAATTTTAAATCTGAGATTAAAATCTAAAATGTTTTCGCGTTTAAAAAAGTTAAGCACTTTTATTCTAACTGTCAATACCCTCATTATTATATTTGTTTTCGGTCGGTAATATAGTATAATAATTAAACCAAATGTATTAAAAAACGGATATTTGTATTAAAAAAAATAAAATAATTATTATTTTTAATTAAGTTTTTTGAATTCTCTTATCTCAGCGTTCTTTTTACAAAAATAATTTTACGAATTCAGGCTCAAAAAGGAAACTTTAAATTANAAAATCTCTTAATACATTATTTTGGCAGTTGACGTTTAATGATTTTGAGGTTAACTTTTTATTCTTTAAGACAATCCCACCGAGTTTGGGTTTATTTCAAAGCATTTCTAATTGTATTAAAAAAAATAGAGCTAAAATCTCTTAACACATTGTTTTAACAGTTGACGTTTAATGATTTTGAGGTTAAAATTTAAAAAATTATTACTTTCGATTATAATTTTTTAAATTATTGCACAAATATTCTTAATCTCCGTGAAATTTCCTTTAAAACGACACCAAACACGACATATCTATCACTAAAAACACCCGAAATGTGACTATTTAAAAATCATTTTGACAGTTGACGTTTAATAATTTTGAGGTTAACTTTTTTATTTTTTTAAGATAACCTCGTCGAGTTTGGGTTCATTTTAAAGCATTTCTAATTTTATTTATGAAAATAGAGTTAAAATCTCTTAATACGTTATTTTGACAGTTGACATTTTTCGATTTTGAAGTTAACTTTTTTATTTTTTAAGATAACCCCGTCGAGTTTGGGCTCATTTTAAAGCATTTTAATTTTTATTTATGAAAATAGAGTTAAAATCTCTTAATACATTATTTTGACAATTGACATTTTTCGATTTTGAGGTTAGCTTTTCCACTTTTTAAGATAATCTCATCGAGTTTGGTTTCATTTTAAAGCATTTTTAATTTTATTTATGAAAATAGAGTTAAAATCTCTCAATACATCATTTTGACAGTTGACGTTTTTCGTATTTGAGGTTAACTTTTTTATTTTTCAAGATAACCCCGTCGAGTTTGGGTTCATTTAAAAGCATTCTTAATTTTAAATTTGAGATTAAAATCTAAAATGTTTTCTCGGTTTAAAAAAGTTAAGCACTTTTACTCTAACTGTCAATACTGTCATTATTACATTTGTTTTCGGTCGGTAATATAGTATAATAATTAAACCAAATTTATTAAAAAACGGATATTTGTTTTAAAAAAAATAAAATTATTTCTATTTTTAATTAAGTTTTTTGAATTCTCTTATCTCAGCGTTCTTTTTACAAAAATAATTTTACGAATTCAGGCTCAAAAAGGAAACTTTAAATTACAGATTTCTATTATGCCAATAATGACAGTTGTCAAACGGAACGAANCATCGAGTTTGGTTTCATTTTAAAGCATTTTTAATTTTATTTATGAAAATAGAGTTAAAATCTCTTAATACATCATTTTGACAGTTGACGTTTTTCGTTTTTGAGGTAAACTTTTTTATTTTTCAAGATAACCCCGGTGAGTTTGGGTTCATTTTAAAGCATTTTTAATTTTATTTATAAAAATAGAGTTAAAATCTCATAATACATTATTTTGACAGTTGACATTTTTCGATTTTGAGGTTAACTTTTTTATTTTTTAAGATAACCCTTTCGAGTTTGGGTTCATTTTAAAGCATTTTTAATTTTATTTATGAAAATAGAGTTAAAACCTCATAATACATTATTTTGACAGTTGACATTTTTCGATTTTCAGGTTAATTTTTCCACTTTTTAAGATAATCCCATCGAGTTTGGTTTCATTTTAAAGCATTTTTAATTTTATCTATGAAGATAGAGGTAAAATCTCTTAATACATCATTTTGACAGTTGACGTTTTTCGTTTTTGAGGTTAACTTTTTTATTTTTTAATATAACCCCATCGAGTTTGGGTTCATTTTAAAGCATTTCAAATTTTATTTATGAAAATAGAGTTAAAATCTCATAATACATTATTTTGACAGTTGACATTTTTCGATTTTGAGGTTAACTTTTTTATTTTTTAAGATAACCCCATCGAGTTTGGTTTCATTTTAAAGCATTTTTAATTTTATTTAAGAAAATCTAGTCAAAATCTCAAAATAAATTATTTTGACACTTGACGTTTTTCGATTTTGAGGTAAACTTTTTTATTTTTTAAGATAACCCCGTCGAGTTTGGGTTCATTTTAAAGCATTTTTAATTTTATTTATGAAAATTAAGTTAAAATCTCCAAATTTTTTTCTAATCGATTAAAAACATCATTAGGAGACGTATTTAGGTTGAAAAAATACTTTTACAATTAATTTTTTTATTCTAACTAAATTCATAAATAATNAATAATTAAACCAAATTTATTAAAAAACGGATATTTGTTTTAAAAAAAATAAAATTATTTCTATTTTTAATTAAGTTTTTTGAATTCTCTTATCTCAGCGTTCTTTTTACAAAAATAATTTTACGAATTCAGGCTCAAAAAGGAAACTTTAAATTACAGATTTCTATTATGCCAATAATGACAGTTGTCAAACGGAACGAAAAAAAAAATGTTGTTTACATCAAGAAAAGATTTAAGTCGGTCGAAAATAATCGATAGATTCTCAATTAAAATGTGTTATCGCGTAATTATGATTATTCAACTGACTCGTAAGTTATCTTGAATTATTAACATGAAATTTAATAATAAAATTTCCACTTATCTGATAAAAATAACTTTTAGGTTATGTTGTAGCTCAATTCCATCGAAGATCTTTATTGGATTGGATTGGAAGGTCCCTCTTAGGAATGGAAAATGGATCTTTTGAATCGGAGAACTAATTTAAGGTTAGGAAACTACTTTTAGATTTTTATCAAAATTCAACCGTGCTCTTACCCTTCCTAAATTAAACTGTTTTGGTTCAACTTTTTCCTTCCCTTATATACCCTCTTCCCCTTCTCCAGAAAATTTTCTTCCTTCTATTTTTAACCCTCGCCTCTGATTGGTTGATGGGTTTCGCGCCATTTCTTCCCTTAAAATAAATTCAAATCTTCAACGAGTCCGAGAGCGCCATCTAGCGGATTTCGTTCGAAGTACTCAAAATTCCAAATCTTTTTCGTTCATATCTTCCTTAATTTTTCACTAATTTGGATGAAACTTCGTGTTTGATGCATAAATCATTCTATTTCAGCGGTCCATTGGAGGTTTCAAGATTCTCCAACTACAAAAGAAGTTTGAATTTTAGAAATTAAAACCAATTTTCAAGGTTAAAATCGCTCAAAATCTTCTGGGATGTAATGAATTAGATGTAACTGAGGCTGATTTTCCCGTTTTGGATGGTTTAGAAAGGATATTAATCGTTTTGAGAGAATTATGAGCAATTAAAAATTAACTGTCAACTGGATTGAGGTTATGTTTATGATTTAGGTAAAACTTGTCTCGGAAGCTTTATTAATTACAATAATTAAGGTATGTCTTAACGATCAAATGTTCTAACACTTCGCACAGTACTCGTCACTTATCATTTTTAATAAATCTCCATAACAACACTTTTTGACACAATAATTTCAAAATAAATATTCGGAAGTTGCCAAAATTATCGCCGCGAACAAAATTTTTAGTTTAAAACTTAATTAAAATAGCTTTCACACATTCAAAATGTAATTATTAAAAGCGTTTCGATGCTATGGGTTAATATTATTAAAAAAAATTTGTATTTTTAGGGTTATGAGAAAGAAGCAGCAAAAACCAAGAAACACCCGTCCAAAAATCGATTATCCCCCGTTAACAACAAAGAAATGGATCCCGCCGGATAAAAGGAAAAAGAAAAAACGAGAACCAGCTTATAAAAAACCAAGCACAATCAACGTCAAATTAGAACGATCAAGCCTAAAGAAAGTTTGGCACGGATTCGAATACATCGAATCAAAAAAGATTTATTTAATGGTAGGACATTGGAGTCAATTCTACAAGAAATACGGTTTCAAAACGTGCGGGTTCCAAGGAGCCGCGAATTGCATCGTAGCCTGCGCTTTCGCCCAAATGTTCGACATCATAAAATGGACCCCTTACACTTTAGACAAGATCTTAGACGTTGGGGATAAACTCCACGAAGATAGCATAATCCTTTTAGGTTTAGAGCGAAATAAAACTCATTTACGCCTCGACGAGGTGTACCACACGTATTTCGTCGACCGATTTCGAATCACAATGTCAACTAAAGGAAAAATGATCTGCTCTAGGATGTTACCCGACCCTTTAGAACCTGGGATTCATTTCATCGATTTAGCGACCGAATTCATGAAAGACAACAATTTCACCGTCGTCCAATTACAACCCAACCGATTCTTCGCCGTTTGGTTAATAGGAAATGGGTATTTCGTTTTCGATCCGTGCGAACACGACCAATTAGCCGACCAATCTTTAGTTCCCATAGGAAGGGGATTCTGCGTTTTAATCCGAGCGAAAAATTTAGAAACGATTCGTAATTTCATCTTGGACAGTGTTAAAAGCAGCGAGATTAACCCGAATTTCCGGATGACCGCGACGGATATTTCGAGGAAATTCGAGATTAACACCGCTTTCCCCGAATGCTTAGACGACGCGAATTTGGAGTTAAGGGCGCTTTCGGATGCTGATAAACAAAAAATCGAAGAATTACAAATCGAAAAAATGAAAGCGAAAGGAGCAGCACTCCTTTTACCCCCGCCTCCAGACCCAAACGACCGCATGATCGAAATCGACGACGAACCACCCCCCGCGGAAGAAGAAGAAGAAGATGAAGCTGACGATGGTCAAGCGGCGAAACCGGTCGCAATAGGAGAGGGGGAAGAAATGGGAGAAGAAGAAGAACCCCCCGAAAAACTCGTTATGGTCCACGTAAAACCCCCGATTGAGAAAGCCCACGCGGCGAGTTTAACTTATTTCCGCGAATTAATCCCCGAATTAGCCGGGATTCTTCGCGGAACAATGCACCAAGCCGATCCCAAATTCATGAAATGCGCCGGAAAACAAAGCATAACAATGGCGGTTTCGGCCGTTTCAATGTTGCGAATTTTTAGCTCGAAATATTGGACCTCGACGGTTTTGGACGAAATCCTCCGGAATGGGAATCAAATGTACCGGGAATCCATGAAGACGTTCCCCGGAGAACCCGTCTTAAAAATAACCACGCTTTGCGAAACGATTAAAATCGAAGAAAAAGTGTTCGCCCCGAAAATCGCGTTATTTCGTGCCGTGGGGAAATTGGGATCCGATTCTGAGGAAATTTTAGATCTTTTGAGGGCGCTTAAAGAATTGTTTTTGGAGGAGGATGTTTGTATCGTTTTGGGCCCCTTAACTTTAGCGATTTGGCGCACTAAAGGACATTATTATATGTTTGATCCGAACGAACGCGACGCGAGGGGGTTAACTATCATTCGAACGATGCAAGTTGGGTCGAAAATTGAAATTTTGCAAGTTGATGCGGGGGCGGCGTGTTTAACTTGGTTCACGAATCTCAAAGATTTAGTTGATTTGTATATGAGGAACGTCGATCGCGAGAGGCGGAGGGAACAGTTCGTGCTTTGTAAAATCCAAGTCGATGATTATGTTAAGTTACCCGATAAATATTACGGATACAAGCCTTTATCGTTGACTAAGTGGATAGTGAGAGGGACTTTTTCGCAAAACAACAAAAAGTTCGACGATAATATCAGAAACACCCAAGCCACGGCGATTTGCGCGTACGCTATAGCGATGCAGAAAGAGAAGCACGTCAAGTTGTGGACGTCGGAGGATTTGGATAAATGCCTCGAGGTCGGAAGTGCTTATTACCAGGAAACGATCGACACCTTAACGGCGAAGAACAAATTTATTAGCCGGCTTTTAATGATTGATGAGCTTAACCTCAAATTTAACAACGACAAGAAAGAATATGTTTTTGAGTACACAACTTGTTTAATCAACGGGTGTCTCTTTAACGATGATGGTAATGAAGTTTCAAATCTAAAAAAGGTAACTATATGTTGTGGTGATTCTGCGTTCATGACTCATCATTAAGTTTCTTGCTTGTATGACCTCAGTTTGAGTCCAATATGTCTTCGCTGGTTAAAAAAAATGAAGCCGAGGTCGCTTGCGGCCGAGGCAAAAGCTTTTTCATGACTTATCATTAAGTTTCTTGCTTGTATGACTTCTTTTGTGTCTGAAATGTTTTCGCCGGTTGAAAAAATCAAGCCGAGGTCGCTTGCGGCCGAGGCAAAAGCTCATTCGTAACTTATTATTAAGTTTCTTACTTGTATGACCTGAGTTTGAGTCCAATATGACCTCGCTGGTTACAAAAAATGAAGCCGAGGTCGCTTGCGGCCGAGGCAAAAGCTTTTTCATGACTTTTCATTAAGTTTTTTGCTTGTATGACTTCTTTTGTGTCTGAAATGTTTTCGCTGGTTAAAAAAACGAAGCCGAGGTCGCTTGCGGCCGAGGCAAAAGCTCATTCATGACTCATCATTAAGTTTCTTACTTGTATGACCTCAATTTGAGTCTAANCAAAATCTATTAGTCACCATGAAAGGAATCATGCTGGGAAGACCAAGATGAGTTTATGGCTGACCCATATCATTTGGGAGACTAAATCTGCTTAATGCGACTTAAACGGCAATGTTGGAAAAAAGTTTCCAACGAAGTATCTCACATGACGTAATTCTGATAAACAACAACTTTCAAAAGTGCATCGATCTCGAAGACTTGGAAACTACGATTAGCAAATTCCAAAGTGAATGAAAAAGTCTGGAATCATCTTGGTCATACACTACGGTGCAAGAAATAGTTTGGAATTACATTGTATGATCCTCAAATTGCAAGGTAAATCTGGAAATGTAATAATGTATATAATAAAAGTATGGATTGCAAAAAAAAGCTTGCAATTACATTGGTAAGACGCCAAATTATCAGAAAAAGTCAGAAACTACGATTTGAAAAAATTAAACTGGATGAGGAAGTCTGGAATTAACTTAGTCATACACTACGGAGCAAAAAATTGTTTGGAATTACCCCAATTATACATGAAATTGTAAAAAAATGTTAGTAATTACATTGAGTGAACCTGAAATTGGAAGCTAAATCTGAAAATGCAATGGAAGGACTTGGTACTTTATGGATATGTTTGAAATTACACTGGATAGATATCATACTGCAAGAACAAGTTTGGAATTGCACTAACAAAATTATGGGTTGCAAGAAAAAACTTGTCATTACACTGGTAAGATGCCAAACTATCCAAAAAAAGTCAGAAACTACGACTAACAAATTCCAAACTGAATGGGGAAGTCTGGAATTAACTTGGTCGTACACTACGGAGCAAGAAATTGTTTGGAATTACCCCAATTATACATGAAATTGTAAAAAAATGTTAGTAATTATATTGGGTGAACCTCAAATTGGAAGCTAAATCTGGAAATGCAATGGCAGGACTTGGTACTTTATGGATATGTTTGAAATTACACTGGATAGATATTATACTGCAAGAACAAGTCTGGAATTGCACTCAAAAAATTATGGGTTGCAAGAAAAAACTTGTGATTACACTGGTAAGATGCCAAACTATCCAAAAAAAGTCAGAAACTACGATTAGCAAATTCCATTCCTATTCTTGGTCATACACTATGGTGCAAGAAATAGTTTGGTATAATAGAATATCTTGGAAACGATATACAAATTTTTTATGAGTGTAGGAATGAAGCTAGTGACAGATTGGGAAGAGATCAAGACTTGGCAGAGAACGTTAATATTCATACACTTCGAGAACGTTTCAGAACTTTGGAAGAGAGAGAGTGTGATCATAATGGGATCTTAGAGGCGTATATGAAGAAGATAGACTATAATCGCTCTCCAGAGCAACTCTCAAAGTGAGCAGATCAAAGATGGAACACTGAAAAACAGTTTTGGTCAACGTTCAACCAGTAAGGCTACCATCTATGACCCTGAGGCAACACCAGTTCCGAGTCTCAAGTTGCACAATTTAAGTATCTGGGATCTTTAATAATTTTGGATGTGGAAGNCCGATGTCGCTTGCGGCCGAGGCAAAAGCTCATTCATGACTTATCATTAAGTTTCTTACTTGTATGACCTCAATTTGAGTCTAATATGTTTTCGCAGGTTAAAAAAATGAAGCCGAGGTCGCTTGCGGCCGAGGCAAAAGCTTTTTCATGACTTTATCATTAAGTTTCTTGCTTGTATGACCTTTTTTTGAGTCTGAAATGTTTTCGCCGGTTGAAAAAATTAAGCCGAGGTCGCTTGCGACCGAGGGAAATGCTTGTTCATGACTTATCATTAAGTTTCTTACTTGTATGACCTCAGTTTGAGTCTAATATGTCTTTGTTGGTTAAAAAAAATGAAGCCGAGGTCGCTTGCGGCCAAGGCAAAAGCTTTTCCATGACTTATCATTATGTTTCTTGCTTGTATGACTTCTTTTGAGTCTGAAATCTCTTCGCTGGTTAAAAAAATGAAGCCGAGGTCGCTTGCGGCCGAGGCAAAAGCTCATTGATGACTTATCATTAAGTTTCTTGTTTGTATGACTTCTTTTGAGTCTGAAATGTCTTCGCTGGTTAAAAAAAATGAAGCCGATGTCACTTGCGGCCACAAAAGCTCGTTCATGACTTATCATTAAGTTTCTTGCTCTTATGACTTCTTTTGAGTCTGCAATGTTTTCGCTGGTTAAAAAAACGAAGCCGAGGTTGCTTGCGGCCGAGGCAAAAGCTCATTCATGACTTATCATTAAGTTTCTTACTTGTATGACCTCAATTTGAGTCTAATATGTTTTCGCAGGTTAAAAAAATGAAGCCGAGGTCACTTGCGGCCGAGGCAAAAGCTTTTTCATGACTTTTCATTAAGTTTCTTGCTTGTATGACTTCTTTTGTGTCTGAAATGTTTTCGCTGGTTAAAAAAACGAAGCCGAGGTCGCTTGCGGCCGAGGCAAAAGCTCATTCATGATTTATCATTAAGTTTCTTACTTGTATGACCTCAATTTGAGTCTATTATGTCTTCGCTGGTTAAAAAAATTGATCCGAGGTCGCTTGCGGCCGAGGCAAAAGCTTTTTCATGACTTTATCATTAAGTTTCTTGCTTGTATGACCTTTTTTTGAGTCTGAAATGTTTTCGCCGGTTGAAAAAATTAAGCCGAGGTCGCTTGCGACCGAGGGAAATGCTTGTTCATGACTTATCATTAAGTTTCTTACTTGTATGACCTCAGTTTGAGTCTAATATGTCTTTGCTGGTTAAAAAAAATGAAGCCGAGGTCGCTTGCGGCCGAGGCAAAAGCTCATTCATAACTTATCATTAAGTTTCTTACTTGTATGACCTCAGTTTGAATCCAATATGTCTTCGCTGGTTAAAAAGAATGAAGCCGAGGTCGCTTGCGGCCGAGGCAAAAGCTTGTTCATGACTTATCATTAAGTTTCTTGTTTGTATGACTTCTTTTGAGTCTGAAATGTCTTCGCTGGTTAAAAAAAATGAAGCCGATGTCACTTGCGGCCGAGAAAAAAGCTCGTTCATGACTTATCATTAAGTTTCTTGCTTGTATGACTTCTTTTGAGTCTGCAATGTTTTCGCTGGTTAAAAAAACGAAGCCGATGTCGCTTGCGGCCGAGGCAAAAGCTCATTCATGACTTATCATTAAGTTTCTTACTTGTATGACCTCAGTTTGAATCCAATATGTCTTCGCTGGTTAAAAAGAATGAAGCCGAGGTCGCTTGCGGCCGAGGCAAAAGCTTGTTCATGACTTATCATTAAGTTTCTTGTTTGTATGATCTTTTTTGAGTCTGAAATGTTTTCGCCAATTGAAAAAATCAAGCCGAGGTCGCTTGCGACCGAGGCAAAAGCTCATTCATGACTTATCATTAAGTTTCTTACTTGTATGACCTCAGTTTGAGTCCAATATGTCTTCGTTTTAAAAACAAAATGAAGCCGAGGTCGCTTGCGGCCGAGGCTAAAGTTAATTCATGACTTATCATTAAGTTTCTTACTTGTATGACCTCAGTTTGAGTCCAATATGTCTTCGCTTGTTAAAAAGAATGAAGCCGAGGTTGCTTGCAGACGAGGCAAAAGTTTTTCATGACTTATCATTAAGTTTCTTGCTTGTATGACCTTTTTTTGAGTCTGAAATGTTTTCGCCGGTTGAAAAAATTAAGCCGAGGTCGCTTGCGACCGAGGGAAATTCTTGTCCATGACTTATCATTAAGTTTCTTACTTGTATGACCTCAGTTTGAGTCTAATATGTCTTTGTTGGTTAAAAAAAATGAAGCCGAGGTCGCTTGCGGCCGAGGCAAAAGCTTATTCACGACTTATCATTAAGTTTCTTGCATGTATGACCTTTTTTGAGTCTGAAATGTTTTCGCCGGTTGAAAAAATCAAGCCGAGGTCGCTTGCGTCCGAGGCAAAAGCTCATTCGTAACTTATTATTAAGTTTCTTACTTGTATGACCTGAGTTTAAGTCCAATATGTCTTCGCTGGTTAAAAAAAATGAAGCAGAGGTCGCTTGCGGCCGAGGCAAAAGCTTTTCCATGACTTATCATTATGTTTCTTGCTTGTATGACTTCTTTTAAGTCTGAAATGTCTCCGCTGGTTAAAAAAATGAAGCCGAGGTCGCTTGCGGCCGAGACAAAAGCTCATTGATGACTTATCATTAAGTTTCTTGTTTGTATGACCTTTTTTGAGTCTGAAATGTTTTCGCCGGTTGAAAAAATCAAGCCGAGGTCGCTTGCGGCCGAGGCAAAAGCTTGTTCATGACTTATCATTAAGTTTCTTGCTTGTATGACCTCAGTTTGGGTCTAATATGTTTTCGCAGGTTAAAAATATGAAGCGGAGGTCGCTTGCGACCGAGGACAAAGCTCGTTCATGACTTTCATTAAGTTTCTTGCTTGTATGACCTCAGTTTGAGTCTAATATGTCTTCGGCAATTAAAAAGATAAAGCCGAGGTCGCTTGCGGCCGAGGCTGTAGTTGAATTCGGATTTATTTTTACGTTTCTTATTTGTGTGTTCTTTGCTTGGGTCTGAAATGTTTTTGCTGGTTGAAAAAATGAAGCCGAGGTTGCTTGCGGTCGAGGCAAAAGCTCGTTCATAACTTATCATTAAGTTTCTTGCTTGTATGGCCTCAGTTTGAGTCTAAAGGTGGCTACACACATAACTGCAAACTTGACAAGGATGCATGATTAATCTTTTTGAACAAACATGGAAAATTTCCTTTCGCCACCACACGATACAAGTATGTTTGAACAAGCACCAGTTTGCGGTTTTCACTGGCTGCTTTTTGCCTTGTCCATAAGAGGAAAATGCCGAAGAAGAGACGTGATATATGGTGTAAAGAGTGGTTATTGAAAAGAAAAACCTACTCCCATATTAATTTACTGAGTGAATTGAAGATACATCCACCTGAGTGGCATAATTACCAAAGAAATGAAGCCGAGGTCGCTTGCGGCCGAGGCAGTAGTTCAATTAGGATTTATTTTTACATTTCTTATTTGTATGTTCTTTGGCATGGCCTCAGTTTGAGTCTAATATGTCTTCGACAATTAAAAAGATGAAGCCGAGATCGCTTGCGGCCGAGGCAGTAGTTCAATTAGGATTTATTTTTACATTTCTTATTTGTATGATCTTTGCTTGGGTCTGAAATACTTTTACTGGTTGAAAAAATGAAGCCGAGGTTGCTTGCGGTCGAGGCAAAAGCTCGTTCATGACTTATCATTAACTTTCTTAGTTGTATGACCTCAGTTTGAGTCTAATACACTGTTGAAAATAATTCACGAGCACACCCTGTATAATTTGAATGCGTGTGTCTAGCGCAATGAAATTTGGTATGGAAGTAGTACTAAAGTAGCGTAACTTATCCTCACATGGAGAGCGGCGCAACTCCGCTCGCGTCTTCGCCGTTTGCAGCACCTTGACCACAACTTTTTTGTTTAAATTTCTTATTTGGTCTAATTTGTCGAAATTTGTCCTAAATGTTCAACACTATTAGTTGTTATTTAAGATGTAAACAAGAACTTAAAGGTAGTTTTAAAGAATTACGTCCCATACAGGCTGTTCAGAGAGTCTCAGAAACTTCAGAACGACACTTCGAACTTTTGAAAACATGCATACTCGGGATCAATGCTATATAGAGTGTTAACAAAGGTTATTTCCCTAAAAAAAATTTAATTATGTCATAACTGCTTACATTTTCCAATTGATGCTAAAAGTTTTAAAATTATTTTCGTTTTCAAGTTATTCGCTTTATTTCAAGTTCATTGATGAAAACAAATTGTAACTGCAGCAGTAAAGCAACTCTCAAAGCATTACTCAAGATTCGTCAGTCGGTAATAATTGTTTAAAATGATAAATAATTACAGTCTATTACAGTTTTAGTGAGCAAACTGAAATGCTTTTAATATTGGGAGAGTGTTTATGCAATGCTAACGCAGTATCTAGTTTTTTGGCAATAATTTTAGTCTTGTATCAGCAGTACCAAGACTTGTGCTAGCTGTATCTTATTTTATGGAAGTTGTATCTAGTTTTCCATTAGCAATATCTACTCTTTTGCAATAAGAATTTAATTTTCGTCATAGGCAGATATCTATTAATTTTTTTTAAGTCGTCGTGAGGAAATCAGCGTGTTTTCTTCTATTATCAGTATCTAAACTTGTATTAGTATTATAATTTCTCATGTAAGCAGTACTTAGTCTTCTATTAGCAATATATAATCTTTTGCAGCTGTGTCTAGACTTCCATCAGCAAGCTTGAGTCTTCTAGCAGCAGTGTCTAGTTTTTTGTCAATAATTCTAGTTTTGTATCAGCAGTACCAAGACTTCTGCTAGCATTATCTCATCAGATATATCAGGATGTTAACCATGTTATTTCCCATCTTGTATCCTCCTAGTTTATATAATCTAAAACTTGATTAATCAACTAAGAATTATTTTTGCCCATAATAATTTAAAATAAATTTTTGTAGGGTGTCATCGATTTCTTCGAAGAAGGATGTTGCGGGATCGTATCAACGAGAGGATTAGCAGTAACCATATTCTGTTTAGAAGGTTATTATTATTATTTCGACCCCCACACCAGAAACGACCAAGGATTACCCTGCTTCTACGGAACATCAATGATAATAAGAACAACAAGCTCAATCGAACTATGCGATCTAATCCTAGCGAATCTCCCCGCCGACACAAACGACATGTTCAACATCGCAAAAGTCGACGTTCAAATCCTACAAGGAGAAGGAACCCCTTCGCCACCTCTCAACCATTACATCGGCTTAGACGCAAACCGCGCTATCTTAAGATCGCGCTACAGCGAAATAGACCCGCGTTACGGGCTCAACGCTGGAAAACAAAGTGTTTGTATGAGTTTCTACGCCATAGCGATGTCGTATGTGATCCCAACGGTTTTATGGTCCGTCGATATACTCAACGAAGTCTTAGAGTTGGGCGACGCCCTTTATTTCGACACGATGGAGAAAAATATCGGTGATGAATTAAAAGCGATTGAGCCGGCCGAAAACGACGCGTCCGCCCCTCAACAACCCGCCGTTGAAATTAAAATCGAAGAGCCTAAAAGCGAAGGCAAGAAAAAGGGGAAAAAAGGTAAAGAAGAGGATTCCCCGAAAGTTGCAACACCCCCGCCGGAGGTCGCATCGAAAACCGAGGAACCCCCCGAAGACGATGCGAACAAAATAACGACGGATAATGTTATTAAAAATTTTAAAATCGGCGTCAATAAATTTGATGTTGATTACAAAGATGTTAAAGAGGGAACTTACGCCGATTTGGAGGCAACGCTAAAAGAGATATTTTGCCCACCCACAGATGATAACCCGGCTAAAACCCATTCGATTCTAAAACCTCCAGCCCCCACAGAAGGGGAACCACCTCCACCGGCCGAAGACGAAGAAGACCGCAAAATACATCTAATCGAATCCAAACATATGACGTGCGTCTTTTGGACGGAAGATGACCTTTTTTATTGTTTCGATTCGAAACCACGCGACGAAAACGGCCAGATTTATGGGAAATACGAATGGCCCAAGAAAAAACCGCATCAACATCACCGACGTGGTGGTTGGAAAAAATCGATGACTTCCGATGTTGGTAATGTTAATTTTTCATTAATTTAATCCTAATAAGTAAGATAATAATTAAATTAAATTATAAATTGATAAACATAACCCCAAAAATTTTGACAACTAAATTTTTTTTCAAATTCAGTGATAATCCCCTCAGAAAGACTCTTTCTAAGCATAATTATACAGATTAGGTGTTATAAATTGATTTAAATCCCATATTTAATCGATTTTGATTCATTTATATCAAAAAAATCCGATACAACATAACCTAAAAAAGTTTCGTTTTAGAATTTAACCATACTAAAAGAAATTTAACGTTGTTATTACTTACATGTGTCATTATTACGTTTATTTACTTAACTCGATTAGTTAAGTGAGTAATTAAGAGTTATTTCATGAAAATAACTCATTTTCTCGAACGCAAACGATTAGTTGAGGTTATGTTTTGTTGTTTATTTTTGGGTTGGTACTGGATTAAAACACGAATTAATTTAAATTAAATTATAATTAAACAATAAACTGAAATATATCGGAACAAATTTAATTAATTAATGATTTGATTCATGTTATTTAATTATTATTTTAATTATAATTAAATAATTTGAGAAAATTATTAGTAATTTAGTATTGCCAACCCAAAAAGAAATTGTGGTTAAAGTAACTACGTGACGTTTCTCTAATTTGTATCAATTTTATTATTTATTCATTATTAATTATTACCCAAGTTTATATTATCAACGTATGGTTAAACACTGTCTCGTTTATTTTAACAACGCTTTAATTAAGTAAGAGTTGGATTATTTGTGCCTAAAATGTTGTAATATTCTCAACGATTAAGTGTAAAATCGCTATTACATCGAGAAATTAACGATTTTTCTTCTTGGACGAATCAGACCCGATCGAAAGATACCTCTTAACATGTTCATTTTGATTTATCTTCGACGTTATTCGCGATTTTAACGAATTTAAAGCGAATATTATTGCGGGTACATAACCTTAATTAATTTTTCTGTCACAATTTCTAATTTCGATTATTTGTAATAATATATATTTCTTTGAGTGTGAATTAACGATTTTGTTGGATATTAACGCTTTTAAACAATTAATTTTAATTAAAAAGTTATAAATAAATTAAAAAAATTAAACTTCTTACCCGCATCAAAAGATGGCGCCATAAACGGTATCGTAATGAAGTTGGAGTTCTAACCTAAAAATTATAAACAATATTTTTTTATTGAATTAATGTAAAATGCACGAAGATAAGTGCAGCGTTTGCTTAGAAAGTGCATCAAAAATCATTTGGGGTTGAAGAATTTGCTTTAGATAACGTGACATTATCGAAAAATTGGTTGATTTAATCCTGGAGATTGTAAGTTTTCTTTCAAAACGATTTAAATGATTAACATAACGTTTTAATTGGTTATAGAGTTGGAATAGCACTCATTATTTGTGCTTAAAATGTTGTGGTACCTTCAATGAGTCCTACGAGTTTAAAAAGCTTTGTTTAAAATCGCTAGAAAATAACGAATTAAGTGACTTAGAATCATCAAAAATTAATCAGGAGGGGATCGTTGAAGACAACTAATTAATTTGTTATCATTACGAGGGTGTTTTCACGTCGAAATTAATTTTATCGATCAAAAACACAACACTTGTAAAATAACTTAACCTCAATTCATTTTTCTATCACAATCTTTAATTTCGATTATTTGTAACAATAAACAATATTCTTTTGGGTGCGAATTCAACGAAATTAACGATTTTGTTGAATATAAACGTTTTTAAACAATTAATTTTAATTAAATCGTTTTAAATAAACAAACTTCTTACCCGCATTAAAAGATGGCGCCACAAACTGTATCGTAATGAAGTTGGCGTTCTAACCTAAAAATTATAAACAATACTTTTTTTATTGAATTAATGTTAAATGCACGAAGATAAATGCAGCGTTTGCTTAAAAAGTGTATCAAAAATCGTTGCGGTTGAAGAATTTGGTTTAGATAACATTAAATATATCGAAAAATTGGTTGATTTAATCCCGGAGATTGTAAGTTTTTTTCTAAAACGATTTAAATGATTAACATTTTTCAGTCACAATTTTTAATTTCGATTATTTGTAATAATAAATATAACAACGAAATTAATGATTTTGTTGCATTTTAACGCTTTTAAACAATTAATTTTAATGAAAAAGTTATAAATAAATAGATAGAAATTAAACTTAGCATTAAAAGATGGCGCCACAAACTGTTTGATATGAAGTTGGAATTTTAACATAAAAATTATAAATAATGTTTAACCTCAAACAAAACGATTTAAAAACGTTTTAATTGATTGTGGATTAAAAAATTTGCCATAATATTATATAAAGATGTTATGTACATCTGTTTTATGTTTCTAGGATTGGTTTAAATTTGAGTTTGAGGTTATGTTTAAAAAATTCCTTACTTTTAAGAGAATGTGTAAGTAATAACTACAAAATTAATTATATTTCAGGTAATGTTACTTCAGACACGGCCGCTACAATATCGGAACCGAAAAACGATGCAGATGTTGATGCAGATGAAGGTCAAGAATATGGGTTAGAACTTTACATGGGTGAGGAATACGTCGAAGAAGAGGAAGTATTTTCAGAAGAATTAGAACGTCACAGTTCGCATTATTGGCACGAGAAAGAGAAGCGGGGAAAAGGTTACGTGATGAGATTCATTTACCCAGAAGATTTGGTTAAGCAAATAACCGGGAATACGCCCCCTTTAGAAACCGAATTACCGTATAAATTAACAACTTTGCATTATTTAAACGTCGTCGTTAGCAAAGACGTTTTCGAAGATGAATACGGCACGATAAGCAACTTTAAAAACGTGGGCCAATGGAACCAATTCCTCGAATTCGACAAAAACAAATGGATTTTGAGGGGGACCATAACGGAGGATTGCGAAATTTTCCCCGAGATTAATCGCGGCAAACAAACGACCGCGCTTTGCATTTTAGCGTTAAGTTTCCAAACGCTTTACACTTTGCCGATTTTTAAAATACAAACTGTCGATGACATCGCTGTTTATGGGGACCGTTTGCACACTTTTTCTTTAAACGTTGTTACTAAAATTCGTCGGGAAGAAAAAGACGGGAATTACCCCGACGATGAATTATTAACGATCGTACTTCACGACATGACGAACAAACTAAATTTAGCCAAAGAATTTTGTATCTCCGGTGATATGATCCAATACACTTTGGAGTTATCGACGATTTCGGGCGATATCAAAGCGGAGGACCAAGAAGATTTACTCGACGTTAATCGGGGATTAAATAAATTCTTTTCAACGCAACGAACGGGGCTGTTGGAGTCGAAAGAGTTGTTGGTGGCGATTTGGAGGCAAGGAACTGCGTATTACATGTACGATTCGCATTCGAGGGGGCCAAGCGGGCGGAAAATAATCAACGGGGTTTCTTGTATCACGAGATTCCTCAATCTCGAAGATTTGGGGAACTTATTTTTGGAGAATTTATCCTCGGAAGGCGATAACCGCTTTTTTATTCACACCGTGGAATTAAACGCGATGAAATGCCCGCGGGACGAAGTGAGAAAAGTCCCCGTTAAAGTCCAAGCCCCTAAAATTGCGACCCCCTTCGAGGAGATTTCGCCGGGAAAATCGATCGTACGAGGTGGTATTAGCCAACAAGATCCCGTGTTTAAGCGGCAAGCAAATTCGCAGTGTGCAGCAGTCGCTTTTGTGGCTCTCGCGATGACTTTAGTGCATAACCCCGCGTTTTGGACCAAACCAATCATCGACGAAATCGTGAGAATCGGAGATGCGCTTTATGGCGTAGCTTTGGATAACTTGGGGTACTCATTTAACCCATGGGAGCAAGCCTTAACCGTGGAATTCGTCCCTAAAGACTTCAAAATAGGCGAATTAAAAGCGAGTTGCGAAATCCGCGAAAACGAACAAATCGGAGTCGTCGATGCTTTACACACAAAAGTCCAAAATCTACGAGTAGGAATCGAAAAATTCTTCCAAGAAAACACCCACGGGGTTATCACCACACCCCCATTATCCGTGGCTATTTGGGAGGAAGAAGAACCCCATCGCATGATTTACATGTTTGACCCAAACCCGCGGGGGATTTCCGGGATGCCGATGATGGCCGAAGAAGACCGAGACACTTTTTGTAGGGGAACAGCTTGCGTGGTCACTTTCGACGATTACAAAATGGTAGCGGATCATTTTTCCGCGTTAATTTCCCCCAACACCGACGTCGAATTCAGAATCACCCCGATCGAGATTTGCGTCGGAAAAATGAAAACGAAAGGGAAAAAGAAAAAGAAAGACAAAGAGGAGGTTCCGCTCGCGATTTTAGGGCGAGGATACGGAAAGGAATTTAGCAAAGCGTGCGAGAAAAAGAAAATCCAAGAGATGATTAAACAACTCCGCGAGCAAGAGAAATTAAAAAGAATCGCAAAATCCGGTCGAAAATCGTTTTATATGCTCCCCGGAAACGAAATGGGATTAATCCGAGGATCGAGGAGTCAAAATTCGAAATTTTATTGCTTATTATCCCGAGGGAACCAAGATATCCCGAATTGTTTAAGCGCTTACGTCATGGAACGCCTCCTTCCCTTTAATAATTGGAGCGATGAAGTCATCAATATGACTTTGGACATCGGAGATCAACTTTATAAAGATTCCTTTGTCGTGTATCACCCAATGTCGAAAAAATTAAATTTGGATTGTGTTATACGCGAAATTGTTATTAAAGATGTTCGGGTGAGTTTGGCGATTGGGAAGCCGGTTCTTTTCAATCAATTCACGCCGATTTGTGTTGAGAAAGCGTTGGAAATGTTTTTCCGTCAGAAAATGTTTTGTATGTTGAGGATGAATTGTGATGTGATCGCGTTGTTTTGTAAGGACGATATTTACTATATGTTTGATCCGCACGATTTGACGCTCGAAGTGAAGCGGGTCGAGGATAGGGGGGAGGCGATGTTGGTTAAGTTTAATAGTTTGAGGAAAATGTCCGAGGTGATTGTTGATAATTATAAGGTGCCGGAGGACGAGGAGATGATTTTTAGTTTGATTTTGGTTACGATTAAAGCGATGCAGAAAATGCCGAGGAGGAAACCTAAGGAGTTGTGTGATTAAAATAATGTTGTTTCTTTGATTATTTTTATAATAAAAGTGGTGTGGAACTACTTATTTATATATACTCATCAACATCGTCCGTATATTATTATAAATAATATTATTATTAATATATTTGACGTGATGAGAAGATAGCTACGAACGTTCATTTTGAGACTTTTCCCAACAGATGGCGCTACCTCATATATGTCTCCTAAATCATTTTGGATTAAAATAAAACTAAAACTAGAAATTTTGAGGTTAACTCTAAAATTTCTAGTTTTAGTTTTATTTCTTATTACATTGGCAGAAAAGTGTACGAAAATGTTGTGAATAGAATAATTTTCTGTTTCAAAGTGGCGCCATCTCTTAGATGACATTTAGTGTTTTCTGTACGCAACTTAAAATTTATTAATTTTGCTTCAAAAAAAGTCTTAATCAGCAAAGAAATAACCACAAAACGTTTGTTATACCCCTTATTCTTTAACTTTATCGTTTAAGTGTCACGAAAAAGGAATTTAAACGTATTCATGGATAATAAGTTGGTTGGGACATAACCTTACTCTTTTTTGATGAAGAAAACGTCGATTACGTTTAAGAAAGATATCCAACATCAAAAGTAAGTCTAAACCCTCTCAATTAAGTAAATAATTAAAATCAAAAACAATTTTTAATGATTTTAAAATTAAATAATTCTAATTGTTACGTTTTAAAGTGGCGCCATCTCTTAGATGACATTTAGTGTTGTTGCATGTTTTCTGCCTATAACTTAAAATTTAATTTTGCTTCAAAAATGTCTTAATCAGCAAAGAAATAACCACAAAACGTTTGTTATACCCCTTATTCTTTAACTTTATCGTTAAAAGTGTCACGAAAAAGGAATTTAAACGTTTTCATGGATAATAAGTTGGTTGTGACATAACCTTACTCTTTTTTGATGAAGAAAACGTCGATTACGTTTAAGAAAGATATCCAACATCATAAGTAAGTCTAAAACCTCTTAATTAAGTAAATAATTAAAATCGAAAACAATTTTTAATGATTTTAAAATTAACTAATTCTAATTGTTACGTTTTAAAGTGGCGCCATCTCTTAGATGACATTTAGTGTTGTTGCATGTTTTCTACCTATAACTTAAAATTTAATTTTGCTTCAAAAATTGTCTTAATCGGCAAAGAAATAACCCCAAAACGATTGTTATAACCCTTATTCTTTAACTTTATCGTTTAAAAGTGTCACGAAAAAGGAATTTAAACGTATTCATGGATAATAAGGTGGTTGGGACATAACCTTACTCTTTTTTGATGAAGAAAACATCGATTACGTTTAAAAAAGATATCCAACATCAAAAGTAAGTCTAAAACTTCTCAATTAAGTAAATAATTAAAATCGAAAACAATTTTTAATGATTTTAAAATTAAATAATTCTAATTGTTACGTTTTAAAGTGGCGCCATCTCTTAGATGACATTTAGTGTTGTTGCATGTTTTCTGCCTATAACTTAAAATTTAATTTTGCTTCAAAAATGTCTTAATCAGCAAAGAAATAACCACAAAACGATTGTTATACCCCTTATTCTTTAACTTTATCTTTTAAAAGTGTCACCAAAGAGTAATTTAAGTTGTTTTGTAGATAATAAGTAGGTTGGAACATAACCTCACTCTTTTTTGATGAAGAAATCGTCGATTATGTTTAAGAAAGATATCCAACATCAAAAGTAATATTTATAAATTTCACTAGATGGCGCTACTTACTACGCGTCTTTTTCAAGTAATATTTTTTGACGTTTCATTAAAAAAAAATTTATTTAACTCTTTTTGTGTTAAAAATAAAACTAAAACTATAAAGTTTGAGGTATTATCATCATAACCCGAAAATTTCTAATTTTAGTTTTATTTCTTATTACATCGGCAGAAAAATCTCCGAAGATTTTGTAACTAAAATATTTTTTTTTTTAAGTTTTCAACATGTCGTTACCATGGTGATGTATCAATAAGCGCCGACATCTTTAAAAAATCACCTGTTGCATCAAAAGAACGTTTTATAATAATTATATTAAACGATTTTCGCATTAAATGAAGCTGAAAGATCCGTTTTTAAGACAGAGTAAGTACATACAATTTTTATAGGGAATTAGTTGTTTTTGTGTTGAAAAAATTATGTTGTGCGTTTTTCTCAACCTAACCTAACTTATATTTAAAGTCAAAGACGCGTTAAGCGCCCTTCACACGATCGACATATTGTCAATATGACCAATAAATATTGCCTCAGACTATCAATATTTATTGATAATCTACTTAGTTTTGCGTTGACAGTTAAAGATGCCATGTCATGTTTGAATGTTAATAGCACTTCCGTGCATTAAAGTATATCTGTCTGAATTCTATATTACGCGATATAATCCGTAATATAATCCTACTAACNAAGTCTAAAACCTCTCAATTAAGTAAATAATTAAAATCAAAAACAATTATTAATGATTTTAAAATTAAATAATTCTAATTGTTACGTTTTAAAGTGGCGCCATCTGTTAGCTGACATTTAGTGTTGTTGCACGCAGTTGCACGTTTTGTGCCTATAACTTAAAATTTAATTTTGCTTCAAAAATGTCTTAATCGGCAAAGAAATAACCACAAAACGTATGTTATATCCCTTATTCTTTAACTTTATCGTTTAAAAGTGTCACGAAAAAGTAATTTAAACGTTTTCATGGATAATAAGTTGGTTGGAACATATCCTTACTCTTTTTTGATGAAGAAAACGTCAATTACGTTTAAGAAAGATATCCAACATCATAAGTAAGTCTAAAATCTCTCAATTAAGTAAATAATTAAAATCAAAAACAATTTTTAATGTTTTTAAAATTAAATAATTCTAATTGTTACGTTTTAAAGTGGCGCCATCTCTTAGATGACATTTAGTGTTGTTGCATGTTTTCTGCCTATAACTTGAAATTTAATTTTGCCTCAAAAATTGTCTTAATCGGCAAAGAAATAACCCCAAAACGATTGTTATAACCCTTATTCTTTAACTTTATCGTTTAAAAGTGTCACGAAAAAGTAATTTCATGGATAATAAGTTGGTTGGGACATAAACTTACTTTTTTTTGATGAAGAAAACGTCGATTACGTTTAAGAAAGATATCCAACATCAAAAGTAAGTCTAAAACCTCTCAATTAAGTAAATAATTAAAATCGAAAACAATTTTTAATGATTTTAAAATTAAATAATTCTAATTGTTACGGTTTTAAAGTGGCGCCATCTCTTAGATGACATTTAGTGTTGTTGCATGTTTTCTGCCTATAACTTAAAATTTAATTTTGCTTCAAAAATGTCTTAATCAGCAAAGAAATAACCACAAAACGTTTGTTATAACCCTTATTCTTTAACTTTATCTTTTAAACGTGTCACCAAAGAGTAATTTAAGTTGTTTTGTAGATAATAAGTAGGTTGGAACATAACCTCACTCTTTTTTGATGAAGAAAACGTCGATTATGTTTAAGAAAGATATCCAACATCAAAAGTAATATTTATAAAATTCACTAGATGGCGCTACTTACTACGCGTCTTTTTCAAGTAACATTTTTTGACGTTTCATTAAAAAAAAATTTATTTAACTCTTTTTGTTTTAAAAATAAAACTAAAACTATAAAGTTTGAGGTATTATCATCATAACCCGAAAATTTCTAATTTTAGTTTTATTTCTTATTACATCCGCAGAAAAATCTCCGAAGATTTTGTAACTAAAATTTTTTTTTTTTTTTTAAGTTTTCAACATGTCGTTACCATGGTGATGTATCAATAAGCACCGACATCTTTAAAAAATCACTTGTTGCATCAAAAGAACGTTTTATAATAATTATATTAAACAATTTTCGCATTAAATGAAGCTGAAAGATTCGTTTTTAAGACAGAGTAAGTACATACAATATTGTAAGGAATTAGTTGTTTTTGTGTTGAAGAAATTATGTTGTGCGTTTTTCTCAACCTAACCTAACTTATATTTAAAGTCAAAGACGCGTTAAGCGCCCTTCACACGATCAACATATTGTCAATAGGGCCAATAAATATTGACAAACTATAATTGCCTCAGATTATCAATATTTATTGATAATCTACTTAGTTTTGCGTTGACAGTTAAAGATGCCATGTCATGTTTGAATGTTAATAGCACTTCCGTGCATTAAAGTATATCTGTCTGAATTCTATATTACGCGATATAATCCGTAATATAATCCTACTAACGTAGGATTGTCAATATCTCCCTCAAACTGTCCATATATTAAATATTTTCGTTTTCGTCAAACCATCCAATCAAGATTGACAATATGTCAATCTTTCTACTATAATATTGTCAATACTTAGATATTGACAGTATATATTGATCGTGTGAAGGGCGCTTTAGAAATAAAACTAAAACCAGCGCTTCCAACTTCAAAGTTTTGAATACTTATTATGCTTTATTGCAGTAATGACCAGGTTTATATCAATGTTTATTAACTCTAGCGCCTCGGCCGCAAGCGACCTCGGCGTTTTGAATATTTATTTGAAAATTCAAATTATTTTTCAATTTAAATTAACTTCATGAACAATCTTCATATGCTGCTTAATATAACTTTTATCAATGAACCCTTTTCCACAAGTTAAACACTGAAACGGTTTCTCCCCGGTGTGCGATCGAATATGTTTCTGCAACTTATTATTAGCGTAATAACTTTTCGGACAAATATGACAAAAATGTTTCTTAACTCTCTCCGGCAACTTAACCTCCCCAATCCCATGCGCCTTCGCCAAATGCACATCCAAACTCCTTTGATACTTATATTCCAACCCGCACTCCGAACACTTAAACAACCGGATATTCGAATGCGACTCAATATGTCTCTGCAACACCGATTTGCTCACACACTTTCGATCGCAAATGTGACAACCGAAATTTTTTTCGCCCGTATGCGTTTTCGTGTGCGAATCCAAGTTCGTTTTTAACGGAAACTTCTTGTTGCATATGTTGCAAACGTATTTCCACTTTTCTTTATCGAAGTGAACGCAAATTCGGTGTTTATGCAAATCGGAGGAATTATTAAAAGCTTTCGGACACTCGGAACATTTATAATCGCGTTTATTCGCGTGGATTTTTTCGTGGTGGGACAAATCACTTTTCGTTATGAAACTTTTCCCGCAATACAAACACATATGAGGACGCTCCCCGCTATGATACATTTTATGAGCACTCAAATAAACTTGGCTTGCAAATTTTTGACCACAAACATCACAATCGAATAATTTCTCATTCACGTGGACGTTTTTAATGTGCCGATTTAATAAATATTTCGTTAAAAAGACGTTTTTACACATTGTACAAGTGTATGATGACTTTGATTTCGATTTTTTTTGCTTGTTTTTACACCCCAAATAATGAATCTTCATTAATTTACTTGTTGGGAGGATTTTTAAGCATTTTGGGCACTGTTTAGTCTCCCCAATGTTGTGGGTGTCATCTAAATGTTGTTGTAATGATATTTGATCGCTAAATCTACCCCCACAGATTTTGCAAGTCTTGGTTATGTTGTGTTTTTGATCAATATGTTCAGTTAAAAGTAATTTTGAGGTGAAGACACCCTCACAATGATAACAAATTAATTCATTGTCTTCAATTATCTCCTCCTGGTTAATTTTTGATGATTCTGAGTCACTTAATTCGTTATTTTCTAGTGATTTTAAACAAAGCTTTTTAAACTCGTAGGACTCATTGAGGGTACCACAACATTTTAAGCACAAATAATGAGTGCTATTCCAACTCTATAACCAATTAAAACGTTATGTTAATCATTTAAATCGTTTTGGAAGAAAACTTACAATCTCCGGGATTAAATCAACCAATTTTTCGATATATTTAATGTTATCTAAACCAAATTCTTCAACCGCAACGATTTTTGATGCACTTTTTAAGCAAACGCTGCATTTATCTTCGTGCATTTTACATTAATTCAATAAAAAAAAATATTGTTTATAATTTTTAGGTTAGAACTCCAACTTCATTACGATACAGTTTGTGGCGCCATCTTTTAATGCGGGTAAGAAGTTTGTTTATTTAAAACGATTTAATTAAAATTAATTGTTTAAAAACGTTAATATTCAACAAAATCGTTAATTTCGTTGAATTCGTACCCAAAAGAATATTGTTTATTGTTACAAATAATCGAAATTAAAAATTGTGATAAAAAAATTAATTGAGGTTAAGTTATTTTACAAGTGTTGTTTTTGATCGTTAAAATTAATTTCGACGTGAAAACACCCTCACAATGATAACAAATTAATTCATTGTCTTCAACTATCTCCTCCTGGTTAATTTTTGATGATTCTGAGTCACTTAATTCATTATTTTCTAGCGATTTTAAACAAAGCTTTTTAAACTCGTAGGACTCATTGAGGGTACCACAACATTTTAAGCACAAATAATGAGTGCTATTCCAACTCTATAACCAATTAAAACGTTATGTTAATCATTTAAATCGTTTTGGAAGAAAACTTACAATCTCCGGGATTAAATCAACCAATTTTTCGATATATTTAATGTTATCTAAACCAAATTCTTCAACCGCAACGATTTTTGATGCACTTTTTAAGCAAACGCTGCATTTATCTTCGTGCATTTTACATTAATTCAATAAAAAAAAATATTGTTTATAATTTTTAGGTTAGAACTCCAACTTCATTACGATACAGTTTGTGGCGCCATCTTTTAATGCGGGTAAGAAGTTTATTTATTTAAAACGATTTAATTCAAATTAATTGTTTAAAAACGTTTATACTCAACAAAATCATTAATTTCGTTGAATTCGCACCCAAAAGAATATTGTTTATTGTTACAAATAATCGAAATTAAAAATTATGACTGTAAAAATTAATTGAGGTTATGTACCCACTTTAAATTCGTTAAATGTCGAAAATAAATCAAAAGGAATATCTTAAGAAGTATCTTTCGATCGGGTGTAATTCGTCCAAGAGGAAAAAGCACAAAAAGGGAGCCCCGGAAACTCAAAGCAGGTTAATTTGAGATCTAACCTCATTTTTTTGTGTCAAATTAATTTTAATGGTTATTCATAATTATTTATTTATGATATAGACGTAAACCTTTTTAACCTAGCCGTTGAAGAAGATATGCGGAGCTAATTAAATTAATTATTGTAATAAAAAAAACATTGTTTATAATTTTTAGGAAATAATTCCAACTTCATTGTGATACAGTTTGTGGCGCCATCTTTTAATACGAGGGCGAAGTTTGATTTTTATTTATTTATTTATAACTTTTTAATTAAAATTAATTGTTTAAAAGCGTTAACATTGAACAAAATTAATGATTTTGTTGATTTTACACTCAAAAGGATATTTATTATTACAAATAACCGAAATTAAAAGTTAAATAAATTGAAATTGTGTACTCACTTTAAATTCGTTAAAATTGTCGGTAATGTCGAAAATAAATCAAAAGGAATATCTTAAGAAATATCTTTCGATCGGGTCTAATTCGTCCAAGAAGAAAAAGCACAAAAAGAGAGCCCCGGAAACTCAAAGCAGGTTAATTTGAAATCTAACCTCATTTTTTTATGTCAAATTAATTTTAATGCTTATACATAATTATTTATTTATGATATAGACGTAAACCTTTTTAACCTAGCCGTTGAAGAAGATATGCGGAGCTAATTAAATTAATTAATCTAATAAAAAAAACATTGTTTATAATTTTTAGGAAATAATTCCAACTTCATTGTGATACAGTTCGTGGCGCCATCTTTTAATGCGAAGACGAAGTTTAATTTTTATTTATTTATTTATAACTTTTTAATTAAAATTAATTGATTAAAAGCGTTAACATTGAACAAAATTAATGATTTTGTTGAATTTACACTCAAAAGGATATTTATTATTACAAATAACCGAAATTACAAGTTATGATAGAAAAATAAATTGAGGTTATGTGCCCACAATAACGTACGTTATAAATTCGTTAAAATCGTGCATAATGTCGAAGATAAATCAAAAGGAATATCTTAAGAAGTATCTTTCGATCGGGTCTAAATCGTCCAAGAAGAAAAATCACAAAAAGAGAGCCCCGGAAACTCAAAGCAGGTTAATTTGAAATCTAACCTTACTTTTTTATGTCAAATTAATTTTAATCTTATTCATAATAATTTATTTATTCATTGCTGCTTTCATATAGAGTTAAAATCATCGATGATGATATAGATGTAAACCTTTTTAACCAAGCTGTTGAAGAAGATATGAGTGGAGCTAACGAAGATGCCCCACAAATCGTAGGAGTCATCGATGAGCGCCCCCCTGAGTTACGAATCGACGATTACCGTAAAAGTGATAAATGGAAACCCTTAGGGGCTATAATTGAGATAAAAGAGGAAGAAAAAAGCGAAAACGAGCAAGAAAATAACGATCAAAGCCCAATTAGACGTAAACGCAATGATAGTGACCAAGATTTATCCCCCCCAAGAATTAATGATGATTCAAGCCCCCCGAGACGAAATCGTAACCGAGATTTATCCCCGAAACGTTCTCGATCAAGATGGGATCGTAACGAAAAGACTTTGGATGGAAAAAAATCGGGGTTGCAATCCGCCAAAGAAGTTATGAAAGAATTAGAAGACTTAAAACGAAGTGAAGAAGAAAAATTTGGAAAAATATCGAAGGAAGTTTCTGGAGCAACTGCAAAAACTGTTTTTAGAGACCGAAAAACGGGTAAAGTTCGAAATTTCGAAGAAGAAGCCACTGAAAAACGAAAAAAACAAGAAAAAGAAGACGAAAGGAACGAAAAGTACACAAGATGGGGTCGGGGGTTAAAACAGGTCGAAGATTATCAAAAAAAAGTTAATGAGGATTTACACGAAATGAGTAAACCGTTGGCTCGGTACGCCGATGATGAGGATTTGGAGAGATATTTAAAGGAGCAAGAACGCGCTGGGGATCCCATGTTGGAGTATTTGAGGAAGAAACGAAGAAAGGATGACGGTGGAGGTAATAAAGCGAGTAAACCGCTTTTTGAAGGGGAATTTATGCCGAATCGGTATGGAATTCGTCCGGGGCATCGTTGGGATGGGGTCGATCGTTCAAACGGGTATGAAAAGAAATGGATCGGGAGAGTTAACGCGGAATCTGCGCAACAAGAAGAGATTTATAAGTGGAGTACAGAAGATATGTAACGATTAAATAATTAATTAATTATGATACTTTGTGGTAGTTTAAATTTTAACATAATATCTTTTAAAAGTCTCATGATTAAGTAATTTAAGTTTTTTCATGGATAATAAGCTGATTGGGACATAACCTCACTTTTTTTTATGTGAAAACGTCGATTACGTTTAAAAAAGATATCCAACATCAAAAGTAAGTCTAAAATCTCTCAATTAAGTAATTAATTAAGATTAAAAACAATTTTTAATAATTTTAAAATTAAATAATTCTAATTGTAACACCGTTTCAATGTGGCGCCATCTCTTAGATGACATTTAATGTTACATGTTTCCTATACGCAATTTAAAGTTATTAATTTTGCTTCAAAAAATGTCTTAATCAGCAAAGAAATAACCACAAAAACGTTTGTTATACCCCTTATTCTTTTACTTGATCGTTTAAAAGTGTCACAAAGAGTAATTTAAGTGTTTTCGAAGATAAAAAGTTGGATGGGACATAACCTCAATCTTTTTTGATGAAAAAAACATCGATTACGTTTAAGAAAGATATCCAACATCAAAAGTAAGTCTAAAACCTCTTAATTAAGTAAATAATTATAATCAAATACCATTCTGAATGATTTTAAAATTAAATAATTCTAATTGTTACGGTTTTAAAGTGGCGCCATCTTTTAGATGACATTTAATGTTGTTGCATGTTTTCTGCCTATAACTTAAAATTTAGTTTTGCTTCAAAAATGTCTTAATCAGCAAAGAAATAACTACAAAACGATTGTTATACCCCTTATTCTTTAACTTTATCATTTAAAAGTGTCACGAAAAAGTAATTTAAACGTTTTTATGGATAATAAGTTGGTTGGGACATAACCTTATTCTTTTTTGCTGAAGAAAACGTCGATTACGTTTAAGAAAGATATCCAACATCAAAAGTAAGTCTAAAACCTCTCAATTAAGTAAATAATTAAAACCAAAAACAATTTTTAATGATTTTAAAATTAAATAATTCTAATTGTTACGTTTTAAAGTGGCGCCATCTCTTAGATGACATTTAGTGTTGTTGCATGTTTTCTGCCTATAACTTAAAATTTAATTTTGCTTCAAAAATGTCTTAATCAGCAACGAAATAACCACAAAACGTTTGTTATACCCCTTATTCTTTTACTTGATCGTTTAAAAGTGCCACAAAAAGTAATTTAAGTGTTTTCGAAGATAAAAAGTTGGATGGGACATAACCTCAGTCTTTTTTGATGAAAAAAAACCTCGATTACGTTTAAGAAAGATATCCAACATCAAAAGTAAGTCTAAAACCTCTGAATTAAGTAAATAGTTATAATCAAAAACCATTTTGAATGATTTTAAAATTAAATAATTCTAATTGTTACGGTTTTAAAGTGGCGCCATCTTTTAGATGACATTTGATGTTGTTGCATGTTTTCTATACGCAATTTAAAGTTATTAATTTTGCTTCAAAAAATGTCTTAATCAGCAAAGAAATAACCACAAAACATTTTTTATACCCTTTATTCTTTTACTTGATCGTTTAAAAGTGTCACAAAGAGTAATTTAAGTGCTTTCGAAGATAAAAAGTTGAATGGGACATAACCTCAATCTTTTTTGATGAAAAAAAAACATCGATTACGTTTAAGGAAGATATTCAACATCAAAAGTGAGTCTAAAACCTCTTAATTAAGTAAATAATTATAATCAAAAACCATTTTGAATGATTTTAAAATTAATAATTCTAATTGTTACGGTTTCAAAGTGGCGCCATCTTTTAGATGACATTTAGTGTTGTTGCATGTTTTCTATACGCAATTTAAAGTTATTAATTTTCCTTTATGCTTTAACGTTATCGTTTAAAAGTGTTACGAAAACGTAATTTAAGTTTTTTATCTTTTAAGTTATCTTACTAAATGATTGATGGAGGAAGTGACATTCAAGAAAGAACAAAAAAATGTTTTTAAACAAATAACAAGTTAAGTAAAGTTGGATCTGAATTGTTTATAAAGGAATTGTTGTTATTATTTTTGAAAAAGGAAGTTTCTATGTCCCAAATTGTTGCTTTTCTATTTTCACTTCTTTGTTAAAAACGAATTATTTAAATAATCATATTTTGACAAGTTCATTTTTGCGCCATCTATTTTTAATTCGATGAATTTTGACATTTATCTAATTTAGGGTTTAAATTCGAGATGTCGTTGTGTTCTTTACATTACTTTTATTACATATTTAAATTGTTGTTAATTTTTAATTAGTAATATAAAAATGAGGGTTTTTTTATTTATCTTCAAAGTTTCAGAAAAATTTTGAAGAAATTCCGATTTTTTTATCAATTCTAACTTAATTATATAAGTAGGAAGGTTTTCACGCCCGGTGTTAATTAAACTAAAACTAGAACTAACACTAACCCTAGAACTAGAAACTTTCGGGTTAAGCCGGGCGTTTTTTGAAAAAATGTTTGACGTTTAGGTTAAAATATTTAAATTAAAAATAATTTTTTTTTACAAATTCGATTAAATAATTTAAATAATCCATGAAATTTACTTTTTAATCAAACAAAAATAGATTTTATCTTAATCTTTTAAATAAATTTAAATATTAATTTAAATTTCGCGGCTTTAAAATCGATCCGATCGGGCCCGAATCGTTCCGATTTGAACCGAATCCTAATCGACATAGGTGTGTTAAGTTTACCGACGATCAAAACGGTGGTTTTTCGAGGGGCGAAAACCGAGCGGTTCGAGTTCGATTGGGGGCCCACCCTCGGCGCCGATCGATGATCCAATCGTAACCGGTAATTGTCATGTACGAAGAATTAAAATCGACGAAAATAATCGTGGTCTAGTCGTCTTTGCGATTGTTTTTTTTTTGTGCTGTCAATTTTTGAGCTGTCAAAAATGTCACTGCCTGGGACACAAGGCCTATCAAAATTAAAGAAAAAACACTTCAGAGTTAAACACCAAAAGGTTAAATTATTTCGTGCGAATGAGCCGTTTTTATCGGTTTTAATGTGGGGAATTAACCACACCGTAAGTTATAAATAATTTTTTTTTTTTTTTGAGGTTATGTTATTTTAATTTTTTTCTTTTTAGATAAACGAGTTAATGCATGTTACGATCCCCGTTATGCTTTTACCCGACGATTTTAGAGCTTATTCCAAAATTAAAATCGATAACCACTTATTTAATAAGTAAGTATTTTAATTAATTAAAAAAAAATTATTAAATATGATTATTCCGTAGAGAAAACATGCCATCTCATTTCAAAGTAAAAGAATATTGCCCCATGGTTTTTAGAAACATACGCGAACGATTTGGAATTGACGATTTAGACTTTAAAGAGTCTTTAACGCGCTCTCAACCGCTCCCTGATGATTCTTCTGGAAAAAGTGGGGCTAAGTTTTATCTCAGTTCTGATAAACTTTTTATTATTAAAACGTTAACGAGCGAGGAAGTCGAACGAATGCACTCGTTTTTAAAGCATTATCATCCTGTGAGTTAATTTTTTTTAATTCTAACCTCAAAATTATTTCAATTTGTTGTAGTATATCGTCGAAAGGCATGGAAAGACGCTTTTACCCCAATATTTAGGAATGTATCGATTAACCGTAGACAATGTTGAACATTACATTGTAATTACAAGGAATGTTTTTTCGAATCATCTTAGTACGCATCGTAAATTCGATCTTAAAGGCTCCACGGTCGATCGAGAGGCTTCTGATAAGGAATTGGAGAAGGATTTGCCCACTTATAAAGACAACGACTTCGTTAAGCAAAAATTAAAGGTTATTTTTTTAAATTTTTAATTTTTTAGGTTATGTCATCATTTTTTTTAATTTTAGGTGTATATAGGTGACGAAGCCAAGCAAAAATTGATGGAAACGCTCACCGCCGACGTTGAATTCCTCACCAAATTGCATTTAATGGATTACAGCATGTTATTAGGTAAAAAAAAAATTTTTTTTTTTGAGGTTATGTTGTTTCAAATCGCTAAATAAATCAAATTTAGGTATACATGAGGTTGAGCGAGGTGAAGAAGAGTTCGCCCGGCAACGAGAAAACGAATCTGAGAATGCTTGTCAAGAATCTGATGAAAGTGAAGCCGGTTCGGGTTTGGATAGTCGCAATTTCGGTTATAACACCCCTCCGGATTCGCCAAACGCGATCGCTCAATTCGTTCGGGATCAAAGTCTCCAATACGAAGGTAAATTAAGACATTTTATTATTTATGTTTGGATTAAATTTTGTTTTAAAACGAATTTTATTAAAATAGTCAAGATAAATGTTTTCTCAGGTAAATTTTTCTCAGGAGGTATCATTCCGGAATTGGATATCTACGCAATTCCAAGTTGCGAAACCGCCCCAGTTAAAGAGATTTATTTCGTTGCGATTATTGACGTTTTGACTCATTATGGGGTGAAGAAGCAGGCTGCGAAAGCTGCCAAAACCGTTAAATATGGTTCGAATGTCGATGGAATTAGCACATGTGACCCCGAACAATACGCAAGAAGATTTATGGAGTTTATGTCCAAAGCTATTGAATAGATTTAGTGTGATCGGTTTCTATTATCTTTATTTTGTGTTATTTAGAGGTTAATCGGAAGATTTTATGTAGGTAGATGTTGTAAATATGATTTATTTTTGTGTAAGTTCTTGGTTAGTTTGTTTATATCGATTTTTTATTGAAAAAAAGAAAAAAAGTGAGGTTAGAACATGAAATTTTTTTCAACATAACCTCAAATTATTTAATTTTTTTTGTTAAAATCATTTTTATATGACTTTTGATTAATCTTATTCGTGATTAATCGTATTTTCGATTGATTTCATCACTTTTTATTAATCACTATACAATAATAAATCGATAAAAAAGTGAGGTTAGGTGAAGGAAAAGCCAATTTTTTTTCACAAAAAGGTCACCGAATTTCTTGGTACAATAAACTCGCTTATTTCAAAAGATATTAATGATTATTATAAAATGTAAGAGAAATAAAGGGGTTCTAATTAGATTAAAACATTTAAAACCTTTTTTTACAACAAAAGATTGTTTAATTTGTACATATTATGTAAGTGGCCCCTTTTTAGGTGTTTATTTCGTTCAAAGATGTACATATTTGCATCGGTCGAAGCTTTTATTAAGATTGTAACACAGAAATCGATTTTTTTTTACTACAAGCTCAATTCACAACTTTCTACTCTTAACAAATCCGTAAAAAGGCTACACTCTTTATATTCGCTTGTAAATATCGTTATTATTACGTATTTTTGTGGTATTTTTAATCTATCATGTCATCTAGTCTTATTCGAGTACGGCGTAAGGTGCAGCTCGTGTCATGATTTCTTTACTTCGCGTATATATTTGTGTTATTATTACGATTATGGATATGTTTATAAATAAATTATGTCTTAAAAATAATTAATTTGTTTAAAAAAAGTTAATTTAAACATTTTCATAATTTGACACATCGTATCCAACTTCACGGTTATTTATCTTTAAGAAAATATTAATTTAATCTTTATTTTTATCCTATTCTCATCTTTTTTTTATATTAATAACAATTTTAATAACTAAATTAATAATATCTTCAATAATTTTAATTAATCAACGATTTTTTTTTAAATTAATTTAAAGCAACTAACTTCAAGTTAGTTAACTCGGTGATTTCAAAATGGTGTCGCGTCCTTTCAAACGGTGCGAATTAAAAGTGAGTTTTTCCCGGAAATAATTTACTTATCGCCCCAAATTAATCACGATTTCTTTTTTTAGGTGTTTCATAACGTTATTGTAGTGTTCGTGCGATTGGGGCGCTCAAAAATTCTTCAAATTCGTGCTCCTGGAACAATTAAGATTTCCCCCGCCTGGTGGCGCTTCATTAAGGTAAAATTACCCACAATTCTCTTCGTTACCAAGCAACCTCGTTATTGACGTTTAACCTCAAATTTTATTTAATAATTATGTCAAAAAAAAACCGAAATAATTACACTCAATATTCGCAAGAAGAATCATGAAGGTAAACAATCATATTGTTAATCGTTACAATTCTAGTTCATCGCTTAATTACGATAAATCAAAGATATGTTTATATCATTCCGGAATTGGATATCTACGCAATTCCAAGTTGCGAAACCGCCCCAGTTAAAGAGATCTATTTCGTTGCGATTATCGATGTTTTGACTCATTATGGGGTGAAGAAGCAGGCTGCGAAAGCCGCCAAAACCGTTAAATATGGTTCGAACGTCGATGGAATTAGCACATGTGACCCCGAACAATATGCAAGAAGATTTATGGAGTTTATGTCCAAAGCTATTGAATAGATTTAGTGTGATCGGTTTCTATTATCTTTATTTTGTGTTATTTAGAGGTTAATCGGAAGATTTTATGTAGGTAGATGTTGTAAATATGATTTATTTTTGTGTAAGTTCTTGGTTAGTTTGTTTATATCGATTTTTTATTGAAAAAAAGAAAAAAAGTGAGGTTAGAACATGAAATTTTTTTCAACATAACCTCAAATTATTTAATTTTTTTTGTTAAAATCATTTTTATATGACTTTTGATTAATCTTATTCGTGATTAATCGTATTTTCGATTGATTTCATCACTTTTTATTAATCACTATACAATAATAAATCGATAAAAAAGTGAGGTTAGGTGAAGGAAAAGCCAATTTTTTTTCACAAAAAGGTCACCGAATTTCTTGGTACAATAAACTCGCTTATTTCAAAAGATATTAATGATTATTATAAAATGTAAGAGAAATAAAGGGGTTCTAATTAGATTAAAACATTTAAAACCTTTTTTTACAACAAAAGATTGTTTAATTTGTACATATTATGTAAGTGGCCCCTTTTTAGGTGTTTATTTCGTTCAAAGATGTACATATTTGCATCGGTCGAAGCTTTTATTAAGATTGTAACACAGAAATCGATTTTTTTTAACTACAAGCTCAATTCACAACTTTCTACTCTTAACAAATCCGTAAAAAGGCTACACTCTTTATATTCGCTTGTAAATATCGTTATTATTACGTATTTTTGTGGTATTTTTAATCTATCATGTCATCTAGTCTTATTCGAGTACGGCGTAAGGTGCAGCTCGTGTCATGATTTCTTTACTTCGCGTATATATTTGTATTATTATTACGATTATGGATATGTTTATAAATAAATTATGTCTTAAAAATAATTAATTTGTTTAAAAAAGTTAATTTAAACATTTTCATAATTTGACACATCGTATCCAACTTCACGGTTATTTATCTTTAAGAAAATATTAATTTAATATTTATTTTTATCCTATTCTCATCTTTTTTTTATATTAATAACAATTTTAATAACTAAATTAATAATATCTTCAATAATTTTAATTAATCTACGATTTTTTTTTTAAATTAATTTAAAGGAACTAACTTCAAGTTAGTTAAGTCGGTGATTTCAAAATGGTGTCGCGTCCTTTCAAACGGTGCGAATTAAAAGTGAGTTTTCCCCGGAAATAATTTACTTATCGCCCCAAATTAGTCACGATTTCTTTTTTTAGGTGTTTCATAACGTTATTGTAGTGTTGGTGCGATTGGGGCGCTCAAAAATTCTTCAAATTCGTGCTCCTGGAGCAATTAGGATTTCCCCCGCATGGTGGCGCTTCATTAAGGTAAGATTACCCACAATTCTCTTCGTTACCAACCAACCTCGTTATTGACGTTTAACCTCAAATTTTCTTTAATAATTATGTCTAAAAAAACCGAAATAATTACACTCAATACTCGCAAGAAGTATCATCAAGGTAAACAATCATATTGTTAATGGTTACAGTTCTAGTTCATCGCTTAATTACGATAAATCAAAGATATGTTTATATCATTCCGGAATTGGATATCTACGCAATTTCAAGTTGCGAAACCGCCCCAGTTAGAGATCTATTTCGTTGCGATTATCGCCGTTTTGACTCATTATGGGGTGAAGAAGCAGGCTGCGAAAGCCGCCAAAACCGTTAAATATGGTTCGAACGTCGATGGAATTAGCACATGTGACCCCGAACAATACGCAAGAAGATTTATGGAGTTTATGTCCAAAGCTATTGAATAGATTTAGTGTGATCGGTTTCTATTATCTTTATTTTGTGTTATTTAGAGGTTAATCGGAAGATTTTATGTAGGTAGATGTTGTAAATATGATTTATTTTTGTGTAAGTTCTTGGTTAGTTTGTTTATATCGATTTTTTATTGAAAAAAAGAAAAAAAGTGAGGTTAGAACATGAAATTTTTTTCAACATAACCTCAAATTATTTAATTTTTTTTGTTAAAATCATTTTTATATTACTTTTGATTAATCTTATTCGTGATTAATCGTATTTTCGATTGATTTCATCACTTTTTATTAATCACTATACAATAAATCGATAAAAAAGTGAGGTTAGGTGAAGGAAAAGCCAATTTTTTTCACAAAAAGGTCACCGAATTTCTTGGTACAATAAACTCGCTTATTTCAAAAGATATTAATGATTATTATAAAATGTAAGAGAAATAAAGGGGTTCTAATTAGATTAAAACATTTAAAACCTTTTTTTACAACAAAAGATTGTTTAATTTGTACATATTATGTAAGTGGCCCCTTTTTAGGTGTTTATTTCGTTCAAAGATGTACATATTTGCATCGGTCGAAGCTTTTATTAAGATTGTAACACAGAAATCGATTTTTTTTTACTACAAGCTCAATTCACAACTTTCTACTCTTAACAAATCCGTAAAAAGGCTACACTCTTTATATTCGCTTGTAAATATCGTTATTATTACGTATTTTTGTGGTATTTTTAATCTATCATGTCATCTAGTCTTATTCGAGTACGGCGTAAGGTGCAGCTCGTGTCATGATTTCTTTACTTCGCGTATATATTTGTGTTATTATTACGATTATGGATATGTTTATAAATAAATTATGTCTTAAAAATAATTAATTTGTTTAAAAAAAGTTAATTTAAACATTTTCATAATTTGACACATCGTATCCAACTTCACGGTTATTTATCTTTAAGAAAATATTAATTTAATCTTTATTTTTATCCTATTCTCATCTTTTTTTTATATTAATAACAATTTTAATAACTAAATTAATAATATCTTCAATAATTTTAATTAATCAACGATTTTTTTTTAAATTAATTTAAAGCAACTAACTTCAAGTTAGTTAACTCGGTGATTTCAAAATGGTGTCGCGTCCTTTCAAACGGTGCGAATTAAAAGTGAGTTTTTCCCGGAAATAATTTACTTATCGCCCCAAATTAATCACGATCTCTTTTTTTAAAAATTAATTTTTTTAAAATTACCCACAATTCTCTTCGTTATTGACGTTTAACCTCAAATTTTATTTAATAATTATGTCTAAAAAAAACCGAAATAATTACACTCAATACTCGCAAGAAGAATCATCAAGGTAAACAATCATATTCTTTTATCCCTTCTTAATCGTTACAATTCTAGTTCATCGCTTAATTACGATAAATCAAAGATTTGTCGAATCTTGCGAGGGGAAGAACTTTATAACGAAAAAAAGGTGATTTACTCTGGGATAAATCGCCCGTTAAGGGCTTTTAAACACGTAAATGGATGTTATTTGAACGAATCCTCCATAAAACCGTTTTTGCGGATAACCCCCGATCAAAAAAGGGTGAATGTTTCAATCCATGGTGTTAAAAAATTGCAGAAAACGCCTTCAGAATGTAGCAGAAACGTTCAAACTCAAACTTCTTGTTATGAAGATTTAAATAATAACTTAAATTGTAGCTTCACTCAAAGAAGAGATGAATACGAACGGAATAAATCGTCTTCTAAGTTTGCGTCGACCTCAACGATGAAGGAATTTAGTGATTATTCCTCATCGGATAGATTAAAGGATTTGGAGAGTTTCAGGAAAGAGAATTATTTCGAAACTCATGATGTTAATGGCTTAATTAATCATAAATGTGTGCATCAGTTTAAAATAAACGATAGGTTTCTTCCTGAACCGATAAATCCTGATGTTTATGGAATAAGTAGGTGCATAATTTGTAATAAAGCGTTGGAAATGATTAATAAACACGAAAAAGATAATGAATTAAAGAGGAGAAGTAATAAAAAAGATGTTGTTAATATCAAGAAGAGATATGAGATGAAATTAAAGCCGGTTACGGTTAATATTGGGACAGGTAAAGAGGTTATGAAGATTTCGGTGCCTTACGGGTTGGAGGAGGAGCGTTTTGGGAGGAGGAAAAATTTGGTTTTTGATAGTTTTGCTTTGAGGCTTCAAAAAGGGGTTTTTTGATTTGAGAAGACATCTTTATTAAAAATTAAGTTAAATATACAACATAAAAACACAAAGGTCGTTTATCACAACAATATATAATTAATTATAAAGTAGTCTTAAGTATTGCATTTTTAAATAAGATAAATTAAAATAAATTTAAACTGCTTATTGTCCTTTTCCCCAAAATGTCTTTGGGCCTAATGTACTTTGTCGTCGCTTCGTTCTCAAAGTTTTTCTGCTCATCTTTGTATTTTTGTTTTAAAATGATCAATCGTAAACACAAATAATTCATGTAACAAATGTAAGAGATTGAGACGAGCAAGAAAATTAACCCTCCAGGCATTGAGTTGATACCCAACAAAATTAAACAAGTCGTTAATTGTAGAAACACCAAAAATAAACAAGTATAAGTCGCGATTTCTAACAATTTTCGTTTGGTTTCTTTGCCCATTTTGTTAAGATCTTGAATTATAGTTAAAAAATCTAATTTAATTAAATTTTTAACTAAATTCGTGCATTTCTCCGAGTACACTTGAAGAATACTTTGGGAAGTTTTCATCCAGGTTAATAACGCGGGTAAAATAAAGAAGTTTTGAGAACATATATAAGCGTTAAAATTAATTATTTTTTCGAGCGATGGATTTCGGTTGAATTGTTTCTTTTTTGGCGATAAATTTGTTTTCGTTTCTTGTTCTGTAGATATCGACATTATTAGTTCTGTAACAAAAAAGTTGGTTAAAAATAAAACGATTTCTTAAAATGGATCTCGTTCTTCCAGTTTCATTTTCCTAGAATGAAACGACGATTGCAATTGAAGAACGTTTATTTCAATTTATTCGTTGAATTTATGACGTAATTTTAAGGTTTATTAAAGAATTGAGTTATTTAAAGTATTGATAACGAAACGAAAAAAGAATTAAATTATTTTTGGGATTTTTACACGTTTTTGTTCTTACCTTTTAGGTTTTAATAACGATTTTTTTAGTTAATAACACGAAAACTTAAATTATTTTATTTAATTTGATGGATGTTTTAACGACTATTTTGTGGTTATCCCATTTAACTTGATGTCTTGCACTGGACTGAGTTTATCGGGTTCGTTGATTGAACTTTTTCTGAGTGGTGAAGTGTTTGGAGTGGTGGGGTTTTCAGATAGATAACGATAAGTTTAACGTTTTGCAACGATCTTTGAGTTACGTACTTTTTCTTTTTTCAATTTTGGAATTATTTAATTTAATTAACGTAATTAAATTTTAGGATTTAAATTAATATGAAGCTGATTATAAAATGGAATTAAAGGAGCTGGAGTTACTTTTTAATTTGGAACGCAGAAACTTTCCAGGAATGAGCATAAAAAAGTAACTAACCACGGAATGCAGAAACGTTGTCTACACTTTAAGAAGAAAATAATTATAAAGATCCAAAAAAATCCAAATAATGTCCAAAATTTACTTAATACAAGTTCAGGACATCAAGATAATTCTGGAAATTTCTATAAGAAAATACAGCTGTACAAATTTTTATATAGAAGAAAACAGTACCACAACGACGCAAGCTTTTCGACACTTTTTTTCGTTATTATTTTTCGTTATGCTAGAAAACGATTTAGACTCCTCGATCAACTTTTTTTATACTTGCTGTGGACTACAAAAAAGCTACTTTATACATGGAAAGACCCAATATGATACCTCCGTCGTAAAAAAAACCAAAGAGAGTTTATGCCTCTTTTTTGACAAGCTAAGGATCAAACTTGTCGACTTTCCACAGAATATTCTGTGTGAATGCATCGCCAGAGGGTGCTTAAGACACAAAATTTTCGGAATGAATCGCCTGACACCTACTGAGATAAAGGAACAAGATCTTGGAGAAATACTAAGGTTCATCTAGAAACCTTTGGATGGCTTAAGTTACAAAGGATCTTATACAGGGTGATTCTCAACTTATACGCATAATAAAATAGGATGTATGTAAAAGTAAAAACTTTTTGAGAAATACTAAAATGTTTTAATTCTATTCAAGCAGACATGTTTCGAAACTAATGTTTCATCTTCAGCACATAGAATATAATACAATATGATGGTATAAAATTATGTTAGTAGGTGGGGTTCAGGAAATCTCTTTTAACTTAATTTACAAATAAAATTTAAATTAAATTTAACAAAATCAAAAATTAAAAATCTTTAATAATAAAGATAAAATCTTGGAAAATATCGTATCTAACATACGAACAACCCCACCTACTAACATAATTTTATTCCATTATATTGTATTATATTCTATGTACTGAAGATGAAACATTAGTTTCGAAACATGTCTGCTTGAATAGAATTAAAACAATTTAGTATTTCTCAAAAAGTTTTTACTTTTACATACATCCTATTTTATTATATTAGAGAAATATGGAGAATTTCATCCCATTTATACGCATAAACTTGGGCATTTATTCCTCATGATAAATAATGGCTAATAAGTGAAAAAAATTGTAGTAAAAGATTTTTGGTTTCCTGGATATCCGATATAAGCGGCGACATCTAGATAAGGTGCTTCGCGAATAAGGCCATTTTGATTGCACCACCTCAATCCTCTTGATTTTTATTTTTGAGGTAATTTAAAAAGCATAGTGTACGTCATCGAAATTAACACTGAGTAAGGATTGGAAAAGCATCTTCAAAGCGTACAGTCTTTACTTCCAGAACTCATCTTACATAGCAACAACAAACTATCTCATCTGTTTAGAACTGATACCACCATACTTATTTCACCTTCTGCCAAAAATGTTTACATTACCAGTAAAAATCTCCACAAGCTTCTCATAAGTTCTGGCCATTATCAATACATCATCCACATATTTGAAATGACTTTGTCATTATGCTGCCTCTGTTTTTGAGGCTACCAATGGCAGACTTTAGAGCAAGATTGAATATTAGTGCCGAAATCGGATAGTCTTCGTTGCACCGATGCTTCCTCCCTCCATTGTCATCAGTGCTACCTGTGCTAATTTTGGGGGGATTCTCATTTGTCTTATACTCAAGTCTGGTCTTCTGTATACTGTTAAAGACTTTTTTAAAGTCTATGAATATACTGTGTATGTTAGTATTATACTCGTAGTATTTCTCCTTTTCTTGACAAAGGAGAAAGATTTGGTCTATTGGAAATTTTCCTTCAAAGTTTGTATTTAAAAATTCGATAACAACTCTGGCATTATGTGCTGGTACGAAGCACCAGCATATTAAGTGTCAAAGTATAACAAAACTGAACACTACTTTACAAAGAATTTCGAAAATTATGAAAAATGTAACATGATGGAATGCTATATGTTATCAAATAAGAATGCGATGTTAGCCGCGGAATTATATTACACAAGGTATCCGGAAAGAAGACAACCGCACGTAAGAAGCCTTCAGCCGGTTAGCAGAAAATTTAAGAGATTTTTGGTCCTTCCCCAAACCACGTGCAAAAACATACTAAAATGACCTGCAAGAGGATGAAGTCAATGCGTTTTCTTCACTTGCAATAAATCCATCAACATCTTGCAGAGAAATTGAACAAGACGTCTGTCCCAAAAACCGCTGCTCCCGAATATGAAAGAAAAATATATATAAACCATACAAAGCGGGGCTAACGCATTATTTACATGCCGGAGATGTCAATCTAAGATTACAATTTTGTAGATGATATTTAGAAAAATTAAATAATCTGCTGTTTGTTCAAAATGTCATCTGGACCAATGAAGTCTCTGAGTGTTCAAAGAAGATTGGGGTTCAATGTATGGTGTGCCCTTTTAGATAATAGATATTTGGCATATAGTTATCATAAAAACTTAAACTCGGGTAAATACCTCAATAGGTTAAGGCAGCACATTGAGCCTTTGGTCGACAATTTGCCATTAAATATGTCTCAAATGATATATTTTCAATATGACGAAGCACCAGCACAAAATGCCAGAGTTGTTAGTGAATTTTTAAATATTATTACAAACTTTGGCAATAATTGGAAACAATGTTTTCCATCATGGTATGGTTATCACCGTAACAACATTAAGTTTTAAATACATACAATAGTTTTAGAAAGAACAACATAAATTGATACATTATGTTCCATCATAGTATGTATTGTTATCACCATAGCAACATTAACTTTTAAATACATACATTAGTTTTAGGTAGAATAAAATGAATTTTTGTTAATTATTCAATAACTATAAGAAATATACCCCACAAACTATATACAGGATGCCCATTATGTATGAAATATATATAATCCATACATATATATATATAAAATTTTACGTCATCGTAAAGAGAAAAAAAAGCTCTATCAAATGAGCCTAACGAAAGGGTACGTTGCCATTTAAAAAACTTAAAGTGTTATTCGTTGCTCGTTTGTTTTCTGAAATAAAAACAATTGAATGCTTTCTTATTATGGCAAATAAAATATTAAACAACTTGTGTATAAAATGTTTTCTTTGAAGTGGATATTTACCAAGATATATACTATATTCCATACATAATGGGCAGCCTGTATATTTGTTATCAGAAGAAAATAACAAATTATTTTAGGTCATAACCAACTATGGTACCATTTAAAAAAATAAAATTACGTCTAAAATCGCGAAAATAAAAAATGGGCAAAAATTCTACCTACGCCACTGAATTCCTCGTAAGTTCCTTATCATCTTGGATAATAAGTGAGATATTCGCGATTGTCGTTTTCGCAAAATTTTCAGTTTTTGCCGATAGGGCGAAAACAAATGACGATAGCTGTTCGGAGTTGTCGGCATTAGCATTTTCTCGAAAAAGGAGATCATGACATGTAAGCTACTTTTTTTCTATCTCTTTTAGTTTCGGAGATAGCCTATGCGGATATCGAAATACCTGTACGATAACTATTTGTATGTTAATTTCGCGTTACACTTCTACGCCAATTATAGTAATGAAGCCGAGATCAAGAATTACAACTCCACTGCCTCGGCCGCAAGCGACCTCGGCTCTAATTTGAATTCGAAACCTCGCTATGTTATGTACAGGATGGCCAAATAAACGGAGCTCAGAAACTACTTATTGTAGAGACTTGCAGTAAAAAATTTAATGACTAAAAAGTGGCTTTGATCAAGTTATATTGCCAAAGATTATGATTCCACTGCCTCGGCCGCAAGCGACCTCGGCTATTATTTGAATTCAAAGCTTCGCTATGTATGATAATTATTTGTATGATAATTTCGCGTTACACTTCTACGTCGATTATAGCAATGAAACCAAGATCAAGAATTACCACTCCACTGCCTCGGCCGCAAGCGACCTCGGCTATAATTTGAATTCGAAGACTCGCTATGTTATGTACAGGGTGGCCAAATAAACGTATTTCGGAAACTATTTATTGTAGAGACTTGCAGTAAAAATTTTAATGACTAAAGTGGCTTTGATCAAGTTATATTGCCAAAGATTACGATTCCACTATTATTTGAATTCAAAGCTTCGCTATGTATGATAATTATTTGTATGATAATTTCGCGTTACACTTCTACGCCGATTATAGCAATGAAGCCGAGATCAAGGATTACGACTCCACTGCCTCGGCCGCAAGCGACCTCGGCTATAATTTGAATTCGAAGCCTTGCTATGTTACGTACAGGATGGCCAAATAAACATATCTCGGAAACTACTTATTGTAGAGACTTGCGGTAAAAAATTTAATGACTAAAGTGGCTTTGATCAAGTTATATTGCCAAAGATTACGATTCCACTGTCTCGGCCGCAAGCGACCTCGGCTATTATTTGAATTCAAAGCTTCGCTATCTATGATAATTATTTGTATGATAATTTCGCGTTACACTTCTACGTCGATTATAGTAATGAAGCCGAGGTCAAGAATTACGACTCCACTGCCTCGGCCGCAAGCGACCTCGGCTATAATTTGAATTCGAAGCCTCGCTATGTTATGTACAGGGTGGCCAGATAAACGTATCTCGGAAACTACTTATTGTAGAGACTTGCGGTAAAAAATTTAATGACTAAAGTGGCTTTGATCGAGTTATTGCCAAAGATTATGATTCCACTGCCTCGGCCGCAAGCGACCTCGGCTATTATTTGAATTCAAAGCTTCGCTATGTACGATTATTATTTATATGATAATTTAGCACTTCTTTTTTTGATTGATTTGTGTTATTTGTGGGTTACGACTCCATTGCCTCGGCCGCAAGCGACCTCGGCTTTAATTTGACAGGCAGAAACAAAACTGACCTATCCTAATATTCCTTCACTTCATAATTAGGGTTTGGTGGTTAAAAACAAAACTAACCTTACCTTGTCAAAAATTATTTAGAAATACCATTCATACAAATTGACGTAATAAAAAGGAGTTGAGTAGCTATTCGCCACTAGATGGCGACACCTTTATATTCCAATTAAATTTATTGATGAATTTTTTAACTTTGATCGCCATAAAGGTAACAAATATGAATTAAGCGAATTTCTGGAAAGAATGCGACATCGTTGAAAAGAAATATTAAAATTTTGCGTTTCAAATTGTATTCTTTGGTTTATTATTATTACTTTGTTTGATATAATTACCAAAATTCTGCAATCGATTACGATAAATGAACTGTTTACATGAAAACAAATCGTCTTTTTGCTGCGGCGCCAAAAACCGCGTTGAGATATTCGGTTTGGCCGAGAAGGATTTATTTTATTTTTTCAGTCACGCCGTCGCTACATGTTGTTTGGATAACTTATTTTGCGACCTTAACGAGATTGCAATAATATTTTTGATAAAAAGTTTTTATTTTGCGTACTTGGCAACAAATAAATTCATTTCGTTTCGTTTTACCTTAAATAAGCGGAATTCGAAGAAAATTGACTTTAAATTGAATTAATTAATTTTTATAAATATTTTAAATTTTAAGAAAAGATTAAATTTTAAGAATTAAAACAGAAAAAATACTAAATTAGATCACGGGGCATTCCGTATTTACTCGAAACTTTGGACTTTGCCCCCCGATAATTTTACATCACTTTCGAGACATTTATTTATCTTTTTCTCAATTAAATTAATCATTTCGCAAGACAACGAGTAAAACTTCGATTATTAATCTGCGTCGTGTTAAATCTCGCGATAACAACTTGCATAACACTTTCATTTATTTTTTAAGGGTTAATTTATATAGATAGGGGTGAACGACTTTCTTTCTTAATCGATTTTTGTTTAATTAAATAAAATAAAACTTACCTATTTTTATTTTTAATTTTTAACCACAAATTTCTTATCATACAAATATTCTTAGAAATAATTTCTTATTTTCCTCTTAATTTGATGATTAATCGAATTTAAATTAAATTAAATTTTATATTAAATTTGTTTAAAACCAATTTGATATAAATAGTTAATTATACACACTTATTTTGTTTTTAATAATAACACAAAATCTCGAAACAAAGTTGTTTATCCCATCACAAAAATAAAAGTGAGATTTTTTTCGTGTTTCTTCGACAAAGACTGAAATTACACGAATTGCAGCGATTTAAGACGAAGAGAACGTTCAACCCGTTTTAAAATCCATATTTTTAACAACCGAATCGAATTTAAATGTCAATCCAAGACGATTTAAGCTTTAAATTTAAAATTTGATGTTTTAATTTATATTTTTTTCGATAAATTTCTATTTTTATACAAAATTTTTTTTTAATTAAGAAAAAAAAACATCCGTTTGTTTAAATAGTTGAGATAAAACTTTTTATAGGCGAGACTTTTTGACCTTAATGACTGTTTTCGAACCGGATGTGTCAAAATCGAGCTTATTTCTTGCTATCTAATGTGATTATTAAAAAAAATTAATTGAGGAAATAGGCAACTTTAAATACACGGATGTGAATAAGAAAGATGGCTTTAAATAAAAAAATTAAATTAACGATTTTTTGATTGATGTTGAAATGGTCTTAATAAGAATGAAAAATGCTTTAATTTGATACCAAACTTGATATATTTTGGTTAAAAAATGAAAAAGTTAGGTTGGAAATTGTCAAATGTCAAAATTAAATAACGACTTTTTGATAAATGTTGAAATGATCTTAATAAGAATCAAAAATGCTTTAATTTGATACCAAACATGATATATTTGGGTTAAAAAATAAAAAAGTTAGGTTAGAAACTGTCAAATGTCAAAATTAAATATAACGATTTTTTGATAAATATTGAAATGATCTTAATAAGAATCAAAAATGCTTTAATTTGATACCAAACATGATATATTTGGGTTAAAAAATAAAAAAGTTAGGTTAGAAACTGTCAAATGTCAAAATTAAATTTAACGATTTTTAGAGAAATGTTGAATGATCTTAATAAGAATCAAAAATGCTTTAATTTGATACCAAACACGATATATTTCGGTTAATAAATAAAAAAGTTAGGTTAGAAACTGTCAAATGTCAAATAACCGCCATTTTTTTGGTAAAAATTAAGATATCTCGATAACGGTTAGAGATAAATAAGTCAAATTTGGGTTCATTTTAAAGCATTTTTAATTTTATGTCCATTTATGTTAAAAAAGAACACCTTTATAACCAAAAAATTTTTTTTCGTTGGGTTTAATTTTGACATTTGACAGTTTCTAACCTAACTTTTTTATGCTCGGATACGAGCCCAAATTCAACTTATTTATTTCCAACCCTTAATATGACATTTTTGGGTTAAAAAACAAAAAGGTTAGGTTAGAAACTGTCAAATGTCAAAATTAAATGTAATGATATTTTGATAAATGTTGAAATGTTCTTAATAACAATCAAAAATGCTATTATTTGATACCAAACACGATGTATTTGAGTTAAAAAATGAAAAATTAGGTTATAAACTGTCAAATATCAAAATTTAATTTAACGATTTTTTGATAAATATCGAAATGATCTTAATAAAAATCAAAAATGCTTTAATTTGATACCAAACTTGATATATTTTGATTAAAAAATGAAAAAGTTAGGTTGGAAACTGTCAAATGTCAAAATTAAAAAACGATTTTTTGATAAATGTTGAAATGATCATAATAAGAATCAAAAATACTTTCATTTAATACCAAACATTATGTATTTGGGTTAAAATATAAAAAGTTAGGTTATAAACTGTCAAATGTCAAATATCGCCATTTTTTTTTGTGAAAATTAAGATATCTCGAGAACGATTAGAGATAAATAAGTCGAGTTTGGTTTCATTTTAAAGCACTTTTAATTTTCTGTCCATTTGTATTAAAAAAGAACACCTTTATAATCAAAAAATTCTTTTCGATATAAAATCGTTATATTTTTAAAACGTCATTTTGCTTATATTTATAATAATTCTAATTTGACCCGTGACATTTGTGAGGTGACACATATGTTTGGGTTAAAAAATAAAAAAATTAGGTTAGAAACTGTCAAATGTCAAAATTAAATAACGATTTTTTGATAAATGTTGAAATGATCTTAATAAGAATCAAAAATGCTTTAATTTGATACCAAACACGATATATTTCGGTTAATAAATAAAAAAGTTAGGTTATAAACTGTCAAATGTCAAATAACCGCCATTTTTTTTGGTAAAAATTAAGATATCTTGATAACGGTTAGAGATAAATAAGTCGAGTTTGGGTTCATTTTAAAGCATTTTTAATTTTCTGCCCATTTGTATTAAAAAAGAACACCTTTATAACCAAAAAATTTTTTTCGATATAAAATTGTTATATTTTTAAACGTCATTTTGCTTATATTTATATTTCTAATTTGACATGTGACATTTGTGAAGTGACACATATGTTTGGGTTAAAAAATAAAAAATTTAGGTTAGAAACTGTCAAATGTCAAAATTAAATTTAACGATTTTTAGAGAAATGTTGAATGATCTTAATAAGAATCAAAAATGCTTTAATTTGATACCAAACACGATATATTTCGGTTAATAAATAAAAAAGTTAGGTTATAAACTGTCAAATGTCAAAATGAAATTTTACGATTTTTTGATTAATATTGAAATAAGAACTAAAAATGCTTTCATTTGATACCAAACACGATATATTTGAGTTAATAAATAAAAAAGTTAGGTTATAAACTGTCAATTGTCAAAATTAAATTAACGATTTTTTTCATAAATATTGAAATGATCGTAATAAGAACCAAAAATGGTTTAATTTGGTACCAAAGACGATATATTTCGGTTAATAAATAAAAAAGTTAGGTTAAACTGTCAAATGTCAAAATTAAATTTTACGATTTTTTGATTAATATTGAAATGATCGTAATAAAAATCAAGAATGCTTTAATTTGATACCAAACATGATATATTTGGGTTAACAAATAATAAGTTAGGTTATAAACTGTCAAATGTCAAATAACCGCCATTTTTTTTTTTTTTAAATTAAGTTATCTCGATAACGGTTGGAGATAAATAAGTCGAGTTTGGGTTCATTTTAAAGGATTTTTAATTTTCTATTCATTAATGTTGAAACAACAACAGCTTTATCACCAAAATTTTTCCAAACTCCATACTTGAAAAGATCTGCTGTGATGTTGTGTATTTTGTCTACTTTCTGGATGTCTTCCAATAATGGCGGTTCAATAAAAAAAAGTTTGGGAATCACTGCTTTAAGGTTTTATCTTAATCTGATTTTGCGATTTATCTAAATCTCAACACATTTTAATTAATTTTAATTAGTTTATTCGAAATTCGTGGTATTATAAATAATTTTTGATAGGATTAGAGCGAGATAGAAAAAGATCTTAACGTAGTAAAACAATATCGGAAAGAATGCGATGGCGCGCATGCGCGACGTCGCGGCGCCTGCCGTTCGGACGCCTCCCGTATTTCCGTCGCGACGACCGTCGCTCAGTCGGCTATGGAATTCTCGCGTCGTCCGTGGCAAACCGCGATACCACATCACCGACAACAACAACGTACCCTTCGTCGAAATAACCACGAAAAAACGAAATTTATAATTTCGATTATTCCATGGCCAGCTTCGCGTAACGTTGCGAGTCAAATTATTGTCACGAAAACAACGAAAAAGACGACGACTATAAAAAAAATTTTGTTCGGACGCCGCGTAAAATAAAAACGAATTCGGCGACGACGAAAAATCTACGGTTTTGCCTTAACGCGATGCCTTATTTTTAAAATAACGTTTAAACATTTCAAATACAACAAATAAAATGACGAAGAAAGGCTTCTTTTAGGTTAGGTGCGACGCGCAGCTTTATTATTATTATTAAATAATAACTTGGTATTTATTAAATAAAAAACTATAATAATATAAACACTTCGATTATTTAAATAAAAGAAAAACATTAAAATGAAGCCGGGTTCAGATGTGCGAGTGAAGAAGATGATGAAGACGTGAGTTCCGGTTGTTATTATGCCAGTTAGGAGGGGTTTGGTGGCTCCGAGGACGACTCTGATAGAGACAATCATAAGAAAATTCGACACTGACAGTGAGTTTTTCTTTTTAAAAGTGTTTACAACGAAAAAATGTCCCGAAATATATCTCTTAAAAGGAAAATAAAATATTTAACCCAGTTAAAAATAAAAGAGAAAATAGGAAAGATTTAAAAAAGAATAAAGTCGGATTTTTAAAGTAGGCCACCTCAACTGCGCAACGAAGACAAAAGATCAATTTATTTTATTGTTGGCCGTATGTGGGTCTAGGAAGGCCGAGATTCCTATTTTTTTTTGTAAAGATAAGTGGTATTTTAGTTTGACGTTTGACAGATGCACAAAACATAACCTCAAATTCGATTATATCACATTTCTGTTTACACCGATTTCGTAACAATATCCCATAATCGCTCAATCTTAATTATTTGTGTGATGGCTGATACTTTAAATGAATCAATTAGTTTTTGAGACATACTTTGGAAAAATTTTCCTTGATAGAGATAAGGAGTAATCCCATGTTGAAGTATTTCTTAAGAAACCAAGTTAGCAGAATTAGCAAAATTTTGATTCTATAAAAATGCTAAAGACCAAGCTAGAATATTGGATATTGCTTGTCACAGTATACAGGGTGAGTTATTAATATCTTTTTAAAAACGATGAAAATCGACATTTTTACCCATTTTGCCTTTAAACTATGTCGGATAATAGTCAAAGCTTATATTTAGATGAAAAGTATTCAAAGATATTAGATACATTATAGAGCGTGTTCATAAAGCGTTGTAAATGTTGATGTTTTTCAAGTGGAAAAATCAAGTTCTCTTTCATTTATGTTACTTGTGATACAATGTCTAATTTTAGTAGTTTTCGTGATGTTTAAAATTTTTTTTATGCCATTATTATATTATTTATACTTAATATTACATTCTGTATAATTTCGGGTTTTAATATTATTAATACTATTATACAGGTGTCCCAAAATTCAACGTCAAGCGGCTACCGGGCGAGAGGCCAACCCATACCTGTTCTGGTAAAAATGAGAAAAAAAATCCATGTCTCTTAGTTAAGTGTTCAAAAATGGTATAATACTTGAAATCTTTTTTGACGTTGAGTTTCGAGACATCCTGTATACACTTTAGCTACTGCCTCGGTTTTTAATATTATTAATACTATATACACATTAGCTACTGCCTCGATTTTAATATTATTAATGCTATATATACTTTAGCTTCTGCCTCGGCAGCTTTACTGCCTCGGTTTTCAATAATATTAATACTATATACACTTTAGCTACTGTCTTGGCAGTTTTACTGCCTCGGTTTTTAATATTATTAATACTATATACACGTTAGCTACTGCCTCGGCAGTTTTGCTGCCTCGGTTTTTAACATTATTAATACTATATACATTTTAGTTGTGCCTCGGCAGCTTTGCTGCCTCGGTTTTTAATAATATTGTACTATATACACTTTAGCTACTGCCTCGGCAGCGTGGCTGCCTCGGTTTTTAATAATATTGATACTATATACACATTAGTTACTGCGTCGGAAGCTTTACTGCCTCGGTTTTTAATATTATTAATATTATATAATATACTTTAGCTACTGCTTCGGCAGCGTTGCTGCCTCGGTTTTTAATAATATTAATACTATATACACATTAGCTACTGCCTCGGTTTTTAATATTATTAATACTATATATACTTTAGCTACTGCCTCGGCAGCGTTGCTGCCTCGGTTTTTAACATTATTAATACTATATACATTTTAGTTACTGCCTCGGCATCGTTGCTGCCTCGGTTTTTAATAATATTCATACTATATACACTTTAGCTACTGCCTCGGCAGTTTTGCTGCCTCGGTTTTTAACATTATTAATACTATATACATTTTAGTTACTGCCTCGGCAGCGTTGCTGCCTCGGTTTTTAATAATATTCATACTATATACACTTTAGCTACTGCCTCGGCAGTTTTGCTGCCTCGGATTTTAATACTATTAATACTATATATACTTTAGCTACTGCCTCGGCAGCGTTGCTGCCTCGGTTTTTAACATTATTAATACTATATACATTTTAGTTACTGCCTCGGCATCGTTGCTGCCTCGGTTTTTAATAATATTCATACTATATACACTTTAGCTACTGCCTCGGCAGTTTTGCTGCCTCGGTTTGTAACATTATTAATACTATATACACTTTAGCTACTGCCTCGGCAGCGTTGCTGCCTCGGTTTTTAACATTATTAATACTATATACATTTTAGTTACTGCCTCGGCATCGTTGCTGCCTCGGTTTTTAATAATATTCATACTATATACACTTTAGCTACTGCCTCGGCAGTTTTGCTGCCTCGGTTTTTAACATTATTAATACTATATACATTTTAGTTACTGCCTCGGCATCGTTGCTGCCTCGGTTTTTAATAATATTCATACTATATACACTTTAGCTACTGCCTCGGCAGTTTTGCTGCCTCGGTTTTTAACATTATTAATACTATATACATTTTAGTTACTGCCTCGGCAGCGTTGCTGCCTCGGTTTTTAATAATATTCATACTATATACACTTTAGCTACTGCCTCGGCAGTTTTGCTGCCTCGGATTTTAATACTATTAATACTATATATACTTTAGCTACTGCCTCGGCAGCGTTGCTGCCTCGGTTTTTAACATTATTAATACTATATACATTTTAGTTACTGCCTCGGCATCGTTGCTGCCTCGGTTTTTAATAATATTCATACTATATACACTTTAGCTACTGCCTCGGCAGTTTTGCTGCCTCGGTTTGTAACATTATTAATACTATATACACTTTAGCTACTGCCTCGGCAGCGTTGCTGCCTCGGTTTTTAACATTATTAATACTATATACATTTTAGTTACTGCCTCGGCATCGTTGCTGCCTCGGTTTTTAATAATATTCATACTATATACACTTTAGCTACTGCCTCGGCAGTTTTGCTGCCTCGGTTTTTAACATTATTAATACTATATACATTTTAGTTACTGCCTCGGCATCGTTGCTGCCTCGGTTTTTAATAATATTCATACTATATACACTTTAGCTACTGCCTCGGCAGTTTTGCTGCCTCGGTTTTTAACATTATTAATACTATATACATTTTAGTTACTGCCTCGGCAGCGTTGCTGCCTCGGTTTTTAATAATATTCATACTATATACACTTTAGCTACTGCCTCGGCAGTTTTGCTGCCTCGGATTTTAATACTATTAATACTATATATACTTTAGCTACTGCCTCGGCAGCGTTGCTGCCTCGGTTTTTAACATTATTAATACTATATACATTTTAGTTACTGCCTCGGCATCGTTGCTGCCTCGGTTTTTAATAATATTCATACTATATACACTTTAGCTACTGCCTCGGCAGTTTTGCTGCCTCGGATTTTAATACTATTAATACTATATATACTTTAGCTACTGCCTCGGCAGCATTGCTGCCTCGGTTTTTAATAATATGACTACTTTATACACTTCAGCTACTGCCTCGGCAACGTTGCTGCCTCGGTTTTTAACATTATTAATACTATATACATTTTAGTTACTGCCTCGGCATCGTTGCTGCCTCGGTTTTTAATAATATTCATACTATATACACTTTAGCTACTGCCTCGGCAGTTTTGCTGCCTCGGTTTGTAACATTATTAATACTATATACATTTTAGTTACTGCCTCGGCAGCGTTGCTGCCTCGGTTTTTAATAATATTCATACTATATACACTTTAGCTACTGCCTCGGCAGTTTTGCTGCCTCGGTTTTTAACATTATTAATACTATATACATTTTAGTTACTGCCTCGGCATCGTTGCTGCCTCGGTTTTTAATAATATTCATACTATATACACTTTAGCTACTGCCTCGGCAGTTTTGCTGCCTCGGTTTTTAACATTATTAATACTATATACATTTTAGTTACTGCCTCGGCATCGTTGCTGCCTCGGTTTTTAATAATATTCATACTATATACACTTTAGCTACTGCCTCGGCAGTTTTGCTGCCTCGGTTTGTAACATTATTAATACTATATACATTTTAGTTACTGCCTCGGCAGCGTTGCTGCCTCGGTTTTTAATAATATTGATACTATATACACTTTAGCTACTGCCTCGGCAGTTTTGCTGCCTCGGATTTTAATACTATTAATGCTATATATACTTTAGCTACTGCCTCGGCAGCGTTGCTGCCTCGGTTTTTAATAATATTAATACTATACACACTTTAGCATTAATTTTGAATATATATATGTATGTTGAATGAATCACCCTGTAAATATTTATCGGCAGAAATAGAATTGTTTTTGTTGCTTTCATCAAATTATAATTTTTTTTTTCGAAACAATTTTTTGATATAAATCTACTGACGCAATACGCGTTAATATTAGACATCCTGTGGCCTTACGCGTTTTATTTCCCCTTAAAACATACAGTTCTTTTGCTAACTACTTTATAATTATTGTTGTGTGTAACTTTAAAGTTCCGTTACTTTTCCGTGCTCAATTGGGAGTCGTTACACCAAAATTGGGGCTCAATTTTTCCAGGAGTTGCATACGTAATTTTTCAATTTCCCTTTACGCGCAATTCTATTATTTAACGTTTAGAGCACAACGAAGAGTCGACAAATTGCTTCTAAATGTTGCACCGCGCCGTGTTTTGGGGTTGGGGATTCCCCCCCAAAAACAAATCTACTCAACGGAAACAATTCGCGAATTGAAACGTATCCGGAATGTAAATTGGAACATTTTTCTGCTTGATGATTTGTTTAATTTTTTTCTTTTTTTTTTTTGGGGAAATTTTTGCCATTATTTTTTTTTTGTAACTGTGTATTACAACGGCGATTATAGGCCGGAAAATCAATAACAGGGCCAACTCTACCAACGCTGCCGCCGGACACTTTCGTGTTGTGGTAGAAGTCACGCATTCATTTCGCCACAGGGTTTAAGCTTTTTTGAATCTAAAAAAAAAATAATTATTCTCCTCAACTTAAAAATAAAAAGAAAACTTAACATCACTATTTTATCACATAGAATATTCA